GGTGCGGGCAGTGAGCTTGTCCGTGCCGGAGGCACGGACGTGAGCAAGGCAGCCCCAGACGTGGAACGCAGACGCGTCACCAGGAGACCCAGTCCAAAGACGGGTCGGCGAAACCTGCGGCTGCTGAGGGTGCGGCCACAGGTTAAGCTGGTGAGAAGCGTAGCGCACAGCGAACGGCCACAGAAAATGGGGTGACCGGCATGGATCATGGAGGTGCGAGCGACCTCCATGACCAAACCGATGCGTCGCTCAGCGACCCCATTCTGTTGTGGGGAGTCCGGTAGGGTGAACGTCTGGGTGATGCCCTCCGCACGACAAAAGCGACCAAGGACACCTGAGGCAAACTCGCCACCATGGTCTGAGTGAAGACGCAAGACAGGGAGACCGCGGTGGACACGCGCAGAGACAAGCCAGGGGATGAGAGCGCCAGGCACGTCGGCCTTGCGCTCCAGGGGAAAGACTGTGGTGTAACGAGTGAAGTCGTCGACAAGCACAAGGAAGTAGCGCTCTCGACGCGGCCCAGGGACGGGGGCGGGGCCCCAGACGTCCAGGTGCAGGGTCTGCAGCGGCGCGGCGGTAGGGGGAAACGAGGAGGAGTGAGGGGCACGACGAAGCCGACCCTCGACACAAGGCGTGCAAGGTGGGGCTGGAGAGGAGGGAAACGCGGGGAGCGAACCTGGGAGACCAAGGACGAGACCGTGCTGAGACATGTGACGCAGACGCGGGAGCGCAGGGTGACCTAGGCGGTGGTGCCACAGGAGGGTCGGGTGAGTGAGGGAGCGACAGGAGCAGGCAGCAGCAACCTGGGTAGACGCAGCCACCTGAGGGGGCGCTCCAGCCGGGGGGGTCACGGTGTCCAGAGTGAACAGGCCGGACACCGGGTCCCCGGGGAACGTGGACAGGGGGGCACCAGTGGCGGCCTCGGTACAGACAGCATACCGCTCGTGATTAGGGAACGTAGTGGTGACGCCAAGGTCCTGGAGGCAGCCGACACCAACTAGGTTCCTGGAGAATGAGGGGATATACAGACCTGTAAGAGAACCCGAAGGAACTGCCGGACAGGGAAGGGTGGTGGAACTGCGGGCGACTACCGGACCGCCGGATGGGTCAGCAAGAGAAACGGCAGCAGGAACAGGAAGCGGCGTCAGGGTGGTAGAGTCGCGGAAGAAACACCGAGAGGCGCCAGAGTCCAAGGTGAAGGAAAGCGAAGCCGAGGGGTCTGGCGACGGAACGACGGCGGAAGCACCAAGACTACACAAAGCAGGGGATCCTACGCCTGACGCAGCAGGGGAGGCTAAGCTAGGCACACATACACTAGGCAACAGTGAGTAATAAGCGGGAAGCACACTAGATTCATCAGCATACATCACATGCAGAGCAGAAACAATGGCATCCATGTCCATATCAAAAATCTGAATCTGACGACTAAGCAAACTGTGCCAGTCCGGGAGGTCTGGCGACGGGCCGAAGCGCTGACGAAAGAGGTCGTCCAGGCGACGAAAACAGCAGGGAGTGGAGTGACCGAGCTTACCGCAAACGAAGCCGCGGCGAGGATCGGTCTGGATCTCGTACTGACAACGCCCGCCGCCAGAGCCACCACGCGGCACACCACCACGCGCCCGGCCACCGCCAGCGCCGGGCCACCCGGGCGGGAGGACACTCGTCTGCCGCGTTTGCGACGGCTGCTGCGGCTGCTGCGAAGGCTGCGACTGCGGCGGCTGCTGCGGCTGCTGCACCTGCAGGGGCGGCGACTCAGCTGAATTGGGCAGGGTCCCCTCGTCCACTCCAGCACCAGGCGACCCGACCCCACCACTACCCCCGCCCGCACCCCCGCCGCCTCCTCCGCCGCGCCCAGCCTTGGGGCGGCGGCCCTTCCCCGAACGGACCTGCGCTGCAGCAGCAGTCTCAGCCACTGCGGCAGAGCCGTCGGAGAAGGTGCACTGAGCGGGGGCACAACCCTTAAAGATAGGGACCGGCACGACACCGCTCGCCTGGGCAATGGAGCGGTGACGGGTCTCTATTACAGTCAGGGTGTCTACAAAGTCAGTGAGGGTGAGGTCTGCGGGGTGAACGCTAAGAAAGCGGTCGCGGGCGACAGCAAGGCGGTCAGGGAGGCGGGTGGCAAGCAGGTAGAGGGTAGAGGTAATGGGCGGCTGATGGGCTCTAAGCTGGGCGTCAGTGCAGGCAGCGCGCCAGGTCTCATCTATCGAGCGCAGGTGGGCAGCGAGGTCAGAGACAGTGGGGAAAGATGCAAGGTCAGGAAAGAGCAGCGGAAGGATCAGGCGACCCACCGAGGCAGCCGGAGGGGTGGAATAGCGCTTGATGACGGCATCTAAGTATGCCTGAGCAGTAGTGAGGGACCTAAAGCGAGGACGCTCGGACGGGGGGAGGGCGTTGCTAATGGCAAGCTGGGCGACAGCATCGCGAGAAAGCAAGACAGAGCGCGCACGGGCAGTGGCAGCAGTAGACTCACGCTCAGTGGGTGTGGGGTCAGCGGGCAGAATAGCAGGGGGGTCTGGGTAGGGGAGCGTATTGTCAAGGTGTGCGGAAAGCGGTTCACCATCCTGCCGCTGGCCAGTGAGTTGACGGCGGAGGTCGGCAAGCCACGCCTCGAACTCTAGGGGCTGACCTTCAGCGTCGAAGCGAAGCTCCGCCGCCATTAGGAACAGTCCAGTGCAGTGCAGGGCAGTGCAGTGCGGTGCAGTGCTGTGCAGTGCGGTGCAGTGCGGTGCAGTGCGGTACAGTGCGGTGCAGTGCGGTACAGTGCGGTGCAGTGCGGTGCAGTGCGGTGTAGTGCGGGGTAGTGCGGTGCCAGGCAGTACAGTGTGGTGCGGGGCGGCACGGCGCAGGGCGGGGTGGGGGGGAACCGTACCAGTGAGGAGGACGGGGCCGGGGCTGGCCCGACGGGGCCGGGCGGGCGCGACGGGGCCGGGCTGGTGCGACAGGGCCGGGACGGGGCGACGGGGCCGAGCAGGCGCGACGGGGCCGGGCTGGGGCGACGGGGCCGGGCGAGTGCGGCAGGGCCGGGCCGGTGCGACGGGGCCGGGCGAGCGGGACGGCGGCCGGGCGGGTGCGACGGGGCCGGGCGGCTGCGACGGGGCCGGGCAGGGTGGGACGGGGCCGGGCGGGGGCGACGGGGCCGGACGGCTGCGACGGGGCCAGGCAAGGGCGACGGGGCCAGGCGGCTGCGACGGGGCCGGGCGGGCGCGACGGCGCCGGGCGGGCGCGACAGGGCCGGGCGGCTGCGACGGCGCCGGGCGGGCGCGACGGGGCCTGGCGGCTGCGACGGGGTCGGGCAGGGTGCGACGTGGCCCAGGAGGGGCGCGACAGAGCCCAGGAGGGGCGCTACGGGGCCTGGGCGGAGCGCGACGAGACCCAGGAGGGGCGCTAGGGGGGGGCCTGGGAGGAGCGCGACGGGGCCTGGGAGGGGCGCGACGGGGCGTGGGAGGGGCGTTACAGGGCCCAGGAGGGGCGCTACGAAGCCCAGGAGGGGCGCGACGAGGCCCAGGAGGGGCGCTACGGGGCCCAGGAGGGGCGCGACGGGGCGCTACGGGGCCTGGGAGGAGCGCGACGGGGCCCAGGAGGGGCGCTAGGGGGCCTGGGAGGAGCGCGACGGGGCCTGGGAGGGGCGCGACGGGGCGTGGGAGGGGCGTTACAGGGCCCAGGAGGGGCGCTACGAAGCCCAGGAGGGGCGCGACGAGGCCCAGGAGGGGCGCTACGGGGCCCAGGAGGGGCGCGACGGGGCGCTACGGGGCCTGGGAGGAGCGCGACGGGGCCCAGGAGGGGCGCGAGGGGGCCTGGGAGGAGCGCGACGGGGCCTGGGAGGGGCGCGACGGGGCCTGGGAGGGGCGTTACAGGGCCCAGGAGGGGCGCTACGAAGCCCAGGAGGGGCGCGACGAGGCCTGGGAGGAGCGCGACGGGGCCGAGGAGGGGCGCTAGGGGGCCTGGGAGGAGCGCGACGGGGCCTGGGAGGGGCGCTAGGGGGCATGAGCGGAAGCGGTAGGTGGGGGGGATCCTACCTACGCGTGATACCATATCAGAATTGGAATTGAATGATTGGTAAAGTGAGAGTACACACAAATATACCTAAGTGTTGCACCCTCTAAGAGGTAACCCTATACAGTCTATACAAACATGACAAATACAGATGTTTGACAGTACCCTCTAAAAGGCTACCCTATACAATCTATACAAACATGACAAATACACATGTTTGACAGAGGGGTGGGGGCTGCGATTCTGCTATTACAAGAATCTGGACAAACAGGGCTCACTACACTAGTAACGCTGATCGATCAGAGTTCACTCCTAAAAAAACGCTGAAATTTCAGGCCGGTGTCTTAAAAAAATCCGGTCTCATCAGGGTCACCCTCCGAAAAAGCCCTGATTTTACCCTGAATCAGGGTAAAAAACCTGCAATCTGAGGCCCTGTTTCACAGTAAGGCGTAGGCCCTGCCGTCATTCCAGAATACGGAATGAGGAATGCGGCAGCCGCTGCAAGCTTTCCGGATTCCCTTCGTTGATTCGCCCGGTTAGGTAGTGCGGGAAGTGGGGTTGAATTCCCCCTTCTTGCTAGAAAGCTAGAATTCACATCGACCATCGGTTGGAAAAATATTGCCCGCATCCGCTGGCTGGTGCACTTTCCACATTCCGTATTCCAGCCTTCCCTATTCTGGTGTTCGGTACAACCCCCAAAACCAGGAGGCTCGGTGTGATGAAAATGATTGCTTGGCTTTAAGCTATTTCCGAGCCTACTCTCGCATTTACTTCACACCGTCCGCATTCCGGAATATCGGCCTACTGATCAGGTCAGGGCCTGAGAGCAGAACAATTGGAGAACCCAAGCCACTTACCTGCCGCCCATCCTTCCTCCGCTCAGAGCCAGGTGCCACCTCAAGCTCCTTGACACCTGAGCCCAATGCAGCCACTCCCTCTCGTTGTTTCTGTAATGCAGCTCCCTCACTCCCACTCTATCATGACTGTCCAGCCAACCTGTGCAGGAATCTCATTTATAGCTGGCTCTGTGATTTCGTGCGTTAGCGAATCATGGCTGTGCGATGGCTGACGTGAATTCGCGAACCATGCGCTGGCTGCAAGGCCATTTCTGCCGCAAGCGTGACCAAATTTAGGCAGACCAAAGTCTCTGCGAAACGTGGCAATGACCGTTCACTGCTTGAACCGCAACAAGAATCTCGTGAACAAACTCGCCGGTCTCGTAGCGGCCCAGCACGAGGCACGTAGGAGTCATGGAACGGGGCTCTGGCTAGCAGGAGTCATGCAACTTGCCAGCATGCGCTGCGCGTCGCAATCCGCGAAAGCTCGGGTCGACGATGCAGCGACTGAGGCGAGCTCGCTATACGCAAGGCTGAACGAGCTTGCGCTCAACGGACCTTTGTCGCATCCCACCCCGCCCGAAGTGCCAGAGCAGCATTCAAGTCCAGAGCCTTGCGGCGACTCGTTTATTAATCGACTCAAAAGCAGTTCCGAGCCTTGCGGCGACTAGATCTTGGCTTGCATTAAATCTCTTCATTCGGATTCGGAAACGCGGCTAGCCTTGGTAACTGCGCTTCAAGCGCAATGGACGCCACTCCTGTTTGCCCCATCCCCGCTATTGACTGGCGCACTGTTCGACACGAGGAGATTATCCACTTAGCGCAGCACGGCGTCATTGCCACGGACGTGTCCGCCGACCACCACATCCGCAACGAGAACGAGATGCGCCGCCGTCGCCGCCACCGCCTCCGCCGCATGGCCCACGAGGCCAGCGAGGAGCTCGCGCGCGCGGTGGCGGAGTGGCGCAGCCAGAGCTTCCGCCACCCGGATCCGCAAGCTGTGGCGGTGCTGGCGGCGGAGACAGCGCGCAGCCGCGGATGGTGGGCGGAAAGGTATGAGTGCAGCCTCAGCTGCGGGGACCTGGGGGAGCGCGGAGCGGCAGACAGCTGCAGTGACGAGGGGGAGTGCGGGGCGCAAGAAAGCAGCCTTGGGTGCAGCGACGTGGACGGATCTGGGCGCGAAAACGGCCCTGGTGAGACAGGAGTGAGCGGATCTGGCGCTCAGCCTCGGAGTAGTGAACAGGCGCCATGTTCCCCTTCAGGTGCCTCCTCAGGTGCCTTAGGTGCCTCGTCAGGTGCCTCGCCAGGTGCCTCATCAGGTGCCTCGTGCAGACGTGGGCATGGGCGTGTTGTAAGCGTGGGCGCGTTACCAGAGCTGTGCCCCTTTCCGCCTGTGGACTGGCGCTCTCTGCTGCCCGCTGCCCCCGCTGCCCCCTCACACTGCCAAGCTCCCTGCTGCACGGCCCCTCTCAGTGTCGCCACATCGCCCGCATTCTCCGCCATCTCGCCTTCCTCTGTCACTCCCTCTCCCTCACTCTCACTCTCCACGTTCGGTTCCTCCCCGCTGTCAGTCTCGAGGCTCGGTTCCTCCCATCCCTCACCGCCCGCCTTGGGGTTCGTCCTCTCCTCCCCAGGCAGCACTCATCCGCTTCGCCCACGGAGGTCCATCAGGGGCAGTGGGGCCCATGGCAGCGACTGTTACACTCCAGCCGATGCCTGCCACTCTGTTACAGCCCACTCCCGATCCAGTAATGTGCTGAAGAATGGCGCTGACAGCACCAACGGAGCTGATGGCACCAACAGAGCTAATGGCACCAACGGAGCCGAGACTGCAGCAGTCGCCACTGACAGCCTGGCAGCAAGCGCTGTTGCAGCCACTGGGGTAGTGGGAGGAGACGGTTCCGTGCGACCCGTGAGCAAGTCTGGGGAGGTGGGGAGGAGAGCCGCAGAGCAGAGGCCAGGCGACTCGGGAAGCAGGGAAAGGAGCCGGTCGTCATCACACAGAGCAAAAGGGGGGTGGGTGCTGCTGCCCGTGCCTGCTGCACTTCACACTTGTTTTCTCAAGGTCAATCCGTAATACCGTGTGTTACCAGCTCAGGCAGATTCGTGCCACGATGGTGTACTTATAAGCACTGCATTGTGCTGCATTGTACGTCTAGTTTGATGCATGTCTAATTTGCATGCCTCGTGTACCTCTGCCACTCTGTCGAACACAAACAACTCTTTGCAGAATAGTCAGAGGTTCCACTAGAGGTACTTCACTTCACAGTCCCAGCATTCTCCCAACAGTGTCCTTGAGTTGGCAGTGCCTCCTAAGATCATGAGGTGCTCAAGAGCTATTGCATTTCCATTACGAGCCTGGGCATTGCCCAGGCGCCTACAATGTCACTCGTGAGAACAAGGCACCAAAGAGAAGCACAAACGAAGCAACACGATGCTGCTTCAATACCTAACCAGACTTCCAGACTTCCAGACCCCTACCTAACCTGCCATGGCTTAGTGCCAACTCATCATTATGTATATCTTAGCAAGAAAACAAGCTCCTACCATCCGAGCCTAGCACGACACGCCGCACTGCTGCAGCTGTTCACTGGGGTTGGGCGCGGTGGTGGTGAAGGGGTCGATCTTCACCCACAGCAGCGAGAAGATGGACGCTAGCAGCACCGACCACACAATGACAATGGTGGGGATGGCCTGGTTGCGGCCGCCGAGACCCTTCATGAAAGGGTACAGGTGCATGATGACCCAGAAGGAGAAGAAGAGCTTGCCGAACAGCGGACCCCAGTTGCCGTCGCCCGTGTTCATGGCGATAGCCACGCCGCAGACAATCCCAAGGAAGTTGATAATGAGGAGGAAGAGGGGGGGAATGAGGAGGGAAGTCCACTTGAACAGGTAGAGCTCGGCAAACTCCCCGTCTTCAGCCTGCTTGGCAGTGACAGTGAAGTTGGTATCGATACCGGCGAGCACCTTCAGCAGGCCCTGGAAGACGGCGAAGAGATGTGCTGAGACTCCTCCAATGACCCAGAACTGCTCGTTGCGCCACCAGTCCGTCATCCCCACGCCGCTCCACCGCATCTCCAGGAGGCCGGTGGCGAAGATGGTCATGAAGAGCGCGATGAAGTAGAGCGTGGACGCCGTGTCCAGCGTCGGGATAATGAACTTGTTTGTAAAGAGGCAGATGGCGGGGATGGTGCAGTACACCAGCAGAGGGAAGGACGTGAACGGGTAGACCACTGTGTTGGTGTACGACAGGCGCTGCAGCACCTTAAGCTTGTTGCCCTTCCACCCGTACCAGATGGGGCAATGCCGCGACAGGAAGATCTCGACTGACCCCAGCGCCCAGCGCAGCACCTGCTGCAGACGGTCCGACAGATTGATGGGCGCGCCTCCCTTGAAGATGGGGCGCTTGGGCTTGCAGTAGATGGAGCGCCACCCGCGGCAGTGCATCTTAAAGCCCGTCAGAATATCCTCTGTCACCGACCCGTAGATCCACCCGAGCTGCACGAGAGCAAGAAAGAGAGAAAGAGGACGAGGAGAGAGTAAGAGGGTTATACAGCAAGAACCCCAGACTAGCACAAGCAACAGTGGTGGGACCAGAGATCAGATGAGAGAGCAGACAGCAATGCGTACCTCCTTGCCCCACTCCGTCTTCTCCTCATAGCCGCACGAGATCACGTGAATCGCCTCCTTCAGAGTGGAGCCTGCACTGGCCGACGCCACGCCGCCGCCGCCCTCGTGGAACGTGGAGAGCACAAAGACGGGGGACTGCCCAAACTTCTTCTCAAACTTCTTCAACGCTACCAGGCTGTCGCCCTCGCCCACTGTTGGGGGGGGGGGAGAGGGAAGAGATGGGGGAGGAAGCAGAAAGGCTAGACGTAAGAGAGGAATCCAAAGCAGGCAGGGGTGGCATGAGAGGCGGGCAACACATGTAGACAGAGGCACCAGGTGGGAGTCTCGGATGCACTAGGATGCATGGGCAGCCATGGCACGTGAGCGTACCTTCCTCGCCGTCGTACAGCGGCATGGTCCCCTCGTCCTCGTCTCCCTTGCGCCCCTTCCGCCCGCCCTTCTCCGCGCGGCCCCCGCCGCAGCACGAGAAGCACGAGCAGAGCACGCCGCACTTGTTGCGCTTCGCCTTGCCCTTGGGGGGGTCGTAGCCGTACAGCGCGCGCCGCCGGAAGCAGCACCCAGTACCCACGTAGCACGGCCCCTGGACTCCGTCCAGCCCCGGCAAGTTGATCTGTGAAGGGGTGTGGGAGACGTTGAGGAAGAGGGTGGGATGAGTGCGCGTGCGAGTGGAGGACGGAGTTGCTGCAGGTGAGGGGCTGGGGAGCTGAGTATCGTGACTCACATCAAAGAAGACGGTGCGGTTGTTGGCGTACCGATCGTCATCAGCCATACGGCCTCCCTCAGACAAAACGCGAGCCTTATAACAAGGACGGGCTCTCACGACTCACATCGAAGAAGACAGTGTTGTTGTTGGCGTATCGATCGTTGGGGTCAATGCCGTCGAACCGCTGCGGGAACTGCACGTAGCAGCACTTCTTGCCCACGTTGGGGTCCATCATGAAGCACATGGCCTCCCTTAACGCCTTGCTGTCGCTGATGTAATGATCGCAATCCAAGTTGAGCATGTACGGCGCGTTGGTCAGCACGGCGGACACGCGGATCTGTGGCGTGCGGGGGGGGGGGAATGAGGGGAGAAAGACACGAGACAGAGTGAGTGAGTGTCGTGAGTAGCTGGTGGGAAGGAACAGGCGAGGGAGCAAGACGCCTGGGTGCATGAGTGCGAGGGGGAGGTGGGGAGGCACAAGACAAGACAAAAGGGAGAGCGACCAGAGCGGCAAAGGTGGGCGGGCCAAGACAGACAGCTTATTCAAAGTTTCTCACCAGCGAATTCATAGCTCCGGCCTTCTTGTGGTGGTTGTACCCGGGGCGCTTCTCACGGCTGACGTACACGAGCCTGGGCAGCATGTTGCCCTCCACGTCCGTGCCGCCGCTGGGTCCCAGGAAGACCTGGATCATGCCCGGGTGGTCGCGGCTCTTGTTGCCGGGCCACGGCGTGCCGTCCTGCATGGTCCACCCCTCGTCCGGCACCTTCTGCGACTTGGCCACCAGCATGTTGATGCGGATCTTAAACTCCTCGTACTCGCGCTGTGGGGACGGCAGGGGACGACAGCGACAGGTACGGGAGAGGTGAGTGAGACAGGCGTGTGAGGGGACGTCGGAAAAAGAAACGTCAATCAAAGAGCGTTCTCGCCTGTTCTCTTCCTTCCCGCCCCTCCCCCACCTGTGTCGCTCACACTCCATCACTCCCCATACCCCGCCTCGGTCCGTACCCTAAAGGCGCAACGGTCCTGGACGAACTACGGGTCCACAACCCCTTGTGCTGGAGGGAGTCCACGTAGCCCATCGCCCATCAAGCTCCCCACTTCACCCAGCCACTCAGCCCAGCCAGGTCACCTTGTCCCCCCCTATTAATCTCCTCGCCTTGAATCTCCTCACCTTGATGGCGCGGCGGTCCTTGACGAGCTGCGGGTCGAACTTGTCCTTGAGGCACTCCACCTTCTGGGTGAAGCACATCTCGGAACCTACGTAGGCTAGCTCACCTCACCCATATACATCCCAAGCATCCTCACCTTAATAGCGCGGCGGTCCTTGACGAACTGCGGGTCGACCTTGTCTTTGAGGTAGTCCACCTTCTGCGTGAAGTACATCTCGGGGCACCGCGGCTCGATCTTGTACCGCTTCGCGAACGGCACCCAGCGCCTCGCGAACTCGCTGCACTCGCTCATGGCGTCGAACGTCAGCATGGCGCCGCCGTCGTCGTGCACGTAGCACGACACCTTCTCCATCGGATAATCAACGGACAGGATCGACAGCAGCGTGTTCGCCGTCGTAATCGGCGGCTCCTTCGCCGGATCCACCGTCGACACGAACAGATCGACGGCTGCGAGCTGCGACGGCTCGCCGCGCCGCTCGTACCGCAGCGCGAGGCGGTCGAGATACGTCTCTCTCTTAATCGGCATCCATTTCGGGAACTGATCGAGAATCCACGAGAAGGCGAACCAGACCTCGCAGATAACGGACATGAGCCACAGCCACCACGCGCCGTCGACGGGGTTGAGGCACCGCCAGCGCAGGAAGAAGGCGAGCACGAACAGACGGATGATGATGATCAGACGGTACGGCGAGATCAGCGACGACGGGTAGTGCACCTTCCGCGAAAGTGGCTGGCGCGACTCGTCCATGTTGGGGAGGTCGGACGTGTCCATGGGGTCGGGTCCGGGGACGGGCGGAGCGGGGGGGGCTCCGCCCATGCCCATGGCGCCCATTGGGCCGCCGCGGCCCTGCTGCTGCTTCCACGCCTCGAGGCGGTCCTTCCACACCACGCTGCCGTACCCGTAGTCGCCCATGTCCTTGCTGGGGTCGAGAGCCCGCACGTCCACTGGGGTGGGGGGGGGGGAGGTGGGGCGGGGGAAGGGGAGACGGGGGTCGGGGGGTCAGCGGGCATGCCGGGTAGGCGAGGAGGATGGCGAAGATGATGACGATGGCGGAAAAGGGATGCGAGGAGTAGTACGGGTCGGCGAAACGTGGCAGCGGGGAAGCGGCTGGTGCGGGGAGGGGAGGGGAGGGGAGGGGGGGGAACGGGAGAAGGGCTTACTGGACATGTCGCCGGCGTTGCTCTGCGAGTAGTTGTACGCCTGGCCCGGGAGCGTGGACGCGGGCACCATGGCGCCAGCGTTGTTGTAATCCGACGACATGCTCATATCCGGGTCCACCTGGCCTGACGTCAGCATGGGGTAGTGCGACCCCACGTGGTACGAGTCGTACGCGTTAGAAGCGTCCGGGTGCATCTGCTGCTGCGACTGCTGCTGCTGCGGATCCCCGTGCTGATGTGGCATGCCACGTCGGCCGCCGTCGTCCGCGCCACTATTCTCCTGAATCCCGAATTCCTGCTCCACGTCATCCGTGTCCTCCTCGTCGTCATCCGTGTCGATCCGAGGACTCCCTGGAATGCAGAAATCAATAAGCAAGAACTCACTTCCGTTTATCTTCTGGCACCAGATTTCACCAGATTTCACCAGATCTTTTGTGAAAACGTATTCAAAAGACTACTTTCTGGTCAGTGGGTGAACAAGCGGGACAACGAATTCTCACCTTTGAGTCGCTTGTAGAAGGACTTGCACTGAGGACAGGCCCTGCTACCCTCCTTGCGCTCGTACTCGTAGCACGGGCGGCACACGGGATAAGCACACTCGTTACAGGCAATGAAGAGGTCTCCCTCCACCGTGCGCCCGACATTGTCACCGCAAATCTGGCAGACGGACGGGTTGAACCCGCTCTTGGATCCCTGCAAATGCGATCGCCAGGCACGATAGGACGAACGAAAACGATTAGCTCTTTTCGTAACGTCACTTTACGACAAAGCGAATCAACTGAAGAGCCCTATCCATCAGCTGAGTACGGAAGGACGATGCGCAGAGCGAGGAAAGACTGACTAGAGAAGCACGCGGGTTTCCAAGATTGTTACATTTTCGTTCTCCTTGCGGATGACCACCAGCTGATTCCGGTTGTGACTCCCAGCCACGAGGCCCGTGTTGTGCTCCATGGCTTCCCCCGGGAAGGCCGAGGAGGCGAAAGCTTTTCTACTCAGTCACTATCTACTTCGCACTAACCTAGGAACAAGTAGGATAACTGAAAGACCGGACCACTAACTCCGATGGGAAAACATCAGGGCGAGGTCAGGCTGCAGACTGGACAATCCCAAAGGGCTTGGAGGTGGGATGTCAATTGAAGGTAGCGGTGAGGTAACGGGAAGGTCGCCCGCCCGCTAGTTCCGCTCTGCTCTGGTTGTAAGGCGCCTCGCGAATCCCAAGGCAGCTGGCGAGACGAACTCAAGGCGGGGGCGAAGGCGATGAGAGTGACCTGAGGCTCGGAAGTGAAACACGCGACGACGAGCCTTGACCGGACGCAACGCCACGGAACACTGCCCAACGGAACTTTTTCGGAAGGCTGGTGCTTGGGAAATGGCGCAAGCAGACTGCCCGCACCTTTCACGGATGTCATTTCGAGGTTTGACAGGAGAGGTTGGCCTGGTGAACTGCGCCAGGGCCAGAGGCTGAGGCGAGGAGATGGGCGATGACGCCCTTCGCGGATTTCGCAGGACGCACGAACCAGCCGTCAGAGTTCCGAAGCTCGCTCGAAAGAGGTCCGGTTGGGGCGTGCCTGGCACTTCACACCTGCTATTTTTGCTTGGGCGGGTCACAGAGGTGATGCGCCTCGCGGCACGAGAATCTCACGAGCCACGGATTCTCTCCCTGACTACAGGTTCGGATTCCAGGCCTGGGATTCCCGTGGCGCCTGTGACAAGGAGCAAGGTTCCTTCCCCATTCATCCCGCCCGCGCCAAGCCAGCTGCGACAGATACGGGGAGACCCGAGCTGATACCCAGGGATAAGTTACGGACGTATTGATCAGACACCTTGAACACTATTCGAGTCACAAGTACTTACAAACGAATAAACTCTAATGCATAATATTCAGCTCATCCATTACTTGCATAATAGAAAAACCAAGACAAAACAAGCCACGATCCCAATACCCTAATGCTTATTATGCGTTGCTAAACACGCTCTACATTCATTTGCAATGCCACAATACCCATATGGGCTAAACAAACATCAGTAGAGCACACTGCTTAACTATTTTCCAAAGATCCATTTCTTTTTCCACTGAAGCCCTGTCTTGCTGTGGATCATCACCAGAACCTGCACACAGCCAAGCACATCAAAACATAAATATCAGTTGATGTCACAGTAAAATATAAATCTAATTCCCTCCTCTACAAACCCACCTTGCAGTTGCTGAGCTCCTTGACCGAAGGCAGCCTCTCCTCCTTGACACCCAGCAGCCTGTCTATCCCTTGAAGGTCCTGCACCAGAGCATCCACACCCATGCGCCCCACGCGCTTGAACGCCGCATCCAGGAAATCAACCATGAGCAGCCGCCGCACGTACACATTGCCCATCTGCTCCATCGTGGCAGGGAAGCATTCAATGGGCGCCCAGGCATGCGTGACAATGGCAGAGAAGAGGAATGCGACGAGCTCCACCGAGGGGTTGGTGAGGAACTTGGCCTCGGAGTCAGAGACTCGGATGTTGGAGGGAGTGGTGGAGGAGGTGGAGGAGGTGGAAGCGGTGGAGGTGAGGGAGAGGGATGTCAGCTTGCGAGGAATCTTGACCTTCACGCCCAGAATGTTGAACCCAGATGGGGGCTCTACCTGACCAGGGAACGAGACAAGGGAAAAAAGAGATGAAGTCAATCAGCCGCTCAGTCGTTTAGGTAAATTATGGATATATTATATCTTTCATTAGTCAGCACCGTATCCGTTCTCCACCGCTCTCACCTGCGCGAGGATGGAGAGGCATCGCGACTGAATTGCGGCGAAGATGTCGTCAGGCGTGACACGCTTGGACCGGTTCAGCTTCTCCAGGTGCCGGATCTGGATCTCGCGCACCTCCGCGCGATTCCCGCACCGAATCAGCGTCGCGATCGCCCCGCGCATTGCGCCCAGCCCCGAAGTCGCGCCTTCCGCCGCCGTCTCAGGAACAGTCGACGGCACGAAGCTCTGCACGCGGTTTGGCTTCGCGTTCGGCCAGGACGCCTGCGGGCGGTTCATCTCGTACGTGTTCGGCCGGTCGAACGGATTAGATGGAACGCCAGCCGTACTGCTACTCGCCGTTGGAGGCCTGTACGTTACAAGTGATCCATCCGTACTTCCCCCCTCACCCGCCGCCGCCAGACCGGCGTCAAGCGACTGGTACGGAACAATCGCCCCTGAAACCGGCGCCGGTGCATTGGCCAGACTCTCAGCGGCGGCGGCAGGGTCGTAGGGCACGATCGACATGGGCAGCGCGCCGAGGCGCGTCTGGGCGGAGGGGCCGGACGCGGCGAGAGCGGGCATGATGAAGGACCGCGGGATGAGCGACGCATGCGACCGCAACGAGTGCGACGTCCCCGGCCGCGACGGTGTCATTGACGGCGCTGCGGACATCGCATCCGCGCCTGCGACCTCGTGGCCTTCCCCCTCCTTATCCTCCTCATCCTCGTCATCCTCCTCAGCAGCAGCAGCGTCTTTCAGCGCATCCGGAGGCGGGGGGCGGTAGCTCGACACCCGCACCGCATTCACGGGAGCAATTTCACCATCCGGCTTATCCTCGACTTCTTCTGCGCACCCCTCCTCGTCGCCTCCACCTCCTAGTGCCGTGTCGTGCTCCCCGTCGAGAGCCTTTTCAGACGCGACTGACTTCTTTGACCCGCCGCCCAGACCGTAGTTAAACGCCACGCCGCCAGGCGCGCTGAGCAGCGCGGCACGTTCGTCGGAGAGTTCTTTCACCTGATTGGCCAGGCTGAGCACCTGGTTGAGCAGCTCGGCGCGCGACAGCGTGTCGGCGTGGCTGCCCTCCTCCAGCGCGCGAGTGATCGCCAGCAGCTGGCGACGCAGCTCGTGCGACTCCTGCTCCTTTTCGCGGAGCATCGCCTCCAGCCCTGCGACTCGCCCAGTCATTTCGCAGTTCTCCACCTCCAACGCGGCGACCTTTCGTGTGAGCGGGTCGGCGGTAACACCGCCTCCTGCGACGCCATCTGCGACGTCGCCGAAGTCTCCGTCGCCCTTATCGATGTGATCGGGCTCAGCTGGGGGAGGCGGAACTAGCAGGTGGTCGTCGATCCACGAGTCGACCCTCGAGATTGCCGACTTGGAGTCCGCCGCGGACTTGGACTCTGCGGGCGCCGGCACTACCGTCTCGCGAAGCGACTGCCATGCCTGATTGGCTGCGCCTCGCTCTGCCGCGACTGGCGAGACCATGGGTCTACTCTGCCTAGGTATTGCGAGAGAAACTATTCAGTCTGATTCTAAGGTAGCCGCAAGTTTCCAAATGATAGCTGGTTTCGTCCGAGAGAGTAAAGGAGAACTACTTGCTACGCGATTCGTGTGCCCCACGGAGGACGCTGCGCTACGAAGAGCAGAATTCAATATATCGAACCTGCCGGCGTGCCTTTGACGGAATGATGGTGGAGAAGCCAGGGCAGGTGCTATTGGATAGAAAACCCAGGGTGCAACTGTATGCTCGACCCAGGGCTCTCTCTGGCTATGGCGAAGCAAGAGGACGGGAAAGCGGAAGGGATGGTAGGAGCAGTCAAGGATTGCGGGTGGGGACAAATTTGCTTGATCCATTGAAATGAAATGCGCCCCTCTCCCTGGAGTCGCGGCAACTAACCACAACATGGATGCGACATGGACCGGTGTGACATTAGACGACTGTCCTTCGATACAGAGTCGACATCGCGAGTCGCGCTGTGGACTTGCAGTTTTTGAACTGTCGGTGTCGGCGTTGATTGGCCCGCGACTTCTGTTGTGGAGTCGAGGATGAATGCGACGACTGTGCCGACTGGCGAAACCTGCAATTCGACAGCGCTGACGCGTGCTGTCAAATGACTCTATATCGGATCATGACATTGGGTGTTGAAATGAGATCGCAGAGAGTATACGCATAGGGCACTATGAAAGGAGGAAGAAATTTATAAATCATAAAACAATATTTCACGAGGCAAACCGTATCGAGGACGCCTTCTGTGTTGTCAGCAGATTCACTTCTCTATTTCTCTGGAGCCTGATGAAAGTACAGTATCACCCTAGAGAGCTCCACTCACTTTCTGTTGGACGGAACCTTGGGATCTATCCCTGGCAGCCATTGTGGAATTAAACTATGGCGACGGGTAGGCATCAGTTCGAAACTGCCAGACATACGGACTAAAATCCAGAGATAACGACCAAGGAGATTATATCCAACAGAGCTGAGCGCGAGTGCAGTCGAGCAGGGAACATCCCGGTGAACAACCAGTATCTGTTTGGAGACTCGCGATGGCGTGGAACGCATTCAAGTTCTGCACAGGCCTGAAGATTCTCGGATCCATTATGGTCCTGGTTGTCCTCGCTATAGTCGCGGTCACTTACTACGCTGTCGTCATCGCGAGCTACGGGCCTGAGCTATCCAAGGGAGGGTCCACGGCGTTCCTCGCGTTCCTCGTGCTCGCCGTCTTCCACGGCCTCGTAAGCTGCCTCGCCGCCACACCCTTTTGATCCCCGTATTAGAGTCGTTCCTCGCGCTTCTCGTCGCCACACCCGTTCGATCCCCGTTTTAGAGTCGCCTGAAAGTACGTCCCTCGCGCTCCTCGTGCTCACCGTGTCCCACGGCCTCGTAAGCCGCCTCGTCGTCACACCCTACTTTACAGATCCCCTTCCGGTTTGACGTGAACCAGCTATCGACATGAATCGCGAGTATTCGCCTCTAGAGAGTCTATTTCTTACCGCCAGCGCGAGAGATTCACGAGTTCTCCCGCCCCCTCTCTCACTCCCGTATCCTCCCGCACCCCAGCTCGGTATGCTTCTCTGGAGCTACTTCGCCGTGGTGCTCACGGACCCCGGTGGTGTACCACCGGATTGGCACCCCTTCTCTCGTGGTGAAGACGATCTCGAGGCCCAGTCGCTGCAAGCCCTAGACGCCCACAGGCAAGCCGCCCTCGGAAACTACCCGCCCTCCGCTGCTGCTGCTGCTGCTGCGTCTGCTGCCAGCGTAGCAAGCGCTGACGTCCTGTCCGAGTCAGCACCCGGCGATTATGACGTTGATCATGATGATGACAGCTCAGCAATGGATGACCCCCGTGCTGCTCTTGTGGGGCCCACGGGCGGCAGGACGGGGATGGAAGGCGGCGGGAAGCAGCAGCAGGAGCAGCAGCAAGCAGTGTCGCGCGGAGGGGGAGGGGGGATGGTGGCCGGGAGGGACGGAAGGGGGGACGTGGGGATGGCGAGTGGAGCAGTGGAGATTCGGCGGTGCAAGCGGTGCCTGCAGTTCAAACCGCCTCGCGCGCACCACTGCTCTGTCTGTGCGTGTGACTCTCCCATGCGCATCACCCCTTCTGCCTCACCTCCATGTGCTACTTGCTAGAGCCACGCTCCCTCTCGCTGCACATACACATCGCCATGCCACATGCTGCACACCCCACCATGGCATGTCTCTGTTAGTCCCCACCATGGCATGTCTCTGTTAGTCCCCACCATGGCATGTCTCTGTTTGTCCCCACCATGGCATGTCTCTGTTTGTCCCCACCATGGCATGTCTCTGTTAGTCCCCACCATGGCATGTCTCTGTTAGTCCCCACCATGGCATGTCTCTGTTAGTCCCCACCATGGCATGTCTCTGTTTGTCCCCCCCAATGCGGCATGACGGCATGTGTGTCCCTTGGTCCCCTCCCCACTTACCATGGCGACGTGCACCAGGTGGGCGGTGCATCCTCAAGATGGACCATCACTGCGTGTGGGTCATCAACTGCGTTGGCGCCAAGAACTACAAGCAATTCCTGCTCTTCCTCGTGAGTCGTGATATACCAACCACCTCTTTCCACACTCCACCCCCTCCCACTTCTTCCCTCCGGTTCGTTCATCTCGTGTGCATTCGGCTCATGCAGAGAGTGGTGCATCCCCCCACTCTTCCTCATACAAAATCCCTGCCGAACTCTCCTGCTCCGTCATTTCTGCACGTTTCTTGAGTTTTGAGACGGAGCTTCCCCCGTTTCCTGATGCAGAATCCCTGCTGACCTCCTCCTCCTCCTTCAGTTCTTCACGTTCGTGGAGACGGCGCTGGTGGCGGTGGCGCTGCTGCCGCACTTCAACATGCCCATGCAGCGAGTGCTGTATTTGCATCTGCTGCTCTCGCTGTCCCCATTGGAAAGCACCGCCCCACCCCCTGCCTGTGCAGTTCTACACGTTCGTGGAGACGGCGCTGGTGGCGCTGGCGCTGCTGCCGCACTTCATCGACTTCTTCACCTCGCCGCCCACTGAGAAGGACGACGCCACCCGCCTCGCCACCGTCTTCCTCTCCTTCGGTGTGCCACTGAGCCTTCCTCTTCTTCTTCCTCGCTTGCCTCATCCCCTCCAGCGGAGTTCCTCCGCCCTCATCTCTCTGTCCTGGTCACTGTGTGCGAAGTTCCTTCAATGGGTCTCCTCCTCCTCCTTGCTTCATTCATGCTTCCCTCCCTCTCTCCTCGCTGTATTACCTCTCCATCCTTCCATTGTTCTGTAATGCTCATTGTGTGAATGCTTCTGAGTTCCGTGTCTCTGCATGCTCTACTCTACGGCATACCCGTGCCTAACCGTCACTTGAAGCAATTTCCACCGTGTACTCTCCTGCTTCTTCCTCTCACATCCTCTTCCCCTCCCACTCCCACCCTCTCGCTCCCCCCCTCGCAGTGCTGAACATCGCGTTCGCCATCAGTCTCCTAGGCTTCCTCATCATGCACGTGTCTCTTGTGCTAGGCAACACCACCACCATTGAGGTAATGCCACGTGTCTCTGGTGCTGGGCAACACCACCACCATCGAGGTAATGCCACGTGTCTCTGGTGCTAGGCAACACCACCACCATTGAGGTAATGCCACGTCTCTCTGGTGCTAGGCAACACCACCACCATTGAGGTAATGCCACGTGTCACTCGTGCTAGGCAACACCACCACCCTTGAGGTAGTGCCACGTGTCTCTGGTGCTAGGCAACACCACCTCCATTGAGGTAGTGCCACGTGTTTCTTGTGCTATGCAACACCACCACCATTGAGGTAGTGCCACGTGTCTCTTGTGCTATGCAACACCACCACCATTGAGGCAGTGCCACGTGTCTCTTGTGCTATGCAACACCACCACCATTGAGGTAGTGCCACATTCCTCTGCACTTTTTCCGTTCACGCCCTTCTCCTCCTCTCCTGCTATGCTTCCCCTCTCCTACTATGCTCCTCCTCTGCTGCGACTCCCCCTCTCTGCCGTTTTTCTACCCCTAAGCATCCTCAAGTGCGTTTAGTGGCAATCTTCCCCATTCTCCATGTTTTTCCCCTTCCTGTGCCATTTTCCCCATTCTTCCCCCTTCTCCCTTGCTCCACCGCACAGGCGTTTGAGAAGAGGGGGTCACACAGATGGCGGTTTGACCTCGGAAGGAAAAGGAACTTTGAGCAGGTAGGTCGTCCATTCCTCATAAGAGCGGTGTTGAGCGGTGGTCAATCTTGAGAGCGGTAGGCGGACTGGAGTGGTGGGCCGACTTGAGCGGTGGGCGGACTTGAGTGTTGGGCGATCTTGCCGGTTGGGCGATCTTGGGCGTTGGGTTATCTTGAGCGTTGGGCGATCTTGAGAGTTGGGCGATGTTGAGCGATGGGCGATCCTGAGCGTTGGGCGATGTTGAGCGTTGGGCGATCTTGAGAGTTGGGCGACCTTGAGAGTTGGGCAATCTTGAGGGTTGGGCGACCTTGAGAGTTGGGCGATCTTGAGAGTTGGGCGATCATGAGAGTTGGGCGATGGGTTGGGCGATCTTGAGCGTTGGGCGATCTTGGGCGTTGGGCAATCTTGGGTGTTGGGCGATCTTGGGCGGTGGGCGATCTTGAGGGTTGGGCGATCTTGAGCGTTGGGCGATCTTGGGCGTTGGGCGATCTTGGGTGTTGGGCGATCTTGGGCGGTGGGCGATCTTGAGCGTTGGACGATCTTGCGCGTTGGGCGATCTTGCGCGTTGGGCGATCTTGCGCGTTGGGCGATCTTGCGCATTGGGCGATCTTGCGCGTTGGGCGATCTTGGGCGTTGGGCGATCTTGCACGTTGGGCGATCTTTCGCGTTAGGCGATCTTGCGCGTTGGGCGATCTTGCGCGTTGGGCGATCTTGCCCGTTGAGCGATCTTGCCCGTTGAGCGATCTTGCACGATGGGCGATCTTGCGCGTTGGCAGATCTTGCGCGTTGGGCGATCTTGGGCGTTGGGCGATCTTGGGCGTTGGGCGATCTTGGGCGTTGGGCGATCTTGGGCGTTGGGCGATCTTGGGCGTTTGGCGATCTTGGGCGTTGGGCGATCTTGGGCGTTGGGCGTTCTTGGGCGTTTGGCGATCTTGGGCGTTGGGCGATCTTGAGAGTTGGGCGATCTTGAGCTTTGGATGATCTTGAGCGTTGGGCGATCTTGAGCGTTGGTCGATCTTGAGCGTTGGGCGATCTTGAGAGTTGGGCGATCTTGAGTGTTGGGCGATCTTGAGAGTTGGGCGTTGTTGAGTGTTGGGCGATCTTGAGCGTTGGGCGGTCTTGCGCGTTCGGGGATCTTGCGCGTTGGACGATCTTGCGTGTTTGGCGATCTTGCTCGTTGGGCGATCTTGGGTGTTGGGCGATCTTGAGCGTTTGGCGATCTTGGGCGTTGGACGATCTTGGGCGTTGGCCGATCTTGGGCGTTGGACGATCTTGGGCGTTGGGCGATCTTGGGTGTTGGGCGATCTTGGGCGTTGGGCGATCTTGCGCGTTGGGCAATCTTGCGCGTAGGGCGATTTTGCTCATTGGGCGATCTTGTGCGTTGGGCGATCTTACCTGTTGGGCGATCTTTGGCGTTGGGCGATCTTGGGCGTTGGGCGATCTTTCTCGTTGGGCGATCTTGCGTGTTGGGCGATCTTGGGCGTTGGGTTGGGAGATCTTCGGCGTTGGGCGATCTTGGGCGTTGGGCGATCTTGGGCGTTGGGCGATCTTGGGCGTTGAGCGATCTTGCGCGATGGGCGATCTTGCGCGTTGGGAGATCTTGCGCGTTGGGCGATCTTGGGCGTTGGGCGATCTTGGGTAGACATGGTTAAAATGCGATGCGATGCGATATCGCATCGCATTTTGTCACATCGCGCGGGATATCTCAGCGATGTGATATCGCATCGCTGCGATATTCTGTTTCAAATTTTGAAATCACATATCGCGATTTGGGGTGCGATGTTAAAAAATATCGCACCCTTTAATGCGATATATCGCGCGATGCGATTTAATATCGCATCGCGTTTAGGGGTCGGAGGAGAAGATCAGAACGACAAGGCTGGCTATCCTAGGTGCGCGAGGAATTAGGTGAGTGAAGTTTGAGGGAGAATGAGATATCATGGCCCCTCTCCGATGTAGAGCGTGTTAGAGGGGCAGGGGTTGGATTCTGTAGATGCGGAGGAATTTAGTGCGGTTGAAGTGGTGGAAATTGGTTGGATTTCCAACCAATTGAATTAGTGGGTGTCGAGATTTCAATCATCCCCCTAAATCCCTTTAACTGCACACCACCACATTCCATCCACCACCGTCCATTTCAAAATTTGAATCTCCAACCAACTCCCCTCCCTCAACCGCACTGCACCCCTTTTCAATTAGAATTTCCAACCCTTTCTCTCCAAGCTCCTCACAAACACCTTCCCGTCAATTACGCCAACGCCAAACATCTACGCGCAATTTCCGCACGCCATTACAACGAGAGAACCCTATTTTTTGCTAAGTTCAGGGCCCGCGCCCATGTTCTCCCCCCCCCTTCTGGCGCAATTCCGCAACGCAATATGCGGATGTATGGCGCGCGATATTTTAATATCGCATATCGCATTTTATCGCGCTGAAAAATCCGCGATAAATGCGCGATATCGCAAAAATTGCGCGATATTATCGCATCGCATCGCTGCGATTTTTTATATATAAAAAATAAAATCGCAATAGTAGAATGCGATAAGATGCGATGCCATATATCTCGATGCGATGCGATATACCCATGTCTAATCTTGGGGTGTTGGTCGATTTTGGGTGTTGGCCGATCTTGAGAGTTGGGCGATCTTAGGCGTTGGGCGATCTTGAGAGTTGGGCGATCTTGAGAGTTGGGCGATCTTGAGCTTTGGGCGATCTTGAGCGTTGGCAGATCTTGAGCTTTGGCCGATATTGAGCTTTGGGCAATCTTGAGCGTTGGGCGATCTTGAGCGTTGGGCGATCTTGGGCGCTGGGCGATCTTGAGCGCTGGGCGATCTTGAGAGTTTGGCGATCTTGAGCGTTGGGTGATCTTGAGAGTTGGGCGATCTTGGGCGTTGGGCGATCTTGGGCGTTGGGCGATCTTGGGCGTTGGGCGATCTTGGGCGTTGGGCGATCTTGGGCATTGGGCGATCTTGACAGCTGGGCGATCTTGACAGTTGGTCGATCTTGGAGGTTGGGCGATCTTGAGCGCTGGGCGATCTTTTGCGTTGGGCGATCTTGTGCGTTGGGCGATCTTGCCTGTTGGGCGATCTTGTGCGTTGGGCGATCTTGCCCGTTGGGCGATCTTGCGCGTTGTGCGATCTTGGGCGGTTTCTGAGTGGTTTGCCACTACCGTGAGTGGTTTCTGAGTGGTTTGCCACTACCGTGAGTGGTTTCTGAGTGGTTTGCCACTTCCGTGAGTGGTTTCTGAGTGGTTTGCCGCTACCGTGAGTGGTTTCTGAGTGGTTTGTCACTACCGTGAGCGGGTTATGAGTGGTTTGCCAGTACTGTGAGTGGTTTCTGAGTGGTTTGCCAGGGGGGATGCATGGGGGGGGATGAATAGGGGGGGTGCACAGAGGGGGATGCACTGTTGGGGGTGCACAGGGGGGGATGCATGGGGGGGATGCATGGGGGGGGATGCATGGGGGGGGATGCATAGGGGGGGATGCATAGGGGGGGATGCATAGGGGGGGATGCATGGGGGGGGATGCATAGGGGGGGATGCATAGGGGGGGATGCATTGGGGGGGATGCATGGGGAGGGATGCATAGGGGGGGATGCATAGGGGGGGATGCATAGGGGGGGATGCATTGGGGGGGATGCATGGGGGGGGATGCATAGGGGGGGATGCATAGGGGGGGATGCATTGGGGGGGATGCATGGGGGGGGATGCATAGGGGAGGATGCATAGGTGGGGATGCATGGGGGGGGATGCATGGGGAGGGGTGCGCAGAATGCTAGTCTTTGCAAGACGCGAGACCCTGAGGATGCATCTCTGTGTGGATGTAACTTCCTATGTGCGCATGGTTGTCAGTCTTCCTCTGTATGTTCCTGTGAACGTGTTCCTGTGAGCGTGTTCCTGTGAGCGTGTTCCTGTGAGCGTGTTCCTGTGAGCGTGCTCCTGTGAGCGTGTTCCTGTGAGGGTGTTCCTGTGAGCGTGTTCCTGTGAGCGTGTTCCAGTGAGCGTGTTCCTGTGAGCATGTTCCTGTGAGCGTGTTCCTGTGAGCGTGTTCCAGTGAGGCATCCTTATCAGGGTTTCGGCGTGGACCAGCGGTACTGGCTGCTGCCCATGTACTCCCCAGAGCACCTGCACAGAATGTCCATGCCGCAAGGCCTCACAGTGCAAGTCACTGTGTGTATGCGCCTCCCTGCATGTCCTTGCGTGCATGCATCCCATCAGGTGTTTGGCATGGACCGGCGGTACTGGCTGCTGCCCATGTACTCCCCAGAGGACCTGCGCAGAATGCCAGTGCTGCAAGGCCTCGACTACCCGCACAACCCCGAGTACCTCCAAGAGTTTGAGGTCTCCAGAAGATGAAAGTAGTCCCTGACATTGGGTTAACAGTGTGCATGCTATGTTTGCTTATATTGAATTCTATTAAGAGCTGTACACTTTCCTTTTGGTCAAAATGGCATCTCTGATCTGATCCCGTAATGACCATGAAGCATTCTGACAACAATCCAACCGCGAAGCAACAAGCCGTGTTATGTGCAACAAGCCGTGCCGGCCTTCTCCTGGAGGCCCTGTGTGCGTGAACAACCCTCATGTACCTGCTTCTCTCGTCACGAAACTCGGCGCATTTATAGTAGCTGTGGTAGTGGTGGTTGTAGCTGCTGTGCCCTTGTGTGAAAGGCTCACCAAGAGGGGCTGAGTGGCAGCAGTGCACCGGGGCGAGGGGGGTACAGGGGAGGGGGGAAGGGAGAAGGAAGGGAGGGAATGAGAAACAGAGGGTCCACCAAGGGAATGGGTGTTCTTGTGCCAGGCATGGCATTGAGGCACAGCACCAAGGCTCGGCACAAGAGTGGAGGGACCACAGGAGGCATTTCAGTGACAGGGATGCACAGGAATGCACTCACCCCTCCCCGTCCAGGTTGTCCTCATCGAAGTCCCCTGCCGCATCAGCAACCACAAAGTCCTCCTCCCCTCCCATCCCCTCCTCCCCCTCCTCCTCCCCTCCCCCCTCCTGCACCCCCTCCCCCTCCCCTCCCGCCCCCCCATCCCCCTTGTCCAGCTCCCCCCCGTAGTCCTCCAAAGTGGGTGCTCTCTTAAAAGCCGGCCCTGCTGGTTCTCCTCCCACTGCCGCTCCTGCTGCCCCCCCTGCCGCACCTGCAGCCCCCTCCTCGCCCCCTTCTGCCTCTGCCAGCGCTCTCATCTTCTCCAGGTGCTCGCTGGCAAATATCTTGTGGAAGGGGCGGGACACCTGGGGGTGGCAACAGGGCAGGAAGGGAGATGCGGAGAGCGGGCGAGGGGGGTCAATTGCAGGATTTATTTTGCTGCACCTGTCGTGCCCTCCTGGCCCCTTGCCACACACTCTGTCCCAGCTAGCGCTCTCATCTTCTCCAGGTGCTCGCAGGAAAATATATTGTGGAAGGGGCGCGACACCAGAGGGTGGCCACGTGGCAGGAAACAAGGAGGAGGGGAGGGTGAGAGGAGGGGCGTGAAGGGGCGTGCAATCCCTGAGAAAAGGCCTTGAGGAAGGGGCGCAATACCTGCACTCGGTCGAAGGGCAGCAAGAGGAATGAAGAGGGTGGAGGGTGAGGGGAAGGGTGCGTAGTTGGTGGCTGGAAAAAACCTTGTGGAAGGGGCGAGGCACCTGCGGGTGCGTATGGGGCAGGAAGAGGGATGGGGGGCAAGCTGGTGGCAAACGAGTCGGAAACCACTCAGGGTGGTGGCAAACCAGTGGGAAACCACTCAAGGTGGAGGTAAACCAGTGGAAAACCAGTCAAGGTCGCAGCAAACCAGTGGAAAACCACTCAAGGTGGTGGTGCTTTCTACTGGAGTGCTTTCTACTGGAATGCTTTCGACCGGAGTTCTTTCGACCGGAGTGCTTTCGACCTGAGTCATTTCGACCGGAGTGCTTTCAACCGGAGTGCTTTCGACCGGAGTCCCTTCGACCAGAGTCCTTTCCACCGGAGACCTTTCGTCCGGAGTCTTTTCGACCGGAGTCCTTTCGACCGGAGTGCTTCCGACTGGAGTGCTTCCGACCGGAGTCCTTCCGACCGGACTCTTCCGACCAGAGTGCTTCCGATCGGAGTGCCATCCACCGGAGCGCTTTCGACCGGAGCGCTTTCAACCGACCGGAGCACTTTCGACCGGAGCGCTTTCGACCGGAGCGCTTTCGACCGGAGCACTTTCGACCGGAGCGCTTTCGACCGCAGCGCTTTCGACCGGAGCGCTTTCGACCGCAGCGCTTTCGACTGTAGTGCTTTCGACCGGAGTGCTTTCGACCTGAGTCCTTTCGACCGGAGCGCTTTCGACAGGAGCGCTTTCAATCGGAGTCCTTTCGACCAGAGTCCTTTCGACCGGAGTCCTTTCGACCGGAGTGCTTCCGACCGGAGTGCTTCCGACCGGAGTGCTTCCGACCGGGGTGCTTCCGATCGGAGTGCCATCGACCGGAGCGCTTTCAACCGGAGCGCTTTCGACCGGAGCGTTTTCGTCCAGAGGGCTTTCGACTGGAGCAATTCGACCGGAGCGCTTTCGACCGGAGCGCTTTCGTTCGACCGGAGTGCTTTCGACCTGTTTGTTTTTGGGGGGTGGTGAGTGGTGGACAGGCGTACTTTGAGGTATCGGTTGGTGGTGCGTGCATGTCTGACGAGGTTGCCCCAATGCTCATCCACCATCAGAGCACTTGCATTGGCCACCACCTGCATACATGCAGACGTGCGTCCATAACCATGCGGCCATGCATACATGCATGCATACCCATGCGGCCATGCACACACCAACCCATGCACGTAGGCATAGACCCACTTTGCAGTAGCATTCTGGAGAGTGCTGATAAGACCATCTGTAAGGCATTACTGCCAGAAAGTTTGCAGCTTAAGGGCATGAAGGAGTGAGAGACCCAAAGGAGAGCAGAGCAGAGCAAAGCAGTGCAGAGCAAAGCAGAGCAGCTTGTGTGTGACAGGGAGGGCCGTCCACGGAGGAGAGGGAGCAGTGCAGATGCGAGCAGCAAGGCAGGAAGACGCACGAGCATTGAAGAGCGTGCTCTGGTGATGCCCACATTCATGCGCCGATAGTCCGACAGAAACCCGATGCTCTTCCCCTTGCCCCTCCCCGCGCGCACGCACGAGAATATGATCACGTCCTTCTCACGGCCCTGACCACACATGAACACACGACGACCATGGGTACTATCGGCATGAGAACGCACAGCACATGTATGCACAGAATATGATCACGCCCTTGTTGCGAACCTGGTCAAACTCAAGTATGGGTACAGTATTCAGAGGTGAGCATGCGAGCACGAATAGAATCATGCCCACAGCAGAGGTATGCGTGTACAGCACCTGAAAGCCCTATACAGGTACACGCATGGGTACGAGTCAACGCACCTGAAAGCCGTCGACGGTGTTGACGTCCACTTTATGAGCTGTCTCCCCTAGCAGCTCCCTAAACTTGTCTCGCAATAGTTTCACCTGCCATGTGCGGGTTCATGCATGGGGAGTTGATGCATGCATGGGGGGTTGATGCATGCATGGGGGGTTGATGCATGCATGGGGGGTTGATGCATGCATGGGGGGTTGATGCATGCATGGGGGGTTGATGCATGCATGGGGGGTTGATGCACGCATGGGGGGGTTGATGCATGCATGGGGGGGTTGATGCATGCATGGGGGGTTGATGCATGCATGGGGGGTTGATGCATGTATGAACTGACATTGAGTCCACTCAGACATGGGGATGGGAACATACACCTTTCAGAGCTTAGGAAGGCGCTCCAGATGTCATCGATCTGTTACATGAGGAATGAGATGACACTGCAGTTGTAACGCACCTGGTGCTTGTACGGGGAGATGACGCCGACGTCCGAGGTGTCCTTGAGCTGCGGGTAGAGCGCCACCAGGTGCCGGTACAGCACCATCACGAACTCCGCCTCGTCCTTGTTCATCCAGGACCCACCGGCTGTGCGTGGAAGTAGGTTGGAGAGAAGGGGCGCGTGAAAGAAACCCATGGTAACAGAAGTCAGACGGAATCCTCATCCACGGCCGGTGCAGCACCATCATGCGCCTCGCCCTAGTTCATTCTTCCAGGACCCCCTGGCTGTGAGTGAATAGGGGACATGGAGAGGCCACATGGTATGCGGCAACAAGGAACAGCGCCATGTCCCAGTACAGCACCTTGACTTTAAGAGAGCCCACCTTGAAGAGTCAAGGAGCAGCATGCGTTGGTCTGTGGCATCTCTCTCCACATAGCCCTCACCTCGTATCGACCCCCTACATATCCCCCTAGTCCTCTCAGCTCACGTGGCTGCTCGTCCTTGGACTGGTGCAGGTCGAAGAAGAAGAGCGGCCCAAACAGCCGCTCCGCGTGCCATGGCCTAGCGGTGTTCTGCGCCATCTGCGGCGCGTCCTTGAGGGCTCCCCCGTAGAACTCGCTAGAGGGGAACTGGCGGATCTGGGGGAGTATGGGGGGCGGAAGAGATGGGGAGGAGGGGGGGCGAAGGATGCGGGGGAGAGGGCTTCATGATGTGCTGGGGGCGCCACTGAGGGCTCCCTGTAAAGGTTTTGTATGTTTGGGCGTTCGTATGTTAGGGGTTTCGTATGTTAGGTGGTTCGTATGATGGGGAACAATCAACAGAATATATGGTGCAAGCAACATGCCATGCACCATGCAAGCATGCAACAAACCAAGGGTTGCAGAAACATACCATGGGTTGCGGGCAACATACCATGGGTTGCGGGCAACATACCATGGGTTGCGGGCAACATACCATGGGGTGCATGCAACATACCATGGGGTGCGGGCAACATACCATGGGTTGCGGGCAACATACCATGGGTTGCGGGCAACATACCATGGGTTGCGGGCAACATACCATGGGTTGCGGGCAACATACCATGGGGTGCATGCAACATACCATGGGGTGCGGGCAACATACCATGGGTTGCGGGCAACATACCATGGGTTGCGGGCAACATACCATGGGTTGCGGGCAACATACCATGGGTTGCGGGCAACATACCATGGGTTGCGGGCAACATACCATGGGTTGCGGGCAACATACCATGGGGTGCGGGCAACATACCATGGGGTGCATGCGGTATTGCGTGTTGAGCATGACAACGGGATAGCCTGCTTGCTGCAGGCGAGAGAACATGCTGCCATGGTACCTGGTGGGGGAAACATGGTGGGGGACGAGGGATTGTGGGGGGACGTTGCATGATGGGGGACGAGGCATGGGGAAAGAGGGAAGAAAACGGAACACACTTGCTAGCATATCATACACATTACATCTCAAAGACCACACTCTGTGCCATCTCACCCATATTGAACGGCATGCATGTGGCATCTCGCCCTTAACGCACGGCATGGATGTGGCATCTCATCTCACCCATAGTGCACAGCATGGATGTGGCATCTCATCTCACCCATAGTGCACGGCGCGTGTGGAGAGCACAGTAGCCGGGAGCTGGAGGGGATCGCCCACCATGAAGACTTGCGAGCACCCGTGGGTCATGGGGATGAGCGTGGATGGCTCCACCTGGTGGCGGTGTAGGCGGCATGCAGGCATGCATGCAGAGAGATGAGTGGAGAGAACAGAAACCACAGGCTGACGAGGGGCCTCAACCATGAAGACTTGAGAGCAGGGATCATGCACGGAATATGAGGGCACAAGATATGAGGGCACAAGATATGAGGGCATGGGATGTGAGGGCATGGGATGTGAGGGCATGGGATGTGAGGGCATGGGATGTGAGGGCATGGGATATGAAGGCATGCTGATATGAGGGTATGGAGACATGAGGTCGCGGGATATGAGGGCATGGGATGGGATATGAGGGCACGGGATATGAGGGCATGCGATATGAGGGCACGGGATATGAGGGCATGCGATATGAGGGCACGGGATATGAGGGCATGCGATATGAGGGCACGGGATATGAGGGCATGGGATATGAGGGCATGGGATATGAGGGCATGGGGATCAAGGTTGATGACTCCAATTGGTGGTGGTGTGAGGGGGGCACGCATGAATGCAGCCATGCGTGCAACCAGATGTACGGAAGCAGCCACAAAACATGACAAATGAATACAATGCACCGAGCTGGCGGGGAAGGCTTTCCCCGTCCTGCAGATTTTTTTTTTTTTTTTTTTTTTTTTTTGGGCTTTAAGGAGATCCCCGTCCTGCAGAGTGTGCACAAAGTGCTGAAGACAAAGTGCTGATCTGACAACCCAAGCAGATGCCATGATGCTAGCGTGCTGCCTCCCCCCACTCACAGCCTGCGCTGCCTCATCAATGACCACCACGTCAAAGGGGCGTGACATGCGGGAGAACACCCCCGACCCCGCAAAGGCCAGTGTTGAACACACCTGGTGGGGATAGGAGGCAGGCAGGAGGGTGGGAAGGAGGAGGTGAGGCATGGGACGCGGATGGGCATGAGGCGTGGATGGGCTGGGACACGTATGACATGCAGGAGAAGACCCCCGACCCTGCAAAGGCTAGCACGGGACACACCTGGATGGGGGAAGGAGTGAGGGCGAAGCACAGAATGAACAGTACCCACCCAACCATCAAGAGTACCGAGCCATCAAGAGTACTCAGGCATCAAGAGTACTCAGCCATCAAGAGTACCCAGCCGTCAAGAGTTGGAACCAACTCCTCATTTGTGGATGTGCCCCGTCCCCCTTCTACCACTAATGTGGTCAAGGGAAAGTGGGTGTTTCGGGTGAAGCTGCTGCCTGGCGAGCCGCCGGTCTACAAAGCCCACTATGTCGCCAAGGTCTTCACCCAGCGCTACGCCGTCGACTTTTTCGACATCTTTTTTCCCACCGCCAAGCCTGCCACCATTCGTGCGGTCCTTGATCTCGCTGCCCGCCTCAACATGAAGATCCGCTCCATGGACGTCTCCAATGCCTTCCCCGGGGCATCCTTCGCGAGCTCATCTTCATGGAGCATCCTGCAGGCTTCCACCTCCCTTTCCCTCCTGATTCTGTCTGGCAGCTGCGTCGCCCTGTGTACGGCCTCAAGCAGGATCCCAGGGAGTGGCATACTAAGCTCGCTGCCACCCTTGCTGAGCTGGGCTTTCGCACCTCCCGCGCCGACCCCACCCTCTTCCTCCGCACCTCCCTCTCCCCCTTCTACATCCTTGTCTATATGGACGACATGATCCTTGTCACTGCTGACTCCGTAGAGCTCGAGCGCGCATTCACCAACCACACTTTTTTTTGGTTCACCAACCACACTTTGGTTGGTCGAGATTGGATTTGGCCTTGGTCCTTTGGTTAGCACTTTCCAACCGAATGGTCCCAAGGCTCCACCAATCAGCAACCACCACACTTTGGGATTGCTTCCCCTCTAAGCAGGCCACTATTGTAGCCAATAGGAATGCCTTCCCTTCCAACCTTTCCTTGCTCCTTGGTTGTACTATAGAGCCTCTTGGCTCCCTTTCTAGTTCATTCTTTTTCTCTCCAAAGTTGAGTTTATTCAAAGGGCACCCAGCCGGACTCACAATGGCGGCCTCATCAAGAATGGCCACTCGGATCCTGTCTCGCTCCACCGCGCCCGTGCCCGCTGTCTTGGCCCCCACGCCGGCAGCCGACCGCGCCATGCTGCTGGCACGTTGGGACACCTGCAGAGGAAGAAGGCAATGGTTTAAAGAAAAGGGGTTCTTAGTCGAGTCAAGCTAGGTGCCTGTTGCTGTCCGTGCCATGCTGCAGGCGCACTAGGACACCTGCAGAGAAGTCTTGGGATGTTTAGAGGAAAAAAGTTGAGGGTGACACAGAGGAAGAGGCTATAAGTCGACTTAAATGCTGACCACGCCATGCTGCCGGTGCACTGGGACACATGCAGAGGGAGAAGGGCGAAGGTGATTCAGAAGGAGAGCGCACTAGACAAGTCAAGAGATATTTGCATAATGCTTTCTGTGCTAGTCTGCTGGTGCGCTGTGCTGTGATCCCTCCCATCCTCCCACGCACCAGGTTATCCATGGCGACTGAGGCCACGGAGTGGTGCGGGTTGAGCCCCACGCGCACCACGGACGGCGAGTACATGCCGCCGCTGTCGTCCCTCAGGCCTGCACACATGGGGTAAGCCAAGTGCATGGGATGAAACAACAAAAAGCTGGTTGGCAACCCACCGAATAGCAACCACCAAAATAGCATGATAGATTGACTGAGCGGCACGACATATGGGTTATGAGGGACCTATGGGTGCCGCACTAGCAGATGTGCTCAGATGCACGGCACACCACGTGAATCGACTATGTAACTCCTTGCCACAGTGCCACATGACAAAATTGCAATCGAACCGCCTGATTGTCACCATGTCACCTGTGTGCAGCAGGCGCAGCACGATCTCATCAAGGGCAGCATTGGAGGGCGCACACACAAGCACGTGTGCCCTCTGCTTGCGGTGTCCTCCCAGCACCTCCACCTGTTGGGGGACAAGAGGGACAACGGCGGAGTGAGGGGCAAGATGGGGAAGGTGCATTGGGCGCAGAGAGAAAGGACAAGGGCACAGGGAGAAAAGACAAAGGCGCAGGGAGAAAGGAGAAGGGCGCAGGGAGAAAGGACAAGGGCGCACACACAAGATCCGTCTGCTTGCGATGGAAGCAGGAGGCCGGGGGGGGAAGGGGGGGGGGAGACCCAGGAGAAGGAGAGAAAGAGAGCAAGCAAACGAGCATGTGCGCCCTCTGCTTGCGGTACCCATCCAACACCTTCACCTGCGGAGGAGGGAGAAAGAGCAAGGGGACTCGCTACAGCACGAAAGGCGTTGGGCCACAGGGGAAGAAAGAAGGGAGCTCCAAGATGTTACCCAAGTCCGCCACCCACCCAAGTCCGCCAACTACCCAAGTCCGCCACCCACCCAAGTCCGCCAACTACCCAAGTCCGCCACCCACCCAAGTCCGCCAACTACCCAAGTCCGCCAACTACCCAAGTCCGCCACCCACCCAAGTCCGCCAACTACCCAAGTCCGCCACCTACCCAAGTCCGCCAACTACCCAAGTCCGCCACCTACCCAAGCCCGCCACCTACCCAAGTCCGCCACCTACCCAAGTCCGCCAACTACCCAAGTCCGCCAACTACCCAAGTCCTCCAACTACCCAAGTCCGCCACCTACCCAAGTCCGCCAACTACCCAAGTCCGCTACCCACCCAAGCCCGCCACCCACCCAAGTCCGCCAACTACCCAAGTCCGCCACCCACCCAAGTCCGCCAACTACCCAAGTCCGCCACCCACCCAAGTCCGCCAACTACCCAAGTCCGCCAACTACCCAAGTCCGCCACCCACCCAAGTCCGCCAACTACCCAAGTCCGCCACCTACCCAAGTCCGCCAACTACCCAAGTCCGCCACCTACCCAAGTCCGCCAACTACCCAAGTCCGCCACCCACCCAAGCCCGCCACCCACCCAAGCCCGCCAACTACCCAAGTCCGCCACCCACTCAAGTCCGCCAACTACCCAAGTCCGCCACCCACCCAAGTCCGCCAACTACCCAAGTCCGCCACCCACCCAAGTCCGCCAACTACCCAAGTCCGCCACCCACCCAAGTCCGCCAACTACCCAAGTCCGCCACCTACCCAAGTCTTCCAACTACCCAAGTCCGCCACCTACCCAAGCCCGCCACCTACCCAAGTCCGCCACCTACCCAAGTCCGCCAACTACCCAAGTCCGCCAACTACCCAAGTCCTCCAACTGCCCAAGTCCGCCACCTACCCAAGTCCGCCAACTACCCAAGTCCGCCAACCATAAGTCCGCCAACCATCGAAGTCTGCCAACCATCCAAGTCAGCCAACAACCCAAGTCCGCCATCGACCCAAGTCCGCCACCCACCCAAGTCCGCCACCCACCCAAGTCCGCCACCCACCCAAGTCCGCCACCTACCCAAGTCCGCCAACTACCCAAGTCCGCCAGCTACCCAAGTCCGCCAACTACCCAAGTCCGCCAACTACCGAATTCCGCCAACTACCCAAGCCTGCCAACTATGCAATTCCGCCAACTATCCAAGTCCGCAATGTTAGAGATAGGCTGCAATTCGGTTGGCACAATTTTGTGTGTTGACACTTTCTTGGTTTTAGGGATACTCATATTTGTTAGGTTGGGTGTAGCTATGTTTTCATCCCCAACCTATCCCAACCCAATCCATCCCAAATCCCCACGATTTGGGAGGATTCCCTTGGGATTCCCTCCGATTCTCCCTTATCCCTTCCCATCCTCTCCGATGCTCGGTACTTAAGGATGTATGCTCTTGCTCATTTCAATCAATCAAGTTCTCAGTTTCTGAAATGGTATCAGAGCTCGTTTCCGCCTAAGCGGCTCTTGATCCTCTCGCTCCGTTGGAGCCTAGCATTTGCGTCTTACGACGCAAAGCTTTTCTAGTCGCCTCAACTCAGCGCGGCGCTTCTTTTCGGGCTGAAGCCCGTCGCCCCGCATCTGCTCGTCACACCTGATCGGGCTGAGCCCGTCGCCCCGCATCTGCTCGTCGTACCTGATCGGGCTGAGCCCGTCGCCCCGCATCTGCTCGTCGCACCTGATCGGGCTGAGCCCGTCGCCCCGCATCTGCTCGTCGCACCTGATCGGGCTGAGCCCGTCGCCCTGCATCTGCTCGTCGCACCTGATCGGGCTGAGCCCGTCGCCCCGCATCTGCTCGTCGAAGCTGGACGGGCTGTCGCCCGTCGCCCTTGCAACAGCGGGGGGGTGCAGCGGCGAAGCGGAAAGGGGGCAGCGGCGAAGCGGAAAAGGGGGGGTCGCGGAGCAGCGGGATTGCAGCAGCACATCGCGGGTTTCCATAGATTTTTGGCGTTCAGATTTCCCTCTTTATCGGCTATTCCTCTTCTCCGAGTGTTGAAAATCCGCAAAGGGAAACCCTGTTTTTCGCGGAGCCCGCGCTGCGCGCAGAGAAAGGGTCCTTGGAGCATCATGGCGTATCCTTCCGCGTCTCTCTCAAACCCGATCACTCCCTTGCGCCTCGACCCAAATGGCTCGAGCCCGAACTTCAAGGAGTGGAGCTATGGGGTTGATAAGCATCTCCTATGCCGCAAAATTGAGGGGATTTGCCTCAAGGATGTCCTCCTCAATCGCGGCAAAGGAAAGATGCCGATCCTTCCCAAGAAGCTCTCGGCCACAGCCACAGGGGAAGAGTTAAAAACCCATGAGGAATCCATGTCCAGGTATGAGGAATCTTACAGCGTGTGGGAGCAAGCCGACGCCGCTATCATTGGCGTCTTCGTCGGCACTACCCCTTCCGAGCTCGTCAAAACTTACCATAACTACCCCTCCGCGCACGCCATCTGGGAGTACCTCAACGACCGCTTCCTCAACAAAACCGCTGTGGGGGTGGCGATCCTCATCCCCCGCATGTTTCAAGTGCGTCTGGAGGAGTGCCCTGGAATGGCAGATTACGTCGCTGAAATTCAAGGGATTCATCAGGAGCTGAAGCAACTCGGCATTGTCTTCCCAGAGCAAGCCCCTGCAGCAGCTCTGCTTGTTGGGCTGACCCCCTCTTACAATGTCACCCGCTCCATGCTTCTCCATCTCCCGCCAGAAGAGCTAACCTTTGCCAAAGTCTCTTCCGCACTTCTCTCTGCTGAAAAAGACAACACTGCGCAGGCTCGTGCAAATGCGCTTCGCGCTCCTGTCCCGGCTCCAGCATCGCGTCCCAATCCGCCACCCACTCGTAACCGCTACCCACCCTGTCCTTACGTCATCAAAATGGGACCCCGTGCGGGTCAGGTGTGCGGCGGCACCAATCACCCGCTCGCCACCTGTTTCAAAAAGAAGGACGACGACTGGTTCGCCAAGAATGGTATCAACTCCAAGCCGCCCAACTGGCTTCGCATGCGCCAGCTCAACCAGGTTGAGGCACAGGATAGTCAGGACTCAGCCGTTCATGCCCCTAGTCCTGATGTTCGTCTCAACCTGTTGTTCCCTGGCCTTCCCATGATCAATGAAACCAGTTCCCAGTACTCGACGTCTCCACAAACACCATCTAAACCGCTTGAATTCGTCCTGGACAGTGGCGCAACCCACACAGTCCTCCGAGACAAAGAGTCTTTCAAACCATACCAAGCACCCATTCCTCTTCTGGGCGCTGACTCCAGCTTCACAACTGTCGCCCATGGTTCCTCCACTCTTCCATGCCCAGCCTTCCCATCTGGCACAGTCACTGGCATATGCGTGCCCACTCTTCGGCACAATTTACTTGCACAACATGAGATTCAACGAGCAGGGGTAACCACTATCTTCCCAGCTCATTCCAATCACTGTGATCTCCTTCAGCCCACCACCAATGCCCTACTTGCACGCTTCACACTGACCGCCAACAACCTCTACACACTCCAAGTACCTCCATCTTCCACAGAAGCACACTCTACCTCCACCACATCATCGTGCTCCTGCCGTCAGCTCACCGATCCAACCATTCTTTACCACCATCGTCTTGGGCATCCCAACTTCCGCATGCTCTCCGAGCTTGCGTCTAAGAAGTTGCTTCTTCACCTGCCCGACACACTTCCTCCACCCTCCACTTCTCCCGCTCCTCCATGCTTGGACTGCGCGCAAAGCAAACTACGCCAGTTGCCTCACCCTTCCTCGCCCTCTGCTGCAGCCGCCCCGCTTGACCTCGTCCACATGGACGTCTGGGGCCCAGCTCCAGTCCGCTCTCGTGGCGGGCACTCTTACTTCCTAGTGCTCGTTGACGATCACTCTCGCTATGCCTCCGTCCACCTCCTCTCCTCCAAAGCAGCTGTTCCAGATGTCGTCATCGCATGGCTTCGACAAGCCCAAAATCATTTCCGCACTTCAGTCAAGTGCCTCCATTCCGATGGCGGTGGCGAATTTCGAAACCATTCCCTTCAAGCGTTCTGTGCCTCCCAAGGCATTCGCCAGACCTTCACCCTTCCCCACAGTCCGCAGCAGAATGGCATTGCCGAAAGTCGCAATCGCACTCTCGTGCAAATCGCTCGCTGTCTTCTCACTCACGCTGGTGCACCACCTTCCCTTTGGGGTTACGCCCTCCTTCATGCCACGCTGCTGTACAACCTTCACCCTCACCCTCTTCGGCCTGCCATCACTCCCGCTGAACTGTGGACCGGCACCAAGCCCAGTGCACGTCCTCTCCGCGTATGGGGGTGTACAGCTTATGTCCTCCTCAACCCTCAGGAACGTCGCACCCACGGCGGCAAATTTGCACCCAAAGCTCAACCCTGTGTCTACCTCGGCCACAACCTGGACTCTCCCGATTACCTTTTCCTCAATCTCTCCACCAATCAGCTCATTCGTAGCCGCGATGTCGCCTTTGACGAGAGTCGCCCTTTTTACCTCTCTTCACCACCCCCCACCGCTCCACCTTCGCTTGTGTGGGCTGATTTCGATACTTCACCCACCCCACCTCCTCCCTCTGCCGCTCCTGCGGCCCCCTCACTCTCACCTTCCCCATCTCCTTCCACTCTCTCTCACCCCTCTTCGCCCACTGGCTCAGTTGCCCGTTCACCTCCGCCCGCGCCTGCACTTCCCCCTGCACCTGCTCCTGCAGCTGCCCCTCCACCTCCCTCTCCTTCTGTGGCTCCCCCTGCCCCCGCGCCTCCCTCCCCGCCTTCACCTCCGCTTCCGCCTCCAACCTCCACCTCTCCTCCCGACTCGCCCATCACCTATCGTCGCCGTCGCCACGGACGCTCTTATGTCGATGTCCCACCTGCTCCCCCGCCACCTCCCTCCTCTCCTGTCCCTATTGCTCACCGCACCCGCTCTCATGGTCCCGCTCCGCCTCTCGCCCTCTCTGTTCGCATCTCCCTCAATCCGCCTCCTCCTGCCGGGGGTGCATCCATGCCTGGCCTCTTGGAGGATAGGCATGAGGAGCTGATTGAGATCAATGCTGCCATCCGTCAGCTCTGCCATCTCTTCCCCGACCTTGCCGACGCTCCAACTCTTAACTTCTCGGAAAATCCATCCATCCCGACCCCGAACTCATATGATGAAGCCATCTCTGGACCACACTCCCCCCAGTGGCTCGCAGCCATGATCGCGGAGTGTGAAGCATTCATTCGCAACAACTCTTTCACGGACGTCTCCCCTCCGCGAGGAGTTAACATTGTCCGTGGCAAATGGGTTTTTCGCGTCAAGCAACTGCCTGGCGAACTCCCAGTCTTCAAGGCGCGATACTGTGCAAAAGGCTTCACGCAGAAGAAGGGCCTGGACTTCTTCGACACATTCTCTCCGACAGCCAAACTGCCCACACTTCGGACCCTGCTGGACATCGCTGCTCGATGCAACTTTGACGTTCACTCCATGGACGTCTCTGCTGCATTTCTCCAAGGGGATCTCCCCGAGGACATCTACATGGAACGTCCTCAAGGATTTCCCTTACCCTTTCCACCCGGCACGGTCTGGAAGCTGAATCGACCAGTCTACGGGTTGAAGCAGGCTCCTCGGGAATGGCACAAGAAGCTGAAGGCAACCCTCGAGTCACTCGACTTCCACCCCTCCTCAGCCGATCCGAGTCTCTTCATTCGCAAGAACGACAACCCGTTCTTCATCCTTGTCTACGTTGACGACATGATTCTCGTCTCCAAGGACTCCGATCAGCTGGCAGCTGTTAAGCAAGCTCTTGGGGACGCTCTCGCCATGAAGGACCTCGGTGAACTCAAGAACTACCTTGGGATGGAAATCTCGCGGGATCGCGAAGCTCGAACCATCACTCTCTCTCAAGAGTTCTATGTGAACAACGTCCTCAAGCGTTTTGCCATGGACAACGCCAAGCCAGTGGCCACTCCCCTTCCCTTGCAGCATGATCTGACCACTCCATCAGTTCCATCGCCTGAGCCTTGTGATGAGGCATACCCCGAGCTCGTCGGATCACTCATGTATGCGATGATGTGCACAAGGCCCGACCTCGCCTACCCCATCAGTGTGCTCTCGCGTTACGTTGCTGCCGGTCGATACACCAATCGCCACTGGTCGGCTGCTAAGCGCGTCCTTCGCTACCTCCAAGCCACCAAGGACTACGTCCTCACTCTCGGTGGCACGACCCCTCCTCACCTCGAGGGATACAGCGACTCCTCATGGGCTGATGATCAAGCTGACCGCCGCTCTTCCCAAGGCTATTGCTTCACCCTTGGCAGTGGTGTCATCAGCTGGCGATCTACACGCTCATCATCCGTCTCATTGTCATCTTGCGAAGCTGAGTTATACGCAGGCACCATGGCAGCCCAAGAAGCTCGATGGCTTACCTACCTCATGGCTGAGCTCGGGTATCCTCAGCAGACCCCGACTCTGTGGTGTGATAACGAGAGCACTATCCACCTCACCAAAGATCCTGTCTTCCACCAACGAACCAAGCACATCGAATTGAGACACTTCTTCATGCGCGAGCTCGTCCAGCGAGGGCAGTTGTGCGTCAAGCATATTTCCTCTGACTGCAACCTCGCCGACTTGTTTACGAAGGCTCTTGGACGCCGTGATCACTATCGTCTCCTCCGTACCATGGGACTTGGCGTCCCTACGGCTTCCGACGTTGCAGCCTAGGGGGTGTGTTAGAGATAGGCTGCAATTCGGTTGGCACAATTTTGTGTGTTGACACTTTCTTGGTTTTAGGGATACTCATATTTGTTAGGTTGGGTGTAGCTATGTTTTCATCCCCAACCTATCCCAACCCAATCCATCCCAAATCCCCACGATTTGGGAGGATTCCCTTGGGATTCCCTCCGATTCTCCCTTATCCCTTCCCATCCTCTCCGATGCTCGGTACTTAAGGATGTATGCTCTTGCTCATTTCAATCAATCAAGTTCTCAGTTTCTGAAACGCAACCCATACAAGTCTGCGAACTATCCAAATCCGCCAACTATCCAAGTCCGCCAACTACGCAAGTCCGCCAACTACCCAAGTCCGCCAACCATCCAAGTCCGCCAACCATCCAAGTCCGCCATGTTGTAAAATATATATCTATACAACATGCATGCCTAGATTAAGAGGAGTAGTCAGTATAATTATTGGAGGGTTGTTGGTTGGGTTGACCAAACCCACATTTGGGTTGGTCAAGTTTGGTTTTGGTCCGAGACATTTGGTTGGCACTACTCCAACCAAATGGTCCTTGGTCCTAAGAACCAACCAATCACCAAGCACCACACTTTGTGGTTGCTTGCCTTCCAAGCAACCTCTCCCATTGGTCCACATTGTGGCCAATCGGAGAGCACCACACTTTGTGATTGCTTGCCCTACAAGCAACCTCTCTCATTGGTCCACTTTATGGCCAATAGGAGAGCTTATCTTCCAACTCTTCCTTGCTCCTTGTTTTGTACAATAGAGCTTCTTGGCTCCCTACTCAATTCAATCTTTTCTCCTCAAAAGCTAGCTCTTTCATGGTAATCAGAGCCACAATGGCTCACGCCACCTATAGTCGATCCTAACTAGCACGGCCCTAAGCCGTCCCTCCTCATCATCGAAGCCTAGCCCTTCTTTAGGCTACTTCCCGCGCCGTCCGTGCGCCCTCTCTCGTCGCGCTCTCCCATCACGCACGCTCTCCCTCCCGTCGCGCGCCTCCTATCGCGCCCGCTCTCCCTTCCGTCGCGCACCTCCCCTCGCGTCTGACGACGCCATTTTCCTTCCGCGCGGTTCGTCGCCACATTCTCCCGTCGTGCGCCCTCCGCCACCACGCGCACCCGTCTGTTGCGCTCTCCCACTGCACGCCCGTTCGTCGCGGTACCTGCGCGCACCCGCCGACGAATCCGCCCATCGCGAACCTGCTCGCCGCCGCAGCCGCCGCCGATTCCGCCGTCGAGTGCGGCTGTCCGTTGCCGATTCCGCCTTCGCACACGGCTGTCCGTCGCCGCTTCCGCCGACCGTGCGCGGCCGTCCGTCGCCGACTTAAGAGCTGCGCTCCTCGCACCTACTCTTTTCCTCCCTCCTTCTCCTCCTCCTTTCCTTTTCCTCGTCTTCCCCTTCCTTCCCCTCCTCCTCCTCAATGGCGTCCGATTCATCGGTGGACCTCACCTCCGTTGACGCTCTCGAGCTGCTGCCCAACAACCCCGCGGCCAATTGACATTCCTATGCCCAGACCGTCATGGTGCTTCTCTCCTCGGTGACGGTCAACGGTTACAACTGAAAATCCGTTGTCCATCTCGAGGAGCGCGGTCTTCACCATCAGGCTCCACTGCATCCCTGGGGTTCACCCCATGCCGCCAAGGACACACCCACCCACTCACCTGCTCTGTGCTGCCAAACACGTTGGCTCCTGAGCTCCCTGCACCCTCCCCCTCCTCGTCATCATCTGGCACCACCGCATCTTGGGGGTTGACCCCGTGCAGCCACGGCGACGCCAGCAGCCACTGCTGCGACCCACTCACCCACTCTGTCTGTCCCACCCACCCACCTGCTGCGTGCTGCCAAACACATTGCCACCCGAGCTCCCTGCACCCTCTTCCTCCTCCTCATCATCTGGCTCCACTGCATCTCGGGGGTTCACCCCGTGCAGCCAAGGCGACGCCAGCAGCCACTGCTGCTGCCGCTGCTGCCAGGTGAAGCGGACCAGGGGTGCCGTGGGGTGGGATCCGGTGCTGGGGGCAGTGGGAGGGGCGGGGGGGGAAGGAGGGAAAGAAGGGAACTAGGGAGGTTGGGTGAGGGTTGCTGCCACTGCTGCCAGGTGAGGTGCACCAGGTGTGCCATGGGTTTGGATCCGGTGCAGGGGGCAGTGGGGCGAGAAGCGGTTTGGTTGCACACTACGCACCGCACACACACGCACACACACACACATACACACACACACTCTCTCACACACACACACACACACACATTCTCTCACCACATCGCCCATCTCGTGTGGTGTGGTGGTCTCTCATACAGCACCACACTTAGTAGTCCCAGTGTCGCCTGCGTCTTGCCCGTGCCCCGGGGTGGCCTGGATGAGCGCCAGCGGATATCACACACACACACACGCTCTTCCACACACACACACGCTCTTCCACACACACACCTACCCGGCATCCCCCATCTCGTGCGCCGGCCGCCCATGCAGCACCACACTGAGCAGCCCCAGAATGGCCTGTGTCTTGCCCGTGCCCGGGGGCCCCTGGATGAGAACCAGCGGGCGGCGGGACAGCCCGCCCTTGATGGCGCGCAGCTGAGAGTCGTTGTGGCTCGACTCCAGATACTCCATCAGCCCCTCGGGTACTCTCCACTGCTGCTGCCGCCCCTCGCCGCCTCCAACCCCCTCCTCCTCCTCCTCTGCTGCTGCTACTCCCACTACCCCTGCCCCCGCCCCCACCTGTTTCTGCCCCTGGCCGCGCATGTGGGTGGCGAGCACGGTGCGGATGTAGGGGAGGGAGGGTGCGGAGCGCAGGGCGGCGTACTCGCGGCAGATGGTGGACGTGTTGCAGAGCTTGGTCACCCAGCACGCACTGCCGCCCGATGCTGCCGCGCCCATCAGGAACGACAGCATCCGATTGGCCCTCGCCCGCTGCCGCAACCCCCACCTTATCCCCTTCCCGCTCCCTTTCCCTTTCCCCTCCGCCTTCTCTCCTTCATCCCTCGGCCCCGCCCCTCCAGCCCCTTCCTCTTCTTCTCCTGCTTTATTGGACTTGCCACTCCCCTCGTCCGCCCACTGCCAGGGGTCCTCCAGGCACAGTCTTAGTCGCAGGGACGTCTTGGTCTCCCGGGATTCCACGCTGGCTATGGCGTATGTGGACGGCAGGGCGCTGCCGCCCCACGGCTGGAGAATGGGGGTTGGGCGAGAGGAAAAAATAAGCAAGATTTTAATTCAGTGTGGAAGTGAGGGGGGGGATGGTGGGCGGGTGGGAATAGAAGGAGGCAGGGGGCGGCGGAGAGGGTGGGGGGGAGTGGATAAAGGGGAGAAAGTACCTTTTCCTTGGCGAGGAGCAGGAGGTCGTTGTCGTGGCAGTCCGCCACCACGGCCTCTTTGCACGCCACCCCCACCATGTGGAACTCGTTGGCGCGCTCACACCGCACCGCCACCACCAGCTGGCACTCCATGCCGCCTGCCAGGAAGACGCTTGGCACAGAGGGGGAGAGATGGCATTAGATAGTAGGGACGCCGCCACCCCCACACATGTGGAACTCATTAGCACGCTCACACCGCACCGCCACCACCAGCTGGCACTCCATGCCGCCTGCTGTGCGCATATGGGAGAGACAGCATCATCAACACGATCAGCAGACAGACAAAGCCACCCCCACCGTGTGAGAGCTGTTGGCTCACTCCATGCCACCTGTGATGTCGGCAACGAGGCACCACATAGTCAGACGGGAGCACTCTAGTGAGATGAGAAAGCACAGGGGTTGGGTACGAGAGTGGGCGGAGGTGGGGGCGTCTCTCTCTCCTCGCCCCTCTACGTCTCTCACCTTGCTCCTCCGCCCCTCTGAGGATCTGCGCCCTGCATTCCTCCAGCAGCAGGCGCTCGAACACGTCCACGTACTCCTCCGCACTGCCAAAGCTCACCGGCACCTCACGCAACTCATCCTCCTCCCCCTCCCCCTCCGCCTCTGCCTCCGGTACTTCCTCCGCTGCTGCTTCTGCTGCTGCTTCTGCTGCTGTTGTCTCTCCCTCCCCAACCTCCATCCCCGCCGCTTCCCCTGTCCCTTCCCCTATCCCTCCCCCTGTCTCTCCCCCTGCTCCTCCCCCCTCCTCCGCCTCTGCAGCTTCCCCCTCCTTTCCCCCCTCTGCTGCTCCGCCCTCCACCTCCATCCCCTCCTCCTCTGCCCCTGCCGCTGCTGCTGCGTCCGTCCCTGCCGCTGTAGCTGCCTCCGCAACGGCCCCCTTGGTGCCTCCACCGTCCTCCAGAGCGCCAGCATCGGTCCTTGTAGCCGCCTCTTCCTCTTCCCCCTCCGTGGGAGCAGAAGGGAGCTTGGGGAGCTTCTTCGGCTGCCTCTTCCTCTCCCTCACCTGCTTGGCACGTGGCACATGGGGCAGAGGAGAAAGGGTGCGCGCAGGGAGGGGGGGGAGGGAGAGAAGGGGGGGAGGGAGGACCGGGGGAAGGGGGAGGGAAGAAGGAGAGGGGAGATGCAGCACTGGTGTCACACCGCAGACAACGCTACCAGCATGTGGAGCAAGTCTCAGCTCAGCACGCAGTACACACGGCTGCATGGTACTGTAGAGTGCCCCTGAAATGCACACCAGAGAGATCTCAAGCATGGGTACCTTAGAGAGTACCGCCATCGCACCTTGGAGCGCGCCAGCGTGTGCAAGACGTCCCAGCTCAGCATGGTGCGCAGCAGGCGGCACAGGCACTGGCTGTGGGGGGTTGCATGGTACCTTAGACAGCACTGGAATTCAGACCGAAAACAGCACTCCCATCGCACCTTGGAGAGCGCCAGCATGTGGAAGAAGTCCCAGCTCAGCACGGTGCGCAGCAGCCGCGCCGTGCTCGCCGCTTTCTCCCCGCCCCCCTCCTTCCCCCCCCTCTTCCCGCCCGCCATTCCGCCCACCACCGCCATGCCGCCTCCCCCCATACTCCGCACGCGTTGGCGCGCGCTCAGCGCCGAAAAGAGGCTCTTGCGCAACGAGCGGCACGTCTGCTTACTGCAAGTGCCCCGCGGTGTGGTCTAGGCCGGGTCGGGACGCATAGCCCTCTGAGGATATTATTTATGGCGCGGAGTGTCGAGCCGCGGGAGGCGATGACGAGATTAGCGGCGCGATAAGCGGCGAAAGTGGGGAGTGGCGATGGTGAGATAAATCAGCGCAGAGGGCGGGGAACACTAGGAACAAATTTGCTCTCTTCACGACTAGCAATTTACAAGGCGACAATAAAATCGCAGGGTTGGGGGTTCAGGGTTTTGGAAATTTGGCGTGGCTTTCACTGCTGACTTCGGGGAGGACAGCGACGCTTTTCCTTACTCTTTGGAATTTGTTGAGATTCGAAGCCTTGTTTTCCATCGAATCGCACTTCGCGCTAGCTGGAACTAGCCAGGTAGTCGAATTCCGCCGAAATTCCGCGGCAGGGGCGCCATGACATGGCGCTCCCCTTAGCTCATGCGCGCGCATCATGCTGCGCGCTAACTGTGCGCGCACCCAGCGCCAATGTTCTGCCAGACGTTTGCGCTCATACGCGCGCACCCGGTTCGCGCGCAGCCCTGCCGCCCCTCTCCGCGCGTCCTGTCGGCTTGGCGTGTGCTGACGTGCCACGTGGCGTAATATTGCGCGGGCCGCTGTCTCACAAACGGATTGCGGGACAGCTCTGCAGCTCACATCGGAGCCTTCGCTTGAAGGGGGATCGATGCACATATCGGCGGGTGAACGAGTCTCGGCGCATCTGTGCTCCGCCTGTCCGCGGGAAGGTCGCAGGCGCGCCTAATGGGGGGAAATGCGCTGTCGGGGGGGAAAGGCGGAAGGAGGAAAAGGGGGAAGGGCGGTACCGGGGGGGAGGGGCGGTGGAGAGGCAAACCCTGAGGGGCTTGATTGCGCTGGAGAGAAGGTTGGCGGGGGGGAGGACGGGGGAGATTGCGCCAGGGGCGGATGAGGCGGGTGACAGGCGCAGAGGACAGGGGGAGGGGGAGGTAAAGGTGAAACGGCGGGTTGTGCTGCTGCGGTGTGATCTGAGTGACCTGGTTGGGGGTGGGGGAGGGGGGATAGGGGGAGTGGGGAGAAGGCGAAGGAAAGGGATACAATGGCGCAAGGTAGGGAGGAGAGAGGGGAGGGGGAGGATGAGGAGGGAGAGGAGGGGGAGGAGGAGGAGGCGGAGAGTGTGGGCAGTTTGAAGCTGATGGTGGGGGAGTGGGGGCAGAAGTACGCTCTGGTGGTGGTGGTGGCAGGGGAATGGACGCCAGGCACGGTCTCCCAAGCTGATGTGGCGGGTGAGACGCACATGGGAGCATGGACGCAGGTGCATGGCTTTCATGGTCAACATTGCAATCCTTCTATGCCACCTAGTACCCCACTTCCAACTCCCTCTCTTCCTCCTCCTCCCCATATTCCCCCCACTGGCAGCCCTGCTAACCACAGTATGCCACCTGCCCCAGTCGCAGCCTGTCGAGATCGCTCCTCTGCACTTCGCCCCTTTACTATCCACCGCATCAGCCACCGCCAACGCCACCCCTCAACCACAGCCCCCTCCCCACACCCCACCACCGCCTCGCATCCTGCTGCTCCCCAACCTCCGCCACATGTCATCCGCTGACGCTGCCAACTCACCAGCCCTGGCTGCCACGCTGGCAGGCGTGGCAGAAGCAGAGGAGCGGGCGGCAGAGGCAGAGGGGCGGGGAGCCCTGCACGAGCCAGAGCAGCACCCCTCTAGCCCCGCCCCCCCTTCTCCAGCGCTCCCAACCACCACCCCTCTGCGACCACCCATCCCTCTGCCACTGCCCCCATCCCTCCGCCTGTCCCCCGACCCCCTGGTCGACCTGGTGGTGGTAGACGCCCCCTCCGTCTGCCACCGCGTGCTCGCTTCCTCAGTGGGCGTGGCTGCCGTCGTGGGGCGGGCCGTTGCTGGGGTAAGAGTGGAGGGGGAGGTGATGGGGGTGATGGCTGCTGTGGGCGGGATGGGGAAGATGAAGGAGCGGGAGACCAGAGAGGGAGGTGGTAGTGAGGGGCGGAGCAGGGTGGTGGCGGTGGTGGGGGCAGCGAGCTTGGGTCGCAGTGGGCCGTTGATTCGTGCTCTCTTGCCTCGCTGCGATGCCCTCATGCTCTCAGGGCCCGTGCTGCCTGCCCTGCTGGCTGCTGCTGCTGCTGCTGCTGCCGCTACCCAACAGGATAGCAATGATGCTGGTGATGGTAGCAATGCTGCTTCAGTTCCAGGCTCGTTGAATGCTTCAGGCGCTTCAGGCGCTTCAGATGGCTGTAGAATCCGCATTGCCTCCTTGCCCGGGTTCCCCAAACTCGCCTCACTGCACAGCCGAGCAGCAGCACACGGCACAGGAGGAAGAGTCAGCGGCGGCTCACAAGGCAGAAGTGAGGACGCATATGTGGATGCCCACATCGCATCCCTCCTCGCTTCTCTCCCCCGCCCCTCCCCACAAGCCTTGGCTGACGCCTCTGCCTTTCTTGCCTCACTCCCTCCCGCCCTCCTCTCTCGCCTCGTGCTGCCTCTTGCTGTCAGCACCCCGCTGCCTGTTGCTGAAACCAGCAGCACTCACTCCCACCAGCTGCAGCAGCTTGAGTACCAGCACCAGTGTCAGTCGCAGCAGCAGCAGCAGCAGCAGCAGCAGCAGCAGCAGCAGCAGCAGCAGCAGCAGCAGCAGCAGCAGCAGCAGCAGCAGCAGCAGCAGCAGCAGCAGCAGCAGCAGCAGCAGCAGCAGCAGCAGCAGCAGCAGCAGCAGCAGCAGCAGCAGCAGCAGCAGCAGCAGCAGCAGCAGCAGCAGCAGCAGCAGCAGCAGCAGCAGCAGCAGCAGCAGCAGCAGCAGCAGCAGCAGCAGCAGCAGCAGCAGCAGCAGCAGCAGCAGCAGCAGCAGCAGCAGCAGCAGCAGCAGCAGCAGCAGCAGCAGCAGCAGCAGCAGCAGCAGCAGCAGCAGCAGCAGCAGCAGCAGCAGCAGCAGCAGCAGCAGCAGCAGCAGCAGCAGCAGCAGCAGGCAGAGCTGTCCACGTCATGCATGGAAGACATGGCTCAGCTCTGTGCTGCGATGAGGAGCCAGGTGCGTGTTCCCTCTGCTCCACGTGCTTGCTCCTGATCTCTCGCCACACATCTCCAGTGACCCAGTGGCCTATCCACTGCTCCACTGCTCCACTGATCCAGTGGTCCAGTGGTTTATTTTTCCAGTTGTTAAGCGGTCAACTGGTCAACTGGTCAACTGGTCCACTGGTCTACTGGTCTACTGGTCCAGTGGTCCAGATGTCGAGTGGTCGAGAGATCCAGTGGTCCAGTGGTTAAGTGGTCCAGTGGTCCAATGAGTATATTCTAATAGAATCACCCCATGGCCGAGTGAATCACCGCGTGGCCGAGTGAATCACCCCGTGGCCGAGTATCTCACGCTATGGCCGAATGAATTACCCTGTGGCCGAGTATATCACCCCGTGGCCGAGTCTTTCACCCTATGGCCGAGTGAATCAACCCGTGGCCGAGTGAATCCAGGAGGGAGGCGCAAGGGACAGCGCAAAGCGTTCAGCCATAGAGCTGGGTGAGCAGCAGAAAGGGTCGGCACACAGCGCACATAGCGCACATGCATCACCTCTCAGACTCCTATGCTCGCTGCCCTCCCCCTCTTCCCACCCACCTTGCCGCTTCCCTCGCAGCAGACCATCTTCTGGGCGGGCTCCATCTCCCTGCACTGCAGAAAGGAGGTGCAAGGGGCGCCGCAGAGCACACATGCATCAGCACGTGGCTCACATGGGTCACATGGGTCATTGCTAGGGCTGCCTTGCGCCGACTCTGCTCTGCTCACCCGCCTCACCACACCCACTAGCGACAGCAGCAGCACTAGCCGTGCAGTTAGGAACGCGCATTCTGCTGGTAGCAGCAGCCCGGCCCAGCTTGCTGCTGCTCAGGCCAGGAAGCCGAAGCTGATCGTGGTCGGGCGGCAGCTGAAGCAGGTGCTGGGAGGGCAGTTATGGCGACTCCCTGGAGGGCAACTGGAGATGGGCTCTGGAGAGGAGGGAAGGAGAGGGGGGGGTGGGGACGGAGGGGGGGAGTGTGTGTGGGTGGAGGGAGGGGCGGCTCTGCTTCGTGGCCTCCAAGGGATGCCTTTGCCTGGCGTTGACTGCCTTGACTTCGTGAGTTGAGTGCCTTGAGTTCGTGAGTTCCCTGATTTGAAACCTTCACATAAGCCAAATTCAACCAGCTCCATTCTCTTATATTGCCCTGTCTTGTCTCTCCCTCGCTCCTGCGCCCTTCTGTCTCGTCCACCTCCGCCCAGGTGCCACTGTCGCCTCCTGATTGGTCCACAGTGTTTCTCGATCCCTCGCTCCCTCTCACTGTTGACATTGGTTGTGGTGAGTGCAACGGTGGTGCATGCATGGTTGCCCGATGAGTGTTCTTAGAGTGGTGAGTGTAAGGTTGGTGCATGTATGTAGGTACACGGGGTGTTGTCAAGGTTAAATTTCATGAGAGAGAGGGAGATTCAACAGGCTTACTGCATGCTCCCTGCGTTGCCCCCTCACCAACTTGAGCTTGCAGGCAACGGGCGTTTCTGCCGCAGCATGGCTGGGAGGTTCAGAGGGTCGAGGAACTTCCTGGGGCTTGAGATCAACAGACATGTGAGCGGGGGTCATGGGGCGTGGGTGGCAGACGTGCAGGCAACTGAACGCGCAAAGAGCCATGTGGGCGCTCTCCTTCATGTTTTGAGGTGCCTGAAAAAAAAGAGCCATGTGGGCGCTCTCCTTCATGCATCCCTGTGTGATATGCCACTAGGCATTCCTCCTCATGCTGCTAGAACGTGGCATGCCTTCATTCCCCTCTCTCCCCATCTGCCCCCCTCTCGCCCCCTCTCTCCCTACCGCCCCCTCTCTCCCCTCTCCACTTCTCTCCCCCCCTCCTGCGCGCCCATCATCCCAGCTGGTGCAGAAGGCGCTCTCTCTAGCTGCCGGCACGCCACCAAGGCAAGAAGAAAGTTCCTTGAGGGCTCGGGACAGCCGTGAGCGGCTCACAGAGCACCGACCCAGCAACGTGTATGCTCGCCACTTCCCATGCTACCCTGCATGTAGTGATATCCTGCGTATGTAGTAGTTATGGGTGTCTATGCTTTCATGCTTAACAACTAGTGGCTATTTTCGGACTGTCTCTCTGGCTGCTCTCTCAAAAGAGAACTCTAAAAAAACATCACTCCCTGGCTGCCCCTCTCCCTGGCTGTCCTCGCATGTCCCCATGCAGATGGTTTGTGCATGCCAACGCCACCGCATCTCTGCACGCCCTTCTGGCCAACTACCCCGGCCCCATCCACCTCCTCACCATCCAGGTGCTCCTTCCCCCTCCTCCCTTCCCCCTCCTCCCTTCCCCCTCCTCCCTTCCCCCTCCTCCCTGTGCTCCTGACGGCCTCTCTCGCAACCCTCCAACTTTCTCACGCACTAGCCCATATTCTGTCTCACTTGCTCTTCCACATCCGTGTTTGGCATCTCCCATTCAACCAATCTGCTGAAACGTTGACGTCTTTCTTTCCCCTCATGTTCCTGCAGTGCCCCGACCCGGACTTTGCAGCGAGCAGAAGAGCGCAGGAGCGCGGCACAGCGCACGTGTACCGGTGGGGCATGCTCTCCCCTGCTCTCGTGGATGCCATGCTGGCTGTGCTGCACCCGTCTGGCCAGGTGAGTGGAGCTTGTGCCACCTGAGACATGCCATGCCGTGTCTCTGTTGCGCCCTCTCACTCCATGCACCCACCTCATCTCATGAGCCCAGAACATCCCACCTGCGCTCTCACCGCCCCCTTCATAAGCCATGTGAGTTGCCCATGCATTGAACGTGAGGGCACTGCAGTCACACCACTTGTGCTTCCGACATCTTCATCGCACAGCTTCCCTAAAACGTGTCCGTCACACCTGGCTTCCGCATGGAACATAATGAAGAAGTGTGCCTTCTTATTAACACAATTTTCCCCCCTTTTGCAGATTCTTATCCAGTCGGACATTGAAGAAGTCGCAACGCGCTTGACGTACGATGCCATTCGATGGTCTCAAGGGCGGTTGAACTTGCGGGATAGCAATGGCGGTGGTGAAAGTATTTGGATGGCTGATAATGGTCTTGAGGAAGCCCCCTCTTCAGAGCCATTCATTGCGCAGTGGGGAACAGAAGCGGAGTCGGATTGGGAGTTGCATGCCAAGACAAAGGGACGAGTTATGACATCGTTCTGGCTCCAGAAGATGTTCAACTCGTAATAAAACACAAAAACCTTTCTTATATTGGCTGTATATTCCGTGGACGGCAATCCGGAATTCTCCAGTTCCAGTCATTATCGAGTACACACCAACCGTTGGAATCGCTGGGGAAATGTGGCCCCCTAGCTTCAATCTGCCACCAGTGCAGTCCCAGAAGCTTATCGCCGAGCCTCGCTATGTGCTCAACCACTTATCACAGAAGTTCCTTTCCAGGGGATAGTTAATCTCCAGACTTGTGAAGCGACCAACCAGAGAAGCGTGGACGCGTTCGGCGATGGCAAAAGCCTCGCTGGCTGCATTGCGACGCCAATCGCCAGTCGCACGGCGATGTCGCAGCGTGCCGTCGCTTGTCGCCGTGACCCTCGCCCTGCTGCCACTCCTGCTGCACCTCTCCTCCGCCGCACGCCTCTCTGCGACCGATACCGCTCATCTGGTTAGTGTTTCTCGCGTTATCGCGACAGCTCATAGCGGGAATGCGGCGGGTATTCCCGACGACAGCCCTTTGTCAGTGTCGGAAGTCCCCGGTCGGCCCGCTGCCAGGGCTTTAAAGGTGAAGAAGAAAAAGAAGAAGACGGCGAAAGCGGCGATTGCGGAGGAAGAAGAAGGCAGCGCGGAGGAGGCGGCGCGAGCAGCGGCGGACGATGCGGTAGGGGAGGATGTTGTAAGAGACGAGGGGGACGAGGAGCGGGCTGGAGTGGTCAAGTCCAAGACGAAGGGGAAGAAGTCGAAGAAGAGCAAGGAGAGCCAGAAGGAGAGTGAGCTCGAGAGAGGTGAAGAGGGGGGAGAGGAGGGGGAGGGGGAAGGCGTTGCGGGTAAGGTGGGGAGGGCGGGCAGGAAGAGCGGAAAGGGGGGAACTGGGGAGCGCGGGGGTGGTTTATCCCCAGTGGATAAGGCACTGGCGGAAGCGGAAGCGATTCTTGCGGGGAAGGGGGAAGATGGGGAGGGGGAGGACGGGGAAGGGGGGGTCGAGCGAGCGAGGAAAGTAAAGAGGAAGAAGAGTGAGGGGAGGGACGAGGGCAGAGGAGAGGAGGGGAGTGGGGAGGAGGAGGAGGACGCGGATGGTGTAGGAACGCCTAAGCTAAGCAAGTCAAAATCAGCCAAGTCAATCAAGTCAAGCAAGGCGCGCAAGTCCGAGGGCGCAGAAGAGGATACAGGTGAAGCAGGGGAGGAGCAGGAGGTTGGTGATGGGGAGACCGATGGGGAGGCTGATGAGGAAGCAGTGTCTCAGAAAACGAGCAAGAAGAAACGGAAGAAGGCACAGAGGGAGGCGCCGGAGGGGGAGGAGGGGGTGGCGTCAGTGGCGCGGGGAACAGCAGGGGGCGTTGAGAAGGAAGGTGGGCAGGAAGGCGCAGACAGGAATGCCGCGAGTGCAGCAGAGGCAGCAAGATCGGACAAAGCGGTGCACGGAGAGGCCACAGGAGGGGAGGGAGAGGGGAGAGCAGGAGGCGGAGGGGCACAAGGGGCAGCAGCAGGAGGGGGAGCGGCAGGGGGTGAGGAGGTGACAGTGGCGTTCACGGGGCCGCAGGACGTGATGGATGTGCCGGTGGACGAGGAGATGGTCACTGTCGACCTCTCCGACGTGCCGCCTGACCCCGACCCGCCTAAAGACGCTGCTGCTGATGGTGTTGCTGATGGTGCGGATGGTGCTGCGGATGGTGCTGCGGATGCGGCAGCGGGGAATGTGCTACGAGGGGGCGCAGAGGAGATGGATGCTGGTGCTGATATCGGCAGGGAGAGCAGTAACTGGGGCTCTGGGAGAGCAGCTGCAGGTGGGGATGGAGAGCAGGGGTGGGGCTTTCTCCCCCGCTGGCTCACCGGGTCCGTGTCTGCCGCGCTGGAGCCCATCCTCGCCCCTCTCTACCCCTTCACCTCGCTCTTCCTCTCGCCCTCCCAGACTCTCCTCCTTGCTTCCGCCCTCGCCCTCCTCGCCTGCTGCTGCTGCTGCCTCTGCTGCTGCCACTCCCTCGCACGGCTCGCGGGCGGCAGGGGCGCGGCAGGAGCAGGGGCAGGCGGCAGCAGCAGCAGCTGGTTCGGGGGAAGGCACGGGTCAGTTGCGGCGTACTCTGGGGTGCCTCAGAAGGAGGTGGACCTGTCTGAGGCGTTTGGGCAGCAGGCTAAAGGGGGAGGGGCGGTGGGAGGGGCGGGGCAGAGAGCAGGGGGGAGTGGGGTGGATGGTGAGGCGGAGTGGGATGAGTGGGATGAGGAGTGGGGGGGTGGGAAGGGAGGGAGGATGGGAGGGAGGCAGAAGGGGGTGGGGAGTGGCGGGAGAGGAGTGGGAGGTGGTGGGGATGGGTATAGCTCAGGAGAGGGGGTGAGGGGAGGGGTGAAGAAGGGGGGGAAGCTGGTGGTGAGCAAAGGGGCAGGGACAGCTGGCAAGGAAGGGTGGAAGTCGTGACAAGAGGGTTACGGTTTGTTGTGTTGTCAGAGTAGAGATTGCTGCTACAGTGCTGCATGCTTCATGTGCATTCATTCCTGTGTGTTATCAGCATGTTTGTGTGCATCAGGTTGTACGTTTTATATGCTGCGTTTCTGATGGCCATTAGTGTTATGCTACACACAGCAGCCCTAGTGCCGAGTAGTGCCATTAGTGTTATGCTACATACACTTCTTCCGACACAACTCTGTACCAAATTCCAATAGTGGACTCTCTGTTGGGTGCACTGCACACATTTTCTCATTGCAAGTACCTCCGAGATCGTTCACATGATGTGAACGGCAGCATGTCGTAACGCTCCCCTGCTTGTGGAGTGGACTGTGACGTGTGACGGTGTGATCCCTGACACGGCTAAGGTATTGGTGGGGGTGACAGATGGTGGCTGGCTAGGTGGTGAGAAATTAGTCCTGTTGACGGAAAAAACGACGAGTCACACGTTGCTCTGGCCCCAATGGAGGGTCCCACCGTCCCACCAAGCAAGCTGCAGCATGGTGCGCACACATAAACAACGGTCCCCAACTGCACTTGCTCTGCTTCACGACTGCGGGCGAATGCAGGAACCCATGCAGTTTATGTGTGTGTAGGGGCTATCCCGGGGTGGTACATGTGAGTGTGGGGTGGGGTGTGGTGCGGTGCGGTGCGGTGGTCCTCCTGGGACCTGTTCTGACCAGGCCATAGAGTGAATGGCTCTGTTGGCATTGGCACTCTCGAAAGATAGGCGTGATGATGAGGTGAGGTCATAGATGAGGTGATGCTGAACAGAGCAAGAGTACACGTGGGTGTGGGATGTAGTGATCTTGAGTCCTGTTCTGACCCGCCATAGAGTGGACCTCTCTATTGACACGGCGAAAGATAGGCGAGATGAGGTGAAGCAGAAGGACAGCGGGGTTGGCTACTCTTCATCTGAGTCGAGCTGAATCACCTGCGCTGCACTGGACCCTGCAGGGGGTGGCGCAACGGCAGCGGTTGGGAGAGCGGAGCGGGAGAGAGTGTGAAGAGGGCGAGAGTGCTTGAGTGTGAAAGCGTGAGAGTGTGAGGAGGGTAGCTGAGGAGGGGCAGTCACGGGGAGAAGGGCAAGGGTGACATGCATGCTCACAAGAATTGCCGGAGACCGAGAGAGACAGGAGACTGAACGAGACAGGCATCACGAATGTGCAAGCGAGGAGGGCCATAAGAGAGCCAGGAGGGAGGGCGGGGCCAGGACAGGGCAGGACAGGGCGGGGGCAGGGCAGGGCAGGACAGGGCGGGAGCAGGGCAGGGCAGGACAGGGCGGGAGCAGGGCAGGGCAGGACAGGGCGGGAGCAGGGCAGGGCAGGACAGGGCGGGAGCAGGGCAGGGCAGGACAGGGCGGGAGCAGGGCAGGGCAGGACAGGGCGGGAGCAGGGCAGGGCAGGACAGGGCGGGAGCAGGGCAGGGCAGGACAGGGCGGGAGCAGGGCAGGGCAGGACAGGGCGGGAGCAGGGCAGGGCAGGACAGGGCGGGAGCAGGGCAGGGCAGGACAGGGCGGGAGCAGGGCAGGGCAGGACAGGGCGGGAGCAGGGCAGGGCAGGACAGGGCGGGAGCAGGGCAGGGCAGGACAGGGCGGGAGCAGGGCAGGGCAGGACAGGGCGGGAGCAGGGCAGGGCAGGACAGGGCGGGAGCAGGGCAGGGCAGGACAGGGCGGGAACAGGGCAGGGCAGGACAGGGCGGGAGCAGGGCACGGCAGGACAGGGCGGGAGCAGGGCAGGGCAGGACAGGGCGGGAGCAGGGCACGGCAGGACAGGGCGGGAGCAGGGCAGGGCAGGACAGGGCGGGAGCAGGGCACGGCAGGACAGGGCGGGAGCAGGGCAGGGCAGGACAGGGCGGGAGCAGGGCAGGGCAGGACAGGGCGGGAGCAGGGCAGGGCAGGACAGGGCGGGAGCAGGGCAGGGCAGGACAGGGCGGGAGCAGGGCAGGGCAGGACAGGGCGGGAGCAGGGCACGGCAGGACAGGGCGGGAGCAGGGCAGGGCAGGACAGGGCGGGAGCAGGGCACGGCAAGACAGGGCGGGAGCAGGGCAGGGCAGGACAGGGCGGGAGCAGGGCAGGGGCAGGACAGGGCGGGAGCAGGGCAGGGCAGGACAGGGCGGGAGCAGGGCAGGGCAGGACAGGGCGGGAGCAGGGCACGGCAGGACAGGGCGGGAGCAGGGCAGGGCAGGACAGGGCGGGAGCAGGGCAGGGCAGGACAGGGCGGGAGCAGGGCAGGGCAGGACAGGGCGGGAGCAGGGCAGGGCAGGACAGGGCGGGAGCAGGGCAGGGCAGGACAGGGCGGGAGCAGGGCAGGGCAGGACAGGGCGGAAGCAGGGCACGGCAAGACAGGGCGGGAGCAGGGCAAGGCAGGACAGGGCGGGAGCAGGGCAGGGAATCAGGGGTTGGGAGGTCGCGGGGGCAGTGACTCACCATGCACGTGCCCTTGCTGCTGCCCGTGTGAGGGGAAAACATGCGAGGCCTGTACTGAGGCATGGGAATGTACAGGGTTGGCGCTGAGGATGGCATGGGTGCCATGTGATGGAGGATGCATGGCTTGTGAAGGACTTATGCCATGTGGATGTGACTGAGTGGCATAGGGTTGTGCATGGGACGATGGAGCAGCTGTGCGTGCGTGCACAGCGGAGGGAAACGGTGAGGTGCGTCTGAGAGGAGGGGAAGTTGCAGGCTGCGGAGCAGCAGCAGGAGAGCGAGGAGAAACAGCAGGAGGCGAGGCTCGAGCAGTGGGAGGAGGAGAAATGGCCGTGGTAGCTGGAGGAGGAATGACAGCAGGAGCTGCGACAAAAACTCGATTCACTCCGGACACCATGAAGGACTGTAGATACTGTTGCTGGGACGACGTCCTCTGCTGTTGCTGCTGCTGCTTCTGTTGCTGCTGTAGCCGCTGTTGCTGCTGCTCTTGCTGCTGTTGCAGTTGCTGCTGCCGCTGCTGTTGTTCTTGTTGCTGTTGCTGCTGTTGTTGCTTCTGCTGCCGCAGCTGCTGTTGCTGTTGCTGTAGCTGCTGCTGCCGCAGCTGCTGTTGCTGTTGCCGTTGCTGCTGCTGTTGCTGTTGCTGTTGCTGTTGCTGTAGCTGCTGCTTCCGCAGCTGCTGTTGCTGTTGCTGTTGCTGCTGCTGCTGTTGCTGTTGCTGCTGCTGTTGCTGTTGCTGTTGCTGCTGCTGCTGTTGCTGTTGCTGCTGCTGTTGCTGCTGTTGCTGTTGCTGCTGCTGTTGCTGCTGCTGCTGTTGCTGTTGCTGCTGCTGTTGCTGCTGTTGCTGTTGCTGTTGCTGTTGCAACAGCCTCCGGCGCAGAAGAAAGGCTTCCAAGGCTTCTACTTGCACGGCTGATACACTTCGCTGCTGCGGCGGCTGCTGCTGCTGAAGCTGCTGACGCTCTTGCTGTTGCTGATACTGTTGCTGTTGCTGTTGCTGCTGTCCAGCTCGTTGCAAGCTCAAGCACGGAAAGGGAATGGTGGCAGCAGCACCTGCCGTGGCAGCAGTGGTGGCAAGAGGAAAGGCACGGGGAAGGGGAGCGATGGCTGCTCGAGCAGAGGGTACAGCGCCACCAGTAGCAGCAACAACAACAGGACCAGCAGCTGGAGCAGGACCAGCGGCGGCAGCAGAGCCAGCAGCACCACCACTGGCAGCACCAGCTGCAGCAGCAGCCGCGACAGCACAGCCTGTCACACTCATTGCAGGAGGTGGCACATAGGGTGTGCGCACATGCGCCTGCGGATTCTGCTGCTGCTGCTGCTGCTGCTGCTGCTGCTGCTGCAGCAGCTGCTGCATCGGCACGTGGTGCCTGGCCAGCACAACACGAGGCAGTGGCGGCGCTGGCCTGACAGCACCTCCTTGGGGGGTAACCACTGCAGCACCCATGGCCGCACCCACTGCACTCATCGCAGCACTGCGTGCCCCATGCATCCCTGACGTGCCTGCAGGCATGCTCGCTGTGCCTGCATGCTGGCTGGCTGCTGTGCCGACTGCTGCTGCTCGGGAGCTTATTGTTGGTGCACGCAAAGCTGGTGTGGCTGACGGATCCAAACCCATTTCCGCAGCACCACCACCCGCAGCACCACCGCCCGCAGCTACCCTAGCAGCAGTGGCATGAGCACCAGCACCAGCAACAGCACAAACCGAGCCTCTCGCTGAAACCTGGTTCCCTACCCCTCCTGCTGCCACACCTACCGCTCCCGAACCTGCTCCTGAACCTGCTGCTCCCGAACCTCCAGCTGCGGGCGCATTTGGATACTTGGCCTGCCAAGCCTGCACCAGCGGCATCAAGCCGTCCACCATCCCTATGGCCTCCCTTGTCCTCTCTGTCGCCGCCGCCCCTTTCGCTCTCACTGCTGCCTTCCTCCTCTCGAACCTCTGCTGCAGCAGCGCCAGCTGGCGTGCGTATTCGTCGTCCAGCTGGCGCTCGGCTGCCAGCGTGGCGGCCTGCTGGTGCCTCTGGAGATCCTCCAATCGCAGCCGTTCCGCCAGCAGGACATCCCGTGTGGAAGGGGCGAGGTTCTGGGCGGCGGAGAGAGTGGCACTGTTCATGGGGGTGTGGTCTGAGGAAGGGGGAGTGGTGCTGACAACGTCAGGCAAAGCAGCATGCTGACCATGCTGCTGCTGCTGCTGCTGCAGCTGTTGTTGGCGGTGCAGCTGCATATCGCGGGAGAGCATGCTCTGGTGCTGCAAGCCATTGAGGCGGTGCAGGAAGCTCAGGCGGGGGGGGGATGGCTGCCTGGAGGGCCTGCGGATGCGAGAGGGAGGAAGGTCAGAGACAGCAGGCGATACCGCTGCTGCTGCTGCTGCTGCTGCTGCTGCTGGTGCTGGTGCTGGTGCTGCTGCTGCTGCTGCTGCTGCTGCTGGTGCTGAGCGCGCTGGCGCCACTGAAGCTGCTGGCACCGGTGCTGCTGCTGCTGGTGTTGCTGTCACTGTTGCTGGTATTGCTGCTGGTGCAGGTGCTGTTGCTGGCGCTGTTGCTTGCACTGTTGCTGGCATAACTACTGCTGCTGCAGCAGGTGTTAATGCAGATGCTCGTGCTGTTGCTGTTGTTTCTGCAGTTGCTGTTGGTGTTGCCGGTGCTGCTGCTGCAGCCACTGTCAGTGCTCCTGATACTTCAACCGTGTTAGCTGTTGCTGTGGCAGCGCCAGTGGCACCTCTGTCTGCCATGCCTGTTCCACCTGCTGGACCTGCTGGACCTGCTGGGCCTGCTTGTCCTGCTTGACCTGCTTGTCCTGCTTGACCTGCTTGACCTGCTTGACCTGCTACCGCTACCAATACTAAGCCCACCATTGCTTGACAGCCTTCCACCTCTCCTCCGCTCATCTCTTCCCCTCCGCTCATCTCTTCCCCTCCCTCTATCTTTCCGCCTCCCTCTATCTCTCCGCCTCCCTCTATCTCTCCGCCTCCCTCTATCTCTCCGCCTCCCTCTATCTCTCCGCCTCCCTCTATCTCTCCGCCTCCCTCTATCTCTCCGCCTCCCTCTATCTCTCCGACTCCCTCTATCTCTCCGCCTCCCTCTGTCTCTCCGCCTCCTGCTTCCCTGGCTCTGACTGTTGCGCCCCCTCCTTCTGCTGCTGCTCGTTCCTCATGCGCCTCTGTCATCTCCACATCCACTGCTCCCTCCACTCCTCCCCCCCCTCCTTCCCCAGCTATCCCTGCTTCGCGCTCTGCCCCCACTGCTGTCTCTGCCCCCACTGCTGTCTCTGCCCCCACTGCTGTCTCTGCTCCCTCCCCTCTCTCTCCTCTATCTTCTTCCGCTGCTCCCTCTGCTCCCTCTGCTCCCTCTGCTCCCTCTGCTCCCTCTGCCCCCTCTGTCCCCACTGCTCCATCTGCTCCCTCTGCCTCCTCTACTCTACCCAAAGCATTCCCACCCTCACCCTCAGCCCCACCCACAGTCCCCTCCTGCCCTCCTGCCACTCCTCTTCGACTGCCTTGCTCCTTCTCAGCCGCCTCACTGCCTCCCTCTCCCCCCTCCCCATGCGCCCTCTCCTTGGCTGACTCTGCTGCAGCAATATCGCGTGCAGCTGTATCGCGTGCAGCTGTATCTGGTTCAGGTGTTTCTGTGAGAGGTGTATTGGGTGCAGGTGTATCAGGTGCAGGTGTATCAGGTGCAGGTGTATTGGGTGCAGGTGTATCGGGTGCAGGTGTTTCTGGGGCAGGAGTGTCTGCTGCAGGAGCGTCAGTTGCAGCAGTCTCAGCTGTGGCAGTTTCCGGAGGCACTAATACGATTCCATCACACCCACCACCGGTGATAGTCTGCCCTTTCAATGCCCCTGCCTCTCCCACCGCCTCCCCATCCAGGCTACCCTCTTGCCTCTCACCCTCATGCGCACTACTCCCCCCCTCCTCTCCCCCACGCTCACTACCCTCACCCACGCCCTCGTCCCTCTCACCGACTTCTCCGACAGACCGCCCTTCCTCGCCCTTCTTTGACTCCACCTCTTTTTCCTCCTCCACTTCCCTCTCCTCCACCACCTCCCCTTCCTCCCCCACCTCCCTTTCCTCCCCCACCTCCCTCTCCTCCCCTACTTTCCCCTCTGCTCCTGATTCCACCTCTCTGCCGTCCTCCCTCTCTCCACTCTCCCTTTCTGCACCCTCCTGCTCTCGTTCCGGGCTGCTGCTTCTACCCTCCTCAACCGCGTGCAACTTCTCCCCCCTTTCCTCCTCCGCACCCTTCTCTCCACTTCCCAGCTCTCCTCTCTCCTCTTCCCTTCTCTCCTCCTCTCCTTCTTCCTCTTCCCCCATCTTCTCCACCCTTCTATCTCCCTGTACTCTTCCCGCCTCGTCCACTTCCATCTCCCCTCTCTCCTCCTCTCTTGCATCCTCCTCACTTCCCCCCTCCACCTTTTCCTCATCCCCCTTTTCGCTCTCAATTGCTCGTCCATCTCTCACTGCCTCATTCACTAATCCCCCGTCTTCGGCAATCACAGCCCCATCCGACCAAGGCCCCTCGCTCTGCAATTCACCACGCTCCTCTATTGCCCGGCCATCCGCGGCCATCACTTCTCCAGCTGCTACCCCCTCTCCGCTTTTCCCTGCCTCGCCTCCCCCTCTCTCCCCGCCGCCACACTCCTCTGCCTCCTCTCCCTCCAACCCTGCCTCCTCTCCCCCCAACCCTGCCTCCTCTCCCCCCAACCCTGCCTCCTCTCCCCCCAACCCTGCCTCCTCTCCCCCCAACACTGCCTCCTCTCCCCCCAACCCTGCCTCCTCTCCCCCCAACCCTGCCTCCTCTCCCCCCAACCCTGCCTCCTGTCCCCCCAACCCTGCCTCCTGTCCCCCCAACCCTGCCTCCTGTCCCCCCAACCCTGCCTCCTGTCCCCCCAAGCCTGCCTCCTGTCCTCCCAAGCCTGCCTCCTGTCCCTCCAAGCCTGCCTCCTGTCCTCCCAAGCCTGCCTCTTCCCGGCTCAAGCCAGCCTCCTGCCGTGACCTTTTACCCAGCACAGACCGCTCCCCGCCCCTCTCCACCACTGCACTCGCTTCTTCTGACCCATGCTTCTCACTTCCTGCTGCCTCCCCATGCGTCTGACCATCTCTTTCACCCCCTTGCTGCTTCATAGCACCAGCAGCACTTGCATGCACTGGCTGCTCACCACCTACCCCTGAGTGTTTTTCACATGCGACATCGCCAACAGCAGCCTCCCCATGCGTCTGACCGTCTCTTTCACCCCCTTGCTGCTTCAAGGCGCCAGCACCACCTGCATGCGCTGGTTGCTCACCACCTACCCCTGAGTGCTTGTCACGTGAGTCATCGCCAGAAGCAACAGCCCCTGGATGGGCTGACTGCTGTCTCAACAAGTCCGCGCGCTCAACAGCACCGTCTGCTGCCCCCCCATGCGCCTTCACCCCGCCAGCAGCACCTGCATGCGCTGCTCGCTCACCAGACGCCTCAGAGTGCTTTTCATGCGCCTCATCACCAGACGCCCCTGAATGGGCCGACTGCTGACAGGAAACGCCCGTGTGCTCAACAGCACGTGCCGCACGCACTGCTTGCTCCCCAGATGCATCGGAGAGCTCGTCTGAAGATTCATCACCAGAAGCCCCTGAATCCGCTGACTGGTGACCCGACAAGCCTGAGCAATCATCCTGGGGCTCCTCTCTATATCCCCCTACCCCCCTCCCTCCTACCCCTCTCCCTCCTCTTCCCCCTCCTCTCCTCCCGCCTCCCACCAGCACCCCGCCTCGCACCAACACACACCCCCGCCAAAACCCTCTCCCAAGTCTTCTCTCTCTTCCCCTCCCTCTTGACCCGCTGTCAGGGGATGGCCTCTGCACAGGTTCCTCCCTGCCACGTGGGATGTTTTCTGTCACCTGGCTTGCCACGTCATCTTCCCCTTTGCCACGTGTTTCGCTGCTTGCCATTCCCGATGCCACTGCCCTTGACAGGACATCTGGCACCTGGCTCGCCACGTCATCTTCCCCTTTGCCACGTGTCACATTGCTTGCGAGCCCACATGTCAAAGCCTTCGAAGAGCCATCTGGCACCTGGTTTGCCAAATCATCCTTCCCTTCGCCACGTGTTTCACTGCTTGCCATCCCACGTGCCACTGCCTTTGATGGGCCATCTGGAACTGGGCTTTCCACGCCATCATTCCCTTTAACACGTGTCTCATTGCTTGCCAGCCCACATGTCAAAGCCTTGGATGAGCCATCTGGCGCCTGACTTGCCACATCACCCTTCCCTTTGCCACCTGAGCCACTGCTTGCCATCCCACGTGGCACTGCTTTTGACGGGCCATCTGGCACCTGACTCGCCACGTCATCCCCTCTGAGACTTGTGTCATCACCCGGCAATTCACATGACTTTCGTTTCGGAGACCCATCTGGCATGTAAGTTGCCACGTCACCCTCCCACTCACTCGTCTCAGTGCTCGGCAAGCCACGTGTCCCTTCTGTTGGCGAGCCACGTGGCACATCCTCCTGCCACCTCGGATCATCCGGATCGCAAGGCACACAGCTCGCTAGGCCCCCACGGAACCGCACCTGACGATTCACCTGATGATTCACCTGAGGGTTCACCTGTGGACTAACCCTGTAACCAGCTCCAGGTTGTCCACGCCAGAGTCCAGGTTGTTCCCGCTGAAGTGGAAAACCAGGTGGGAAACGGCGGTCAGGTGGCAAACCAGGGGCGTGTCGGCCACTGCTTGGAAAAAAGCCGTTTTGGGGCAATGGTGGTCTAACCGGCAGGCCAGAATGTAAATGAGGGGTTGGAGGAGGGGGGTGGTGAGAGTTGGAAGGGGTGTGGTAGGAGGTAAAGGCTGGGGGATGGTTGGGGGGAGCAGGAAGACGAGCAAGGTTGGGCGGAGCATTGTGAGGGTAGCGGGGGGAGGTGGTTGGAGAGCCAGTGGGGGGAAAGGTGGGGGGATGGTTGGTGTTGATGCGTGCAGGAAAGCCGGGTGGCTGATGACGTGGCAGAAGGCCTTGTGGGCCTTGATGACTGGGCAGATGTGGGCCTTGCTGACGGGGAAGTTGGTAGGCATGGGGGCGTGGGGGAGATGTGAACAGGGGTGCAGGGAGAGGCGGGAACGCATCAGCCTGGTCGGGCTGCTGAGGCCCACGTGCATGGGTCTGGTTGGGCTCCTGCGCTCTGTGCACATGTGCGCCATGGGGCCTGGGGGGTACCCCATGGGGGGTGGGGAACACGCCATGGAGATGGGGGAATGTGCTATGCCGTGTGGGGAATGCGCCATGGGGGGAGGGCAGTGCACCATGGGAAGCAGAGAGCCCCCCATGGGGGGCGGGCAGGGCGCCATGCAGTGGGGGGAGCAGCCCAAGGGGAGTGGGCAGCAGCCCATGGTTCAGCGCTGCTACTCCCCTTGGGCCTTGCTGGCTGCTCGCAGTCGCACCTAGTCTTGGGGGGAGGGGTGCGAGCAAGGAGGGAGGGGGACCTGGTGGATGCCTGGAGTCAGCAGGTCGGTGGAGGTGTGAGAGTGAGCATGGGAGAGCAGGAGGTTCGTTGTGGGAGTGGCGAGACGGGACGGAGTACGAGCGGGCCAGCCATCTCTCTTGATGTGCTTGCTTGTTGCGCTCATTGTGCTCATTCTGTCCGCCCTGCTGCTCCTGCTGCTGCTGCTGCTGTTGCTGCTGCTGCTGCTGTAACTGCTGCTGCTGTTGTGAGCCTTTCTGCTGCTCACGCCTCGCCTGGCTCCCATCTTCTTCAATCGGCCTGTGCTGCGCCAAGGAACGCCCACCTCCGTCCGCACTTTCACCTCGTCCCCCCGCATCCTCCTCTACATGCCACTCACCCTCCTCCATCTCCTCACTCCCCTCCCCCCCAACCGTTCCTCGCAGCTGCCCTTTATCACCCAAACCTTCCTCCCTTCCCACTTCTGCATCTCCCTCTGCTGCAACCTGCCTCACCACCCCCTCTCCTGCTCCTCTCTCCCCCACTGCATTCCCCTCCAAGTCGCCTGCTTCTTCTTCGCCCTCTCCCCTCCTCACCGCTGCCTCATTACGAAGCCTGCTGCCTTCGCCCACTCTCTCAATCAGTCTCTTCCTGGCGTCAGCCACAGCAGCTCCAACGCCTCCCTCTTCCTCACCCTCTCCCCTCCTCGCCTGCACCTCCTCAGCCCCCCGCCTGCCTCCTTCGTCCTCCCTCTCAGCCAGTCTCCTCCTGGCCTCAGCCACAGCAGCAGCAACGCCTCCCTCTTCACTCACAGTCGACCGCCAGGCGCCACTGGCCAAGCCTGCACCGTCTAACCCACTTCTGGCCAAGCCTGCACCGTCTAACCCACTTCTGGCCATGCCTGCACCGTCTAACCCACTTCTGGCCATGCCTGCACCGTCTAACCCACTTTTGGCCCTGCCTGCATCGTCTAACCCACTTCTGGCCATGCCTGCACCGTCTAACCCACTTTTGGCCCTGCCTGCATCGTCTAACCCACTTCTGGCCATGCCTGCACCGTCTAACCCACTTCTGGCCCTGCCTGCACCGTCTAACCCACTTCTGGCCCTGCCTGCACCGTCTAACCCACTTCTGGCCCTGCCTGCACCGTCTAACCCACTTCTGGCCATGCCTTCACCGTTTATCTCACTGCCTGCCACCCCTATACCTATACTACCCACCCCACCATCCCCCACAGCATTGACCGGCATGCCACCACCACCCGCATCTGCACTGCCCGTCTCACCCCCATCCCCCTCTCTGCTCACATCCTTCACTGCTTCCCCTTCCCCCTCCTCACCAGCAGGTCGCTCCACGGAAGCACGCTCCAGGGGAGCATGATGCCCTAAAGGCTGCTCCCCTGCAGCATCACATGCAGCAAACCTGGCTGACGAGTCCAAATCTGCCGCCATGCCAGCTACTCCTTTGTCCATCCCACTCCCTTGCCCCTCACTGCCCTCACCGCCCTGCCTCTCTCCATCTGCCACTGGCATGGCCTCTCCTCCTCCCTTCCCTCTCACCCCTCTCTCCGCTTCCAACCTCCCCGCTGAAATATTCCCCTCCCCTTCCACTCCCTCCCCTCCCATTCCCATCTCCTCCTCTTCCATCCCACGCCCTCTCTCCTCCTCCCGGTCTACCTCACGTCCTCCCTCCTCGTGTTCCGCCCCATCTCCCCTGACTACGTCTCCATCCATTCCATCCCCCCCCTCCTGCCTTTGTACCCCATGCTCCCTCTCCTCCCCTTCCACCCCACCTCCTCTCCCCTCTTCCACTTCGGGCCCTGCTTCCTCCTCCACGACTCCTCGTTCTTCATCCTCTGGTCCCGGCCCACTTCCTCCCGCCACATCCCCTTTCATCCCATAACCCTCCTCCCCATGCACCCAATGCTCCCTCTCCTCCCCTTCCGCCCCATCTCCTCTCCCCTCTTCGATGTCGAGCCCTCCTTCCTCCTCCTCCACTCCTCGTCCTCCCTCCCCTGGTCTCGCTTCATTCCTTTCCGCCACCTTCTCTTCCATCCCACACCCCCCATCCTCCCCGTGCGCCCCATGCTCCCTCTCCTCCCCTCCCACCGCATCTCCTCTCCCTGCTTCCATTTCTTCTCCCCTCTCCTCCTCGACTCCTCGTCCTCCCTCCTCCCCCTGCATCCCACGCCCTCCCTCCTCCCCCTGCATCCCACGGCCTCTCTCCCCTTCCACTCCACCGCTTTCCCCGCCCTCTCCTCCCCCCCCACGCCCTCTCTCCTCCCCTTGCACCTCCCTTGCAACACCCTCCAAGTCTTCCACTGACAAGACAACTCTCACAGGCTCGGATTCAACCGGACCTGCAGGTCTGGGCCAAGCCAGCGCCCGACCCAGAGCCACGGACGTGACACCCTCGGAGTACAGGACACTGTTGCCCGCCCATGCTTTCAGTCTCCGCTTGTTCGCCGACCAAAACGAGAGAATCTCCCTAGTTAGCTTCTGCACACCTGCACCTGCATCTGCATGTGCATCATCATCTGCATCTCCATCCCTGCTGCCGCACGGCACCCGCCCACCCCTAGTGCCGTTCTCCACACTCTTCTCCACTCCATTTTCCACCGCATGCTTCTTGCCCGTCCCAACCTCCATGGGGCCAGCACACCCATCCATCCTTCGTCTCTTCCGCCCCTGCCTGCTTTCACCCCCCTCCCTCCTCTCCTCCTCTTCCCCGTCCTGCTCCTCCCCCCCTTCCCAGTCATCATCGTGCCTCTTCACCCCTCGCCTCGCCCCTTGCTGCAACCCCTCTCCTCCCCCATGCAAACCTCCCCCTAACTCCACCCCTACACCTCTGTGCTCTCCCCTCATCTCGCGTCCTCGCCCTCTTAATTTCCCCCCTATCTCCCCCCCCAGCCCTCTCTCAGCGCCCCCCCAGCACCCCTCCAGCAGGCGCTGCTCCTCAGTGCCCGGGCAGTAGAGGCGGAGGATGGTGAGGGGCGGCAGAGAGCCCACTTGCTGCCGTGAGGGGAGGTTGGGACTGGGGCGGGTGCCACGGTGGAAGAGAAGGGAGGTCAGGAGCCTCTGGAGGGAATGATAGGGGGCGGGGGGTTGGGAGGAAGGGCGAGAGTGAGGTGGGGGGAGGGGTCATGAAAGACTTGAGGAATTAGCCATGGAGAGGACTTTTGAGGAATTAGCCATGGAGAGGACTTTTGAGGCGCCTCAAAAGGCATGAAAGGCTTAAGGAATCAGCCATGGAGAGAGCCACTCCCACTGACCTCTGTTGTAAGGGAAGGGTTTGCTGAGTCATCCACAACTATAGCCACGTCAATGGAATCCAGACTCATGGCGAATGAGACCAAAGTCGTTGGCGCTAGCACCACAAACAGACGCTGTCTGGGCGCGCCGGCCCCTTGCTCTCCGCCTTGCTTTGCCCCTGCTTCCTCATCTTTCTCCTTCCCGTCCTCCTCTCTCTCTTGCTGCTGTCGCCACACACTCTCCTCCTCAAAACCCTCGTCCACTGCATCCTGTTGCAGTCCTCTCAGCACCCCACCTCCCCCGTCTCTCCTCCCACTCCCCTCCCTCGACTCATCATCTTCCCCAACCTCCAGCTCGTCCCATACTTGCTCCTCCACCACTACCTCATCGTCATCGCCCTCCTCCTCCTCCTGCGGCTCCTGCTTCACCCTCACTCCCTCCTCCCTCTCCTCTCCCCTCCCCTGCTCCTCCTCCTTTCCTCCACGCTCCTCACAGTCCCACTCTCTCCCCCCCACCCCTGCATCTCCTTCCGCTCCTCCCTGTCCGTCAGCAGACCGACGCCCTTCCACGCCTCTATCACTACCTAACCCCAGCCCTTCCTCCTCCCCATCACCATGCACATTCCCCGCGACCCCCCTCCCCTCGGCATGCTCCCCGCCCACTGCATGCCCACACCCCCCCTCTTCCGCACCACACTCAGATGCCCCACGTCTCACGCCCTTCCTCTCTTGCCTACTTCTCCCCCCTCCAGCATCTCTCTGTCTTCCCGCCGCTCTCCCACCACCCCTACCTTTCAGCCCGATTCTCACTCCCCTCCTGGGGTTCCCTCCCGCCCTGCCGTCTTTCCCCCTACCATCCCTCCCACCCCTCCGGTCCTTTCCCCCTCTTCTCCTGCCACACGCGCCCATGCTCTGTCTCGTACTACCAGCCGCTGCTGCCCTCCCACCACCCACGTCCCTGGGTCTATCGCGTGGCACCTCCCTTGTCCCACCATGCACCACATTCTTCCCCACCTCCCCTCTCTCCCCTCTCGTCCCTCTCACCACCTGGGCCAGCTTCTGCTTGCAGACAGCAGGGGGGTCTGATGAGCGCAGGCGCAGAAAGGCACTCTCACTCCCACTCTCATTCTCACTTACACCCCACTGCTGAGACAGCATGCTGGCAAGCACCTCCCGCAGTTGAGCGCTCTGTGGGAGAATCGAGGGCAACAGGATTGAGACGCACGTTATGAGTAGAATCAGAGGGAAACGTCAAGACTTGCACATGGAGAAGCATGTGAGATTGTACGTGTGACGGTGACATGTGAACGACCAAGAGTGGACGCACATGCGCCAGCAGCAGAGCGGTCTTCCCTTCCCGCTGGAGGCACGCCAGCAGCGCATGCAGCAGCTGCAGCTTCCCACAGCACTTCTCCCCCAACGCGATGCTCCGCCCAGCCCGTGCTGCTGCTGCTGCAGTAGCAGCAAGCGCAGGAGCAGTAGCAGGAGCGGGAGGGGTAGCAGGAGCAGGAGCAGCAACACCAGCAGAAGTCGCAGTAGCAGAGGGGTTGGGGGTGGCATGTTGGCGAGGGCATGGAGCAGGTGGCAGCACATGCAGGTGCTGGCAGCACTGGACAGAGGGGGACCGGGGGGGGGGGGGGGAATAGGAGAGGAGAAGGGGGAGATCAAGGGGAGATGGCAAACGAGTGGAGGTCAGAGTGAACGCGGCAACAGTGGCAGACGCAATAAGAGGCACAGAAAAGCTGGAATTGAATCGCAGGCAGTCCCATAAACCACTCTCCCGTTTGTCACATTCCTTACTGCAACATCCCTCGTTGCAACACCCACATCAAGCACGGCTACCTGCAAGAGCTTCCTTCTTATAGCTGTGATGGCTGCTGGCGCTGCAGCAGACCCTGCTTGGGCTCGCAGTGAGGCTGCTCGCTTGAGCTCATGAATGGTCGACCTGCCGTTGAAACCAGAGGGAGGAGGAGATACAGTACAGGCGGCTAAGCCTTTCAAGACAGGCGGCTAAGCACGCGTGCAAGGGGAAAACGAAAGGAAGTAGGACAGAGAAAGGGAAGCGGAGACTACAGGGAAGTATTATTGCGTAGTGGCATGGCGAGTTACCTGTAGAGCGAGAGCTGGTGGGCAGTGAGGGTGGCCGGCCACCATATCTCCCTCACCGCCCTCCCTCTCACTGCCCACGTACGTTTCACCGCCCACTCACTTCCACGCCCCAATGCCTCCCATGCTGCTCTGCACCTCCCTCGCGCATCAAGCTCTGCACCCGCTTCGTGCCCCTCCCTCCCCCCGCTACCCCCCCTTCCCTCCCCCAACTCTCTCCTCTCCACCCTCTCCCTCCCTTCTCCCTCCTCCTCTTCCCTCCGTCGCCCTTCGCCCCCTTCTACATACTCTCTGCAATCCGCAACTCGCTCCATGTCCAACCCAAGGTCCAGCACATGCCACTGCCTGCCACCCCCATCGCCTCTGCCAGAGTCACCATCCCTACCGCCACTCCCACCACGCACAGCAGCACTACTGGTAGCACTCCAGGCCGACCTTGACATTCCCCCCTCCGCCACTCCTCCTGCCCACACTGCTGCTGCACCCTCCACAGCTGCTGTCGCCGCTGCTGCTGCCACAGCCGCCTTTCTCGCTGCTGCTACTCTTTCCGCTGCTGGTATCTCCCCTGCTGCTGTAGCTGCCGTTGCGGCTGTCACCTCGGCATCATCATCATCGTCATCGCAGTCACCATCCCCCACCAGCGCCTCTGCCTCTGCTTCCTCCAGTGCTGCTGATACGGCCACAACAGCGCCAGCAGCCACAGACAGCCGCTCCCACACCCGTGCTGCATTCCGGTGCCTCTGCTGCAGACTCTGCTGAATACTCTGCTGCTCTCTCTGCTGCAGACTCTGCTGCTCTGTGCCTCTAGCAGCCGCACACACGAGCAGGCGTGCACGCAGTGTGAGGGGCGGAGGGGCTGATACCACTGATGCACATGGAAGCGGGTGGCAGGCTGCCACCTCAGCAGGCAGGGATTCTGGCTGGAACCAACCCATCACGGACTGCCACGTGTCATCATCTGAGTGGACGCCTGGTGGCGGCGTTTCAACCAGCACCGCTTCCCAATGCACCTGAGATAGGCGACCCGCCTCCTGCAGATTCGGGACAAATAAGAATCAGGCTGAGTGGGATTATAGTGAAGGTGGTACTTACTGGGTTCACGCATTTCAAAGCCCATGTGAAGGTGGCACGTTCTTAATGGGAAAGACCTGCATGACACGTCATGGGAAATACCTACATGAAGAGTCTGGCGCCAGAACTGACAAGACCAGGGCGTGGGAAAGAAGACACGGCAAGGGCAGGCGGAATGTGGGAGGAGGGAGGCGGATTACCTGCACAAACGTCGCTGCTGTGGTGACAACAACTTGAGGCTGGATCATAATGCTTGATTCCGAAGAACCTGCTCCAGATGAGCCTGCCCCACATGGACCTCCAGCACCAGCTGTGCCTTCCCCTGGTGAGCCAGCACCATCAGCGCTGGCACTGGCAGTCCCAGCACCAGCACCAGCACCAGCACTAGTCGAGCCACTCGCAGCAGCACTGGCAGTACCAGCAGCACTCTGGCTGACACTGTCAGCAGGCAGCATCTCCCTCTCCCACATGGCGTTCAGCTCCACCTGCGAACCCCCCACATACTTCAACACATGAACCCCACCTCCCTCCCCCACCAGCCCTGCTGCTCCCACCCCTGCTGCTTGCATACTCCCTGCCGCTGCTTCCACAGTCACGGGTCTTGCAGCAAGGGCAGTGCAGAGGGAGTGGAAGCGGGAACACCAGCGGGCAGCGCGGCGGGGGGACGGGGTGAGCACGAGGATGGGGCGCACGGCCTTGAATTGGGAGATGAGGGAGCGGCAGAAAGCCATGAGCACAGTGGAGCTGCCCTGCCCAGGGGGGATGGAGGGGCGATGGGGGGGTCTTTAGGAGCCTCAAGGCACTTGGAGTCCTCAGAGCACTTGAAGTGGGAGATGAGGGCGTGGCAGAACGCCATGAGCACACTGGAGCTGCCCTGCCCAGGGGGGGTGGGGGGGAGTTAAGGAGAGTGCTTTCCAGCTGCATCAACGGACTGCAAGTGCGCGATGAGGGTGAGAAAGAATGGGGATGAGCGCACGGAGGGCATAGATGCATCAAAGTGTTGAGCATTCATGCACAGGTGCTTGCTTGCTCACCATGCCATGGTCCATGCACAACAGTGCACATCTCCCCCTCTCATTTTCCACCCCTCTCTCCTCCCCTCCTCTCTCCTCCTCTACCCACTCATTTCCCCCCTCCTCCTCCGTTCTCCTGCCAGCAGCACCCCCAGAAGAACCGACACCTCTAGTCTCACATATGCGGCCAGACCTGCTGTCTCCCACGGACTCCCACACAGCATTCAAAGCGCCCTCAAGAGAGCCCCCGTCACACTGCCACAGAGCTCTCAGCCAATCCAAGGCCGCCACCTGGAGCCACGTGAGGCGGAAGGAGCCGATCGGCTGGCCCGTGCCCCCCTGCCCTTGCCCTGGCTCCTGGCTCTGCTCCTCTGATGGGCTGGACTGGTGCTGCTTATCACTGCTATTCCGTGTTAAGCAGAATGGGGTGGCGCGCCTTTCTCTCGCCTGAGAAAGAACGATGCATTGGAATGGTATTGCCACACACAGGCGGGAAGAGGTGAGACGTGGAGGGAGGCACATAGATGTGGGAAATGCTGCAACGTTGATGGCACAACAGCAGACGCATGTGTACACATTACAAGGAACCCTGATCATTGCATGGCTTGAGTCGACTCAAAAGCAGACTCATTACACGCCGATTTTTCATGGCATGGCTTGACATGCCATAGTCTGCGCCAGTTGCAGTGCAGCACGCACCACGTACCTCCTGTCCCGCCTTTGCTGTAGCCCTCTGCTCGCTGCCCTCCCTCTCCCTCTCGTGCACTGCCTGCAGGGCCATGCCACGTGGCGTGGAGAGGAAGGGCATGTGACACGGCTCCCATGTCAGCTGGTCGTACCCCATGCCCCGCCACTTCACCAGCCTGATGGGAGGATCAAGGAAGGGGAGGGGGAAGAACACGGAGGTGAGAAGGGGAAGATGAGAAGATGCGTGACACTGCACTGGCAGGAAGAACGAAAGGAGAGCGGACATGATAAAGCAGATGCAGCAATGGCCCATAATCCCAGCCCAATCGCGCCCCTCAGACCCCCCTCGTCTCACCACTGGTGCTCCTCGGCCACGCGTCGCAGCCGGCCTCTGCCTCGGCCCCTACTCCCTGCTCTGTCCGGCACCAGCCCTTCCACCTTAAACCGCCCCAGCAGCCGCTCTGGCTCCGTCCACTCAGGTCGGAAGGCAGGGAGCTGTAAGGGTTGGGGGGGGGGGGGGGGGGGGGTTTGGTTGCAGGGGAAGGAGGTAGCATGCAGGTGGACGGGGATGGTTATTCAGGAAGAAATTGGTTTATCACTTAAAAACGCCCCAGCAGTCGTTCTGGCTCCGCCCTCTCACAGCAAAAGATTGCACATGGGGAGGAAAGTTCTCAGGGAAGTGGGAGAGCATAGAAGGAAAAGAAAGGGGTGCTGAGGCACGACTTGCATGGCTCAACGCAGAGAGTCTGCACTGCAAAGGAGACTACCCTCCAGATACTTCTTCCTAATTTCTCCAGGCACACACAGGCGCACACAGGCACACCCAGCTTAAAATGCACATTGAGGCTAAAGAACCTCTCCCGGGGCACACATCAACGTACCTCGCCCTCTGCCTTGAGCCTCTCATAAGCTGCCACGTGCCCCGGGAACCGCGACCGCAACCACTCCTCGTCCACCCACGAGTTGTACGCATGCGGCCGCCTCAACCACTTCACCAGATACTCCCCCCCCCTGCCCCGCGCTGCCCCAGCATGCTCCTCCCCTTTCTCCCCGTCCCTCCCACTGGGGCCTGCAGTGGCGTCCCGCGCTGCTAGAACCGCACAACCACCTGCATCCGGCAAGGAAGACGAGGATTCTATCTGCCTTTCCACCACCCCATCGCTGCCTGCTCTGCTCGCCCTCCCTTGTGCTGCCGCCACCTGCTGACCACCGCGCCTCCTCCTCCCCACCTTCCCTCGTGCCTTTCCCTTGCCTCCCCCCCTCCCTCCCCCCTTCCCTCCTGCCCTCCCTCCCGCCCTCCTTCCTGCCTCTTCTTCTCGAACCTTCCTCATCTCGTCGTCATGCTGCCAGGCCAGGTCACACTCGCCCACTGTGCTCCCTTCTCCGCGCGCCCCATCCTCGCCTCTCTCCCTGTCCAGCCAGACCGATTCCACTATGGCTTGCCCAAGAGCCCTTCTTCCCTCCGCCGCCGTGCTGCCCACTGCACCTGCAGCCGCCGCACGAGGAGAAGCAGCAGCAGAAGCAGAAGCTGCTGCAGCAGGGGCAGACGACGCACCAGTATCAGCAACCGCTCTCTCCCCTTCTTTTCCTCCTCCCCCACTCCCCCCTTCCGTCCCCCAATCCTCATCTTCCAATGTGCGGCTGATGCGTCTATTAGAGGAGAAGGGGCCGTCTGGGGAAGGGCGGATGCATTCCCGGAGGAAGGTGAGGCAGGTGGGGCAGTACCAGGGGCCCTGGGGGTCGCGAGAGATGGGTGGCTCCGCACATGGCCGGTGGTACACGTGGGGGCACGCAGGCGCCTCACAGCACCTGGTAAGACGGGAGGGGAGCAGGGGAGGCGGGAGGTATGGGAGACGGAAGGAAGAGAGAAGGGGGAGGTGGGGAGGGGGGAAGGAAAACTGTTGCTGGTGTACCATGCACACGTCTCAGGGGCCCGAACCCCAAAGAAGATAGCTGGGAAGGAAGTAAACAACTAAGGTACGAGAACGCAAGGCGAGGGCTCACATGAGGTCGCCTCCTTGAAAGCACTTGCAGCAGAAGTCGAAGTGGAAGTCCTCCTGCACCGTGACTGTAACGGGCGCCCCGTTTTGCACCCCTCTCGTCCCGAAATTGTCGTGGTACCACGCCCACGTCACCTTGTGCCACGTGTCGTTCGCTCTCCTCACTCGCCTCTCCTCCTCTCCCTCATCCCCACTCTCACTCTCATCCTCCACCAATGCACACGACGCCATGGCTGATGCTGAGCCGCTTTTACGCGAAACGCCCACGCGCTCTGCTGCCCCCAGCCCCAGGGCTCCAATTGTTCCAAGTCCCCCCTCTGCAGCTTCTGGAGGGCCGAGTGCTTCCCGAGACATGCGCATGGACAGCCGGAGCACGCCATGGATGTCGCTGCCTGCACCAGGACCAGCCCCATCCTTCTTCGGTCCGCCAGCACAGCTTCTCGCTCTTCTTCGCCTTCTTTGCCTTCCCCCTAGTTCCGTTCTTATAGTGACAGATCGCCCTCCACTTCCCCCTCCTCCTCTCCCCCGTCCTCCACTCCCCCAGCGCCAGGCTTTCAGCCAGCGCGTCATTCCTGCGCAGCTCTTCCTCCTCCTCTTCTTCCTCCGCCGCTCCACCCTCGCTCCACTTCTCGTGACCGACTCGCTCTCCCTCCGCCGTTTCCTTTTGCCTCTCGCCACTCCCTCTCCCTCCTGCTCACCACCCGCGTTGCCTGAACCATCGGGTGGACCGTCAGGTCGACCGTCGTCTGAACCAGCAGCTCGACCATCGGGTTCCTCACGCGAATCCTGGGGAATAGCAGCTGCATCGGGGGCAGGGGTTGAGAAGAATTCCGAGGAAGGGGCTTCGCCAGGAGCACGAATCCCGCTGGACTCAACCCGGCGTGCTACAAACGGTGGGTCGTCCTCTGACGAAGCTCGGTCGTCGAGGTGACAATCGGCTGCTGAACGATCTCGTTCGCTCGCGAAATCGTTGGCTGGTAACCGATTTCGTTCGCTAGTCCTTTCAACTCCCTGCGACCCAAACGCCTGTTCGCATTTCACAGCCGAATCTGCAGCTGCGCCGCTGAAACCCGCAGATGCATCGAGCCTTCGGGGAGAGGCGGCGGGTGGACGCGGTGAAGCCGCATCATACGCGTTATTAACGGCGTCGTTAACCTCATCGTCGTCGTCGTCGTCCAGAACGATGGGATCGTCTCGGAATCCGCTAGCAACAACGGTTTCAAACGCCATGGACTTTCACGCGCGAATCCGTGAAGAAGAAGCTTCGGTGTTCAGCACAGGTGAGTATACAATATCCAAGCTGGCGATTTTAAAATGCACAGCTGCTCTCGTGAAAACTGCTGAGCGCCATGGCTTAACTGCTATTCATGAACTAAACTGCTCTAACAAACCGAAACAAGTATGGAACCGCGTACCGTGACAGACCCTTGCGGAACCTTTCTGTGCAAACCTAAACTCGCGGCTACCTCCTCCTAACTGACTGCTCGCCGCGACTCGCAGCTAGAGAAGCTGCTCAGCAAGGAATAAAGACTGCCGTAATAACTTCTTTCAGAAGAAGCGCCTTCTGCTGGATTTGCTTTCGCTAGGGATCGCCCTTGCTTTGCTCCTCGAGATTTCCGTGCAGCCGCGTGACACGGGTTCATGTTGCTGTAGCGAGGATATTTGCGCAGTGTACAGTTCAGCGCATGCCACCCTCAAAATTCAACGATACGCTAGAGCGAATTTGATCAAACGTCTAATAGGATACAGAGAACGAAGATTCAGCTATACAGGCCCTTCCCAACAAAATCCATCCGGAAAACAGAAGAATTAAAGCGCATAAGCTAATGTGTTCGACTCTCATGCATCAACCATAGCCTCCTCTTTGCCCTCCTCCTTGCTAGGGTAGTACTTGTAGTGTAGCTCATTTACATCGTCACCAGACACCTTCGTCCAGCCTTGAGGACCAACATGGTACACTGTCAGCACAGTTCAAAACAATACACAAAAGAACATATAAGATCACTAAGAAACAGGACCAAGCAGGAGGGGCACAAAGCCACAAGAAACACCAGCAATAACGCCCACAAGCCTTGCCTCCGGCCCTGTTCCCCTCCCACTTCCCCCACGCTGCCTCTTGTTCCTTCACCCACATCTGACACCCACCTGAGGCGGTGCCTCCACTGGCGGAGTCACGGAATGTGGCATGGTAAATGGCCCTCCGCCCCAGCTCCTCCGCCTCCTCCACTGATAGGTCCCAGCGGTACCTGCCAGCCAGGGGGGATGGGGGGTTCAGACACAAGCTTTCAGACGTCTCAAAAGTAGACTAGTGAGGTATCTCAAAGTGGTGGATGACCCTCCGCCCCAGCTCCTCCGCCTCCTCTGCTGATAGGTCCCAGCGGTACCTGCCAGCCAGGGGGGATGGGGGTTTGAGAAACATGTGTTCAGATGCCTCGAAACCGGACCACTGAGGTGTCTCAGAATGGCCAATGGCTCTCTGCTCTGCCCCAGCTCCTCCGCCTCCTCCACTGACAGGTCCCAGCTGTACCTGCTAGCCAGGGTTTTTTCGTGTTCACAGGCAAAGGACGCGGCAAGACGGAGGTGCAGACCTGAATTCCCAGCTGAAAGGTGGAGAAGAATAACACCAAGGAATAACACCCATCCCCATGTCATACCAGCACCCATCCCCATGTCATACCAACACCCATCCCCATGTCATACCAACACCCATCCCCATGTCATACCAACACCCATCCCCATGTCATACCAGCACCCATCCCCATGTCATACCAACACCCATCCCCATGTCATACCAACACCCATCCCCATGTCATACCAACACCCATCCCCATGTCATACCAGCACCCATCCCCATGTCATACCAACACCCATCCCCATGTCATACCAACACCCATCCCCATGTCATACCAACACCCATCCCCATGTCATACCAACACCCATCCCCATGTCATACCAGCACCCATCCCCATGTCATACCAACACCCATCCCCATGTCATACCAACACCCATCCCCATGTCATACCAACACCCATCCCCATGTCATGCCAACACCCATCCCCATGTCATACCAACACCCATCCCCATGTCATACCAGCACCCATCCCCATGTCATACCAACACCCATCCCCATGTCATACCAACACCCATCCCCATGTCATACCAACACCCATCCCCATGTCATACCAACACCCATCCCCATGTCATACCAGCACCCATCCCCATGTCATACCAACACCCATCCCCATGTCATACCAACACCCATCCCCATGTCATACCAACACCCATCCCCATGTCATACCAGCACCCATCCCCATGTCATACCAACACCCATCCCCATGTCATACCAACACCCATCCCCATGTCATACCAACACCCATCCCCATGTCATGCCAACACCCATCCCCATGTCATACCAACACCCATCCCCATGTCATACCAGCACCCATCCCCATGTCATACCAACACCCATCCCCATGTCATACCAACACCCATCCCCATGTCATACCAACACCCATCCCCATGTCATACCAACACCCATCCCCATGTCATACCAGCACCCATCCCCATGTCATACCAACACCCATCCCCATGTCATACCAACACCCATCCCCATGTCATACCAACTCCCATCCCCATGTCATACCAACACCCATCCCCATGTCATACCAGCACCCATCCCCATGTCATACCAACACCCATCCCCATGTCATACCAACACCCATCCCCATGTCATACCAACACCCATCCCCATGTCATGCCAACACCCATCCCCATGTCATACCAACACCCATCCCCATGTCATACCAGCACCCATCCCCATGTCATACCAGCACCCATCCCCATGTCATACCAACACCCATCCCCATGTCATACCAGCACCCATCCCCATGTCATACCAACACCCATCCCCATGTCATACCAACACCCATCCCCATGTCATACCAACACCCATCCCCATGTCATGCCAACACCCATCCCCATGTCATACCAACACCCATCCCCATGTCATACCAGCACCCATCCCCATGTCATACCAACACCCATCCCCATGTCATACCAACACCCATCCCCATGTCATACCAACACCCATCCCCATGTCATGCCAACACCCATCCCCATGTCATACCAACACCCATCCCCATGTCATACCAGCACCCATCCCCATGTCATACCAACACCCATCCCCATGTCATACCAACACCCATCCCCATGTCATACCAACACCCATCCCCATGTCATACCAACACCCATCCCCATGTCATACCAGCACCCATCCCCATGTCATACCAACACCCATCCCCATGTCATACCAACACCCATCCCCATGTCATACCAACACCCATCCCCATGTCATACCAACACCCATCCCCATGTCATACCAGCACCCATCCCCATGTCATACCAACACCCATCCCCATGTCATACCAACACCCATCCCCATGTCATACCAACACCCATCCCCATGTCATGCCAACACCCATCCCCATGTCATACCAACTCCCATCCCCATGTCATACCAACACCCATCCCCATGTCATACCAGCACCCATCCCCATGTCATACCAACACCCATCCCCATGTCATACCAACACCCATCCCCATGTCATACCAACACCCATCCCCATGTCATGCCAACACCCATCCCCATGTCATACCAACACCCATCCCCATGTCATACCAGCACCCATCCCCATGTCATACCAGCACCCATCCCCATGTCATACCAACACCCATCCCCATGTCATACCAGCACCCATCCCCATGTCATACCAACACCCATCCCCATGTCATACCAACACCCATCCCCATGTCATACCAACACCCATCCCCATGTCATGCCAACACCCATCCCCATGTCATACCAACACCCATCCCCATGTCATACCAGCACCCATCCCCATGTCATACCAACACCCATCCCCATGTCATACCAACACCCATCCCCATGTCATACCAACACCCATCCCCATGTCATGCCAACACCCATCCCCATGTCATACCAACACCCATCCCCATGTCATACCAGCACCCATCCCCATGTCATACCAACACCCATCCCCATGTCATACCAACACCCATCCCCATGTCATACCAACACCCATCCCCATGTCATACCAACACCCATCCCCATGTCATACCAGCACCCATCCCCATGTCATACCAACACCCATCCCCATGTCATACCAACACCCATCCCCATGTCATACCAACACCCATCCCCATGTCATACCAACACCCATCCCCATGTCATACCAGCACCCATCCCCATGTCATACCAACACCCATCCCCATGTCATACCAACACCCATCCCCATGTCATACCAACACCCATCCCCATGTCATGCCAACACCCATCCCCATGTCATACCAACACCCATCCCCATGTCATACCAGCACCCATCCCCATGTCATACCAACACCCATCCCCATGTCATACCAACACCCATCCCCATGTCATACCAACACCCATCCCCATGTCATACCAACACCCATCCCCATGTCATGCCAACACCCATCCCCATGTCATACCAACACCCATCCCCATGTCATACCAACACCCATCCCCATGTCATACCAACACCCATCCCCATGTCATACCAACACCCATCCCCATGTCATACCAACACCCATCCCCATGTCATGCCAACACCCATCCCCATGTCATACCAGCACCCATCCCCATGTCATACCAACACCCATCCCCATGTCATGCCAACACCCATCCCCATGTCATACCAGCACCCATCCCCATGTCATACCAGCACCCACCCGTAGAAACGAGCTGCTCCTGCTTCACAACCCACGCCCTACCCTTCATTCACGGCCCCTCCCTCCCAAACTCATCTCCACACCTCTCTTTCTCCCTCTTCTTCACTCTCATCCTCCCTCTCTCTCCCTTCCATCCCCAACACAAATTCATCCCCCCTCCCCCCTCTTTCTCTCACCCTGCGTCCAGCACGCCATAGGCGTACGTCGACCCTGACCCCACGGAGAATCGCCGGCCCTCCAGGCGAGACCCCTCACTGTCCACATAGAACAGCTTTGGACCCTGCAGCATGCAGCATGGGACATGGGGCATGGAGCATGGTGCGTGAAGCATGGAGAATGGAGCAAGGGGCAAGGAGCATAGGGCATGAAGCATGGGGCATAGGGCATGAGGCATGGAGCATGGGGCATGGGGCATGGAGCATGGCACATGGGGCATGGGGCATGGGAGATTAGCCTTAAGTAATGGGGCACATGGTACGTACGCACCTAAAAAAGGCAAAAACGGCAGTGATAGACGATTGCTCACCGTCTCATCCCAGCCCAAAATCATAATGCTGATGGAAAATCCCGAGAACCCCACTCCTTTTCATCGATCTTGCTCACAGTTCTAGCCCACCCTTACTCACCGGCTCATTCCAGCCCTTACACACAGTCTCATCCCAGCCCTTATCCCAGCCAATACTGAACCATTTCATGTGGCGCCCCCCCCCCCCCCAGCTGACCGTCTCGTCCCATCCAGCGATCATGGTGCCGATGGAGAGCCCCATGCCGCGGTACGAGAAGAGCGTGTTGGCCAGCAGCTTCGACGCGCCCGCCACACTGATGCGCCGCCCGTTCTCCAGCTCGTGCAGGCGGCACTGACAGGGGGAAGGGGAGGGGTAGTAGAGGCGATGGGAGAATGTGCAAGGGGGAACCGGGTCAACTGACGCGAGGATTCCCCCCCCCCACACTGATGCACTGCCCCTTCTCCAGCTCGTGCAGGCGGCAGTGAGAGGGGGGGATGGACGAGGTGATGGGATGGGATAACATGCAATGGGGCATACTGGAGCAAGGAATCCCCCACCGTGCTGATGTGCAGCCCAATCCCCAGCTCGTGCAAGCGGCACTGAGAGGGGGAGGAAGACATAGGAGGACAGGAAGAAGCGAACCAAGAAATGAGAAGGGTGCGGTACCAGCACATCTGCCTGCCTCAGCTGCACCTGCTTGACCGCACCATACATGGTCGGCCCACCGTACCTGTTTGCCCCACCGGACCTGTTTGAGCCACCGTACCTGCGTGACCCCACCGTACCTGCGTGACCCCACCGTAACTGGTTCCCCCAGCGCACCTGTTTACCGAGGTTTCGCTGCCAGAACTGGCAGTCCGCCGCACCGCCAGCCATGGTGCCCAGCAGGTGCGGGTTGATCTCAATCACCTTCTTCACCGTCTGCGAGGCTGCACGCACAGGGGATGCATGTTGCGGGAGGGGGGCAGGTTATTGGGGGGTGTTTGTAAATCGACTGTGAAACCAAATGTTTCCCGGCTGGTGCGGGTTGATCTCAATCACCTTCTTCACCGTCTGCGAGGCTGCACGCACGGTGAATTCGAGTGGCACGAGGGAGAGGGAGACTTGTTGCATAAGTCGACGGATATATATGCCTGAAGGGGAAGACACAGGGGTTCCGAGAAAGGAAGTGCCCAACGAGGGGGATTCAGCAGGGAGTCGCATGCCAAGAGGGAAAAAGAGTTCTCGCCAGACGAAGAGCGGCCTGATCCCCCATATAAGAGCGCACCGATATAAGGCCCCATGGTGGCGCGCGAGTCGACGGCGATGATGACCCCGTGCTCGAACACGAACCCCAGCGTCGTCGTGCCGTGCGCCGGCTTCACCATCTCCATCGCCGCGTTCTGAAAGCCGTCCAACTGGAGGGAGGCGAGGGAGCGAGGAGGGAAACGAGGAGGGGAACGAGGAGGATAGTGTGACGTGTCAGAGTCTATGCTGCGGCTTAACCATCTCCATCGCCGCGTGCTGGAAGCCGTGCAGCTGGTGCGAGTGGAGGGGAGGAAGGAGAGGAACAAGGAGATTCGCGGAGGATTACGAGACGCGTCAGAATCCGTGCTGCGGCTGCACGATCTCCATCGCGGCGTGGTGGAGGCCGTCCAGCTGGTGGGAGGAGAGGGGGGGGCGCAAGATGAGAGGAGGCGCGAGGAAGGCAGGGAGAGGATATGATGGCGGGAGGGTCCGTACGGTGACTGGAATTCCCCGCAGCCATGACGAGTCTGTAGGATTCGAAGGAACTAAATCCGAACGTGCAGTAGAGTCTGAGGTTAGACGCTGTATTTTCTCAAAGAGTCGGTACCAAGCATTTAAAGGCGAATATCCGGAATTGTGGGGCTTCCGATCGCAATAACTACTTATTCTCGGCAGATTTAAAGACAGAGGCTACCGGAACGGCTCACATCTTTCACGGCCGGCAGCGGGAACGACGGCGCGGCGAAGCCGACATCCGCCTCGTCGAAACGGCCGGGCTGAAGCGACGGCGGATCCATGAGGCTCATGTCGATCCGCATGTCGGCAGAGATGATATCTGGCGAAGGCGCTGGACTAGGCTGATAATCGAAGCTAATTAGGAGGCGACGACGCTAGGAATCTGCTGAGATTGGCGGAACTCCCGAGACTGAAAGGCGAGGTCTGAATGGGGGGATGAAGGTGAATGCAAGTTGCCTTACGGACAGCCACGCTATTCTCTATGGTATATGAATGAAAAAATACAAGAAACACAAGTGTTACTAGAGATCCTTGTCTAAATAGATTTGATACAAGATAATACGTATTTTCATGTCCCATTCATATTAAACTAGTTTTTTCTTGGGTAAAAAATATAATATTATGCATACACATTGTACGTATTATGTGTGTGATGAACCTACAATAACCTAATCTGGTACAAATATTAGGGGAATATGCTTTTATGGAGATAAAGTCTGTCTATAAAACACATATTCAATTTATAAAGATCTTCAAATTGATAAAATAAGTGGTGAATCCACGTTTATGCTTAGGATTTGTTGGGAAAGTGCCATATCAAACGATGGAAACTATATATATGAATGGACAGCACTGTTCTGTTTGTCCAATAGAGGCTAGTGCAACGGGTAGTGTGCTTCTGAGAAACTCCTTCCTCGCAGTAGTCACACACAACCGGAATGCCACTCCCGAAGTCGAACCGCAAGCCAAGCTTCCCCCCAACGCAGCCCTCCTGCTGCGCCGTCGTGGGGACAGAGCGCCCCGCGAAACGCGAACCGCACAACGGGGCTCCGGGTGGTCGGCGGAACCTCCCCATTCGTCTGTCAGGGGGAGCCCCGTATGTCAGTGGGAGGGGCGCAGCAACGCGGCTCGTCGGTGCGGTGAGCTGTGGCGGAAGGGAGTGTCGGAAATGTCTGGCTGGGCCCTGGCAGCATTTTCGAAATTCGAGTGTGCAAGGGAAGGCGGGTGCTGCAGCTGCTCTTGCAGCAAAATTTGCCGCAGCCATAGCGAGCTTGGGCCATCAGCATAATGATACGGCTGAAGCGAAAAGGTGCTCCATCAAATTTGCCTCCGCCGCTCTTGCCTGGCAAGAAGCCCGTCCACTCCAGCCAGAGCTATATTGTCTCGGATTTCTGGATTCTAACAAGCCTCAGAACCATTTCAATCAGTTGCTAGACTTCGACAACCGTAGGCAATAGTTTCGTGAGAACACGTAGCATTCCTAAAATAGCATCAGTACTTCTAGGCGCACCGGCATCATTCATACACCACGGCATAGCGACAGTACGCCATTCATCCGAACCCATTACAGTCGTTGCAATGGGCACTCCAGTCCTAAGAAGAGTCCTTCAAGCGTGCTGTTTACTGCTCGCCGTCATTCACGCCGTCCACGCCGCTGACCATGACTCACCGTTCTCAACCGACCATGGCGTGACCAACGCCACTCGGCGCATGGCCCTAGTTGGTCGGCGGCCTCGCTCCGCGTCTCCCCTGGCCGCGCCTCTTGGCTCGGGCTTCTGGTCCGTCAAGGGGAACCAGTTCGTCGACGCGTACGGCCGCGTGGTGCGCCTGCCTACATCCCCTCCATTTCTGCAACTCTCCAGGCCTACGGAATTTCATTTCGTCGATATCTCAAATTCATTCCTTTTCTTCTGTCGTGATCTTTCCGGAGTACTAAATCCCCTCCCCCACATCTCCCCCCCCCGTCTTCTCTCCCCCGCGCAGGTGCGCTTCTCAGGGCTGATGTGGTCGGGGTTCGAGTCGGACGTGGCGGTGGTGCAGGGGCTGTGGGCGCGCAGCTACGACTCGCACCTGGACCAGATGCGCAAGCTCGGCTTCAACACCATCCGCCTGCCCTTCGCGGGGGACGCGCTCGAGCCCTCCTGCTACCCCAAGAGCATCGACTACGGCAAAAACCCCGACTTGCAGGGGCTTAACTCGCTCCAAGTGATGGATAAGATCATCGCGGCGGCCGGGAAGCGAGGCATGAAGGTTATATTGGATTACCACCAGCACCACCTGCTGTTGAATATTCCCACGGAGGGCTTGTGGTACGACCCCACGACGCCTCCGAGGAAGTGGGTGCAACGATGGGTCATGCTCGCGAAACGGTACCGTGGTAACCCGACGGTCATCGGCGCGGACCTGCTGAACGAGCCGCACTTCAACGGGAACACGGCGCCGTTCCCCTCGCCGTACTGGGACGTGGAGGGGAAGTACGAGAACCCGCCACTTAACTTCCGCACCGCCACCAAAATGTGAGTCCCGTCCCGCCGTGATCCTTCCGCCTCCCCGCTCAACACTTACGAATTTCTGTCGTATCGGGCTCGTGATTCTTCTGATGCTGATGCTTCCGCGAGCTTCAGAACTTGCCGCTCTCTGCGCTCATCCGTGTCTCCTGCTCTCCCTTCCCGTCTCACTTCAATGTGCGCGCGCGCAGTGTGGCGGCGGCGATTCAGCGCGTGAACAAGGACTGGATCATCTTCCTGGAGGGCATGCACAACGACTACTGGTGGGGCGGCAACTGCCGCGTGCTCATGAAGGCGCCGCTGCGCCTCTCCGTGCCCAACAAGCTCGCGTACACGGCGCACGAGTACGGCCCCTTCGTCTACTTCCAAAAGTTTTTCAACAAGTCCGTCACGCCCAGTTTCCCCAACAACCTGCCCGGGCTGTACAACCACCACTGGGGGTTTATCCAAAAGAAGGGGTACGCGCCGGTTTGGGTGGGAGAGTTTGGGTCGAAATTCCCCCCCCCCGATTCGGAGCTGAACCGCGTGGAGCGGACGGTGTTCCTCGCGCTGATCAACTACATGAAGCGGCTCAAGGTGTCGTGGACGTTCGCGTTTTGGGGCCCGCTCAGTAAGGACACTGGGGGGATTCTTAACGACGACTGGAACAGTGTCAGGCAAGACAAGCTGGATGCCCTAAAACCCATCATGTATCCTAACTTCGCGTAGGCATAAGGATGGCTCAGCTACTACTCCAGTCACGGACTCGAGTGTGCTGCTCTACTGGCGATAGGTGTGCTGTTGGCAATGGTAGATGGAGCTTCTAGAGACCACCTTTTGAGGCGTCATCCTTATCATGTCCTTATCAAGTCAGCTAACTAAGTGAATGATAGAACTCGGTGGGTTGATTCATGTTTTATCCGTTTACTATTCCGTTTACAACGGAGAAATGAAGTAGTGGATAATTGATCAAGCCAGTACGCTCTCACGCTATAACGAAGCAATAGGGAGCGAAACAGATATGTTCGGCAGCCAGGTCCCAGTGAACATTTATGGGTTTTGTCTTGCGTGCTTCGCCAGTTCGATACTGACAGGTACCATGCGCCAGGTGTACAGGTGTACAGTAATGAGATCAGAGATTCTTTCCTCCCGATTTTTCTCAAACAGTTAGCAAGCGAGGAAACGACAAATGTACACCCAAATAAAAAACAATTGGACAGGAATTTACCCGAATATTTCGCGTCAATGAGAGGCGAGATTCTTGCACATGCGCAGTCAATTAGTTTCGGACTGACGTGTAGAGTTGTGCAGGCGCGACACATTCGTTGCGCTGCAATACGGCAACAAAATGCCAAACTAGACAGCAAAATGCCAAACTAGACAGTGACATTTCGGGCAGCGACTTTGGCAAATAAATAGAACCCAGAGGGGCCCGAAATGCCATTCGAGATGGCATCGGCCCTTTTTCGAGTTTAGGGTTGATGCCACCCCGAGTCACATGCTGGGCCTTATGGGTTTATTGTTTTGTCGGCTTCTCAAAATTACTGTACGTACAGTGGAATCGCCAGCATGTGGCTGACTCTACAGAAAAGCGCTGATTTGAAGTTTCGGGTAAATGTTTGTCGAATACATGTCGATTTGGATGTAGATATGTCGTTCCCTCGTTACAAGCGGGAGGTTCCGCGCGCTGTCACATAACTGGTGGTCATGAATCATGATTCATGACCAATCAAAATGCTTTCCCTAGCAAAACCTCCACACCACACCGACAAACACCCACAGACCACCACTCGTCCGAGCATGCCTTGTGTGACCTGTCACCTGTCCCTCCCCTACACGCCTCCTGCCCATTTTTCGACATGGGCCTACTGTACAAACAAATCCTCTGCCCCCTGACCCATTTTGGCGGGACGTGGCACGAACCATTCAAAAACCTTGGTCTTTGTAGTTTTCAAGGGATGTAGAAGGTTATAGTATGATACAAGGGCTTACATCAAGGCGAAATGTGTTACCCCGGGCTGCTGCTGCGTGTTCTTCCCCCACCAGACAGGTCACCTCCCATCATCTCCCTCCCTCCCCTTCAACCTCTCCCATTCGATTGTGTGGTGGGGAGGCAATACCGAAAGAGCATCCTAGACTAGCTCATAGAATCCGCTGCTTGTGTTAGGATAGGGCTCAAGCTTCTTCGGAGGGATTTGTTTACTTCGACAGCTAGTGCCAGGTTTGGATATGTGTGCACTTGAAATATCTCCCCATTGGACGACGATTGCCCCGTTTCCTCTTACTTCAGGAGCATTTCTCGCCCCCCTTACCGTGCGCAAGTCAGTAAGCCAAGTTAATTCAGTAGCAACTCTGCGCCTCTTCGCACCGCCACTCCTGACTGTAATTGAAGCTACTTCTTACTTCTCTCCGCCGAAGATCTCGCACCCGCGGCGCCCCCTTACGTTCCCTTCGCCACCCATCTAACCCTAATAGTCGGCAATGGAGGGCGGCCCTAGCGTTCAAACGAGCCACATCCCGCCGAGCAAGCCCGCGCTTCTTCTCGACCTGCGGCTCAGCACCGCGTCGGACGACCTGCAGCCCGCCCGCTGTGCCCTCAGCAATTCCCCCTGGCACGCCGCTATGCCCTTCGCGGAGGGGGCCGCGCGGAAAGTTGATTTTCTGCGCGTTGACGCGGACAGGCGCGGGTCGCTGGAGATTGAGGAGGTGTGGGACGAGGCGGACGAGGCGGAGGAGGAGGATGAAGGGGGGGATATGTTGGACGTGGACGCATACCTCGGGCGGCGGTTGACGCGCGAGCCCAGCTTCAGCATCGAGGACGCCGCGCTGTACGGCTTGCCAGGTGAGGATCCTATTTTTTAGGCGCCTCAAAAGCTCTTCGGCCTGCCAGGTGGGGATCTTTTTGTGCTGCTAGTTGTGAAATGAGTCTAGTTTTGAGCCGCCTCAAAACCTGCCAGGTGAGGATCCTTGCGCAAGGTGTCTGAATGTAATTCAGGGTATTATCATGCGCGCGATTCCGCGTCTTTCGTTGCCCCGTCGTCGGACGTTCTGTCCGTCGCTTCTCGTCTGAATTGTTCCTCCGTCTCGCTGAGTAATTCCTCGTCACGCCATTCTCGTCGGAACCGCGTCGTTTGTTCCTCCGTCGCACGCAGTCATTCCGCGTCACCCCATCCCCCCCTCCCCCCCTCCCCCCCTTTCCCGCCCCCTGTGCGTGCGATCCTCCAGAGGAAGTGGCGATTCCGCGCCCGGCGTCAGCGCGATTCTCTTCAAGCGACAGCGAGGCAGCGGCGCTGCGACTGGCCGTGATGGAGGCGGAGGTGAACATCGTGATGGAGACGAACCGCCTGGTGTCCGCCATCAAGTGCCACCTCACCTCCCCCTGCTCCACCATCCCCCCCCGCTCCCCCTCCTCCGCCCTCGGTAGCACCACCTCCCCTTCCCCGTCCCGGACCTCCTGGGACTTCCGCTCGTTTTCCTCCCCCGCGTCCACCCCCTCCGCCTCCGCCTCCGCGTCCGCCTCCACGCTGCACCCCGTTCTTCTCTCCCCCTGGGGCCGGAGAGCCCCCTCCGCGTCCCCCACCTCTGCCTGGGCCTCTAGAGTGCCAGAGGAAGAGCCTGTGCCTGATTCTCCCTTTGCTGCTCGCACCATCTCGCGCTCCCTCACCGCCAATTCCCTCCCGCAGTCCCACTCGTCCCGCATCACGCGCTCGCACACCTCTTCATGCGACCGGCTTCCGGTGAGCTCCATGCTGGTGGGGAGCGAGGCTCGTACCACGGATTCCAATGCCGATCGCCTGCCGCTTGCTGTCATGGATGCCAGTGTTCTCGAGCGAAAGGCCTCGCAAACGCGCCTGCCAGCTATGGCGAGTGGTACGGGTTCGCCGGTGATTAGGATGCTGGGGGCGCTGAGGCGGCAGATGAGTTTACCCAGCAGTCAAAGGTTGCAAAACAAGACCAGTAAGCACAGAAGGGGGGTTAGTCATAAAGAGGAGGATTTTTTTGCCGAATTGCAGGCTCTGAAATGTTGAGGAACACATGAGCGTGTTTTTTGTTTTGTTTGGAGTCTGGTTGAGGAACACAGTAGAAAAATAAATCAGGCAGTGATGTTACAGGTATCACTCAAAGATTTGAAGTAATTCAGAACTGGCTTCACTCTCGCATTTTGAATCCGTTTGTATCGCGTACCCACTTCACCACCCTTGGAGGAACAGCCCATCCCCATTGACTTGAGAGCACTCAGCAGTCAACAGCCAGAGCTAGGACGTTATTTTGGTCTCGCACCTACCAGCTCTTCGTCGCATCCTCGCGCCGTTTTTCGCACGCGCGCTGGCTCCGCGCTGTGCTGTCCCAGTTCCTGCCGGCGCGTAGCGTTCGCCTGCCTGCTCGCTGCCAGACGATCGCGTACCTCGGTACCTATTGGTTTTTAAAAGAGTTTAGTTACTTCTATACTTTGCGCCAGTCGCGTACAATGGAGCTAAGGTCGCGAGGCGTCTCGGCAACATAGCACGGGGCGATCTTAGCGTAAATCGAGTAGTGATCGAGTCAAGAATAGTACGGCAACGACAACTCTGGGCCGACCACAGCGGGGCGCGAGTTAGTTAGTTCGTTTCTTTCTGACACGCGGTTGAGCAGAACGCGGCGATTCGGATTCACCCGTCGCTGGCTCATTGGTTAAGGCCAAGAGTAGCAAGAGGCTAGACACGATCCTATCTATAGGGATTCTTGTTCGAATTTTTAGCCACTCTAGAGGTAGCGGATTAGGAGGAGATTAGTTGCTGTTTAGAGAGAGAGAGAGAGGCTGTAAGGACCACTTGAGAGAGAGGGGGGGCAGGAAGGAGAAGCTGAGAGCAGGAGCGGCAAGCGGGTGCGCGAGCAGGAGGCATGGCGTCTGGGGGCACCCAGCAGCAGGTACGGCAGACCATGAGTTCACCTCGTTATAGCACGCCTCGCTTGTATGGTTACTGCAAGAGATTCTCGCAGCGTCGTGGCACTCGTCGGTCGCGGAAGGAATAGCGCGATCATGAGCGCGCGTGACTTCAGAAAACTCCGCTCGTCTCCCGCCGTCTTCCTCGCCTTCGCTTCAAAACCTCGCTTACCTTCACTCGCGCCAGGGTTTGAGTCGCATGGCGACGGGTAGGCTTACTAGAAGAGCTGTCGGAGTGGCAGCGGAGCCCGCCGCATGCTCTGTGTCGACTCAGTAGCAATTGTCTCCCCCTTTCTCGTGCTTCCCTCCCCCCATCTCTCCCCCCCCCCCCCCCCCCCCCCCCCCTCCCCCCTCCCCCCCCAGGGCTTGAGCCGCATAGCGACCGGCCGGCTGCACAAGGAGCTGACGGAGTGGCAGAGGAACCCGCCGCACGGCTTCGTGTACCACCCGAGCGACAACCTGCAGCGGTAGGGTCAGAAGTTAGGGGGAGAGAGGAGGGAGGAAGGGGATGGGAGAAGGGGAGGAGGGAACGGGTGGGGGTAAGGGGAGGGGGGAAGGTTGGAAGGGGGGAAGGGGAGGGGGGAAGTGTGGAGAGGGGGGAAGGGGAGGGGGGAAGGGGAGGGGGGAAGTGTGGAAGGGGGGAAGGGGAGGGGGGAAGGGGAGGGGGAATGTGTGGAAGGGGGGAAGGTATTGCTAACGGAGTGGGCGAGGAACCCGCGGCGCAGCTTCGTGTACCACACGAGCGACAGCCTGCAGAGGTAGGGTTGCTGACGAGGGGAAGTGTGGGGAGAGCGGGGAGAGGAGTTGGATGGGATTCGCGGAGAGAGGAGGGAGGGAGGACACGAGGGATCGAGCTGGCTATGACGTCAGGACTGAGGATGCTTTCTGCAATTTCTCCCCCCTCCCCCCCTCTCCCCCCTCGTTCCTGACCTCCGGACATAATTCCAGTGAGCGCAGTTAGGAAGTCGGTTTAGCAAGTAGGAAAAAACAGTTTGTAAAAACGCTATGCTTATGTAAACGAGAGTGTTTAGGAAAGTTAATATGGGACAAACATGTTTCGGCTTGTAGGGAAACCCCTAGCGAGCCTTCATCAGTGCCAACGAGAAAGTACGAGCAAAGCAAAACCCCTAAGTAGAGGCTAAGCATCCAACAATCTGAACTCTAGGTTATCTTCACCCTGGTCAACCCAAAAATTTCGGGGACCAATCCAGGCCATCCTGGTAAAAACCGAGGGGCCACGTCCTCAATCCTCGAGGGTGTCTTGAAAAGTAGTTGGGCTCGAACCTTCGCCAGTAGGCAGCTTCGGAAGCCGCGCGCACGCACCAGTCGCTTTGATCAGCTACACCCAATATTCCAGGCAACAAACATTCTCTCTATAAAAAATCCGTGCGTGAGGAGTCTATTTTTGAGGCGCCTCAAAAATAGCCTCCCCCTCTCTCCCCTCTCGTTGCTGACGAAGGTGGACCATCGACGTGCACAGGGCGGCGGGCACACTGTACGCGATTTAGATGGTGTTTGAATCGACTGAATGCTTCTCCGCTGTTTCTTTCCCCTCGTCTGTCTGCCAGGTGGACCATCGACGTGCACGGGGCGGCGGGCACACTGTATGCGGGGGAGGTGTTTCAGCTGCAGGTGGACTTCCCCTGCAACTACCCGCTGGAGGCGCCGCAGGTGGGTGCCTGGGTTGCTTGCAGCATCTGCCGTTGCAGCATCTGACGTTGCAGCATCTGCCGTTGCAGCATCTGCCGCTGCAGCATCTGCCGTTGCAGCATCTGCCGCTGCAGCATCTGCCGTTGCAGCATCTGCCGTTGCAGCATCTGACGTTGCAGCATCTGCCGCTGCAGCATCTGCCGTTGCAGCATCTGCCGTTGCAGCATCTGCCGTTGCAGCATCTGCCGCTGCAGCATCTGCCGTTGCAGCATCTGCTGCTGCATCATCTGCCGTTGCAGCATCTGCCGTTGCAGCATCTGACGTTGCAGCATCTGCCGCTGCAGCATCTGCCGCTGCAGCATCTGCCGTTGCAGCATCTGCCGTTGCAGCATCTGCCGTTGCAGCATCTGCCGCTGCAGCATCTGCCGTTGCAGCATCTGCCGCTGCAGCATCTGCCGTTGCAGCATCTGCCGTTGCAGCATCTGCCGTTGCAGCATCTGCCGTTGCAGCATCTGCCGTTGCAGCATCTGCCGTTGCAGCATCTGCCGTTGCAGCATCCGGTGTTGCCTCAGCTCGTTGCACTGCTATTCTATCCCACACCTTGATCCAGCAGGTTCCTGTGGTACTGCTTCTTCGTTTCAACTCCGCAACATGTCCCAGACTCCGACTGCCGCTTCCTGGCGTCTCTTCCCCCCTCCCTCCACTTGCCTGCCCACCATGCCTCTATCCGACCTTCCTTTTCCACGTGCTTCAGTTTTCTTCCTCTCCTCCCCTGTCCCCTCACTAAACACCTACTTGCCTCGCAGGTCATTTTCTCCCGCAACCCTCCCATCCACCCACACATCTACAGCAACGGTCACATATGCCTTGGTATGTTGCACGTGCCCTAATATGTACCATATGCCTTGGTATGTCGCACGTGCCCTAATATGTACCATATGCCTTGGTATGTCGCACGTGCCGTAATATGTACCATATGCCTTGGTATGTCGCACATGCCCTAAGATGTACCATATGCCTTGGTATGAGCTGACGGGGGATACGTGGTGGCGGGGAACACTAAGCTCCGGCACGCCGTCTGGAGGGCAACCATGACAGTGGTGCCGTGGTGGCATACGTTCTGTACAGCCTGCACCATCGCAGCCAGTGCCGTGTGCCTCTTGCTCCTGTGTGCCCTGGTGTGCACCTTGCCCTGCTGTGTGCACCTTGTCTGGAGACCAACGATGTGGCGAGTGAGTGACTCACTCCATCCATATCCCCCCACACCCTCCCACCGTCCCACCCACCCTCCCCCCCGCACGCATGGCTGGCAGACATTCTATCCGGCTCGTGGTCATGTATCCATACATATACCCCGTACCCCCCTCCTCCCCCATGCCCCACTGCTGCCTGGCAGACATTCTGTACGACTCGTGGTCCCCAGCCATGACAGTCAGCGCCGTGTGCCTCTCCATCCTCTCCATGCTCTCCAGCTGCAAGGACAAGGTATGGGTAGCTGCAAGGACAAGGTAAGGGCACGGGTTTGTGCCCTGCAAGGGCAAGGCGCGCTGTGCTGCGTGCAAGGGCAAGGCGCGGTGTGCATCTTCCCCCTCCTCCATGCATCACTATTTCTCCATGTCTCTCCATGTCTCTCCATCCATCTCCATCACTACCTGACTTCAACTCCCCCACCCGTGCAGGTGCGGCCAGCAGACAACGACCGCTACGTGCAGCGCAGTGGGCAGTCCCCAAAGAACACGCGCTGGTGGTTCCACGACGACCACGTGTAGACCAAGACATAAAAACAACGACCCAGGCCACATCATGTGAAACTGCTGCATGCAGTGTTATTGCATTGCATGCTCGTGTTAGGAGGGCGACTGCAGTGCCTTGTCAAGGGCCGAAGCAAATTTAGTACCATAGCTGCTGTGTGGTGATGCTGCAGCCAGCATAGATTGCCCTTCTTGGGGAATCAGACAATAGGTTAGGGTACTGACCAACATTTTAGGGGGCATCAAGATCAGATTTGGCACAATACCACGTTGGGGAACTGCTGCCATAATTGTGCACCAGTAAGCTTGCCTGCAAACTGAACCACCAATCTGGGGATGCTCAAACTGAAATCCATGCAGCCAACCTCGCTTGGCATGCGACCAACCCTCTTTAGCATGCAACCAAACCCCTTGGGCTGCAAACAACCCATTCCCCTCGGGATGCAAACGAACGCACTCCCAACATCCTCCCCCCCCACCCTCTCCCCCCTCCTCTTTACAAAACTGTAGTACCAACCAAACCTCGTTCAGCACACAAGACTGCGATATGGTCCTCTGAATGCCTAGCCCAGGAAAATAGGTACTCCAAACTTGGATACCAAGGTATTTCAACTTTCAAGCCCGTTTGAGTCACATCACATGTACATTACCACACCACAGCATCAAGGCATGTTAGAGGCAGTAACGGCCTGCTGCAGGCCTGGTGATTGTGCATCAGTTATGGACCATCCTGGAAAGGAAACACACCCATAGAAAACGCAAATCTGCCGCAATGCTGCCTAAAAAGGTGCTACGATGGTGCCTGATTGAAGTTGCATCGTGCCATGTACCCTATCTGGCTCTGCATCTAATGCCCGAAACCCTGAGCAAATGTTGCTGCTTGTAGTACACACATGGCACATTGTTGGTGAATGATGCATGCTCACACCATGCTTCTGTCTGTAAACCATCCGCGCAGTGTGGCAGCAGCAAGGCATGAGCATGAGCGTGAGCATGAGCATGAGCATGAGCATGAGCATGAGCATGAGCATGAGCATGAGCATGAGCGTGAGCGTTGCTATCGACCTGCTGAGACTTGCATGGAGAAGAGAGGCAGGAGCAGAGGGATGCAGGAAGCCGCCATTTGTGAGGCAGTGGCAGGGACAGGAGCAGTGTCAGGTGGTGGCCGGGGGCAGGGCGGCAGGTGGCAGTATGAAGGGGAAGGCCTGTTCCTGCAAAGCGGTTGCAAGGTTGATGCTATGTTTTCTTTACGTGCCTCACTTGTTACCTGTGAAAAACGGTAGGAATGGAGAGGGAATGGCAGAAGACAAGTTGGCAATTAAAAGGAAGGAAAAAAATGCAAATAAATTGTCCCAATCCTAAAGAAAAAACGTGTACGCCTCTAGCATACCGAACATGCGGCATTAGGTGAAAAAGAGAAGGAAAAACACTCGAAGAAAGAAATCACGAGCATAAAAATAGCTGAGTGCGAGACAGGGTGCAAGCGAAGTTGAAAGACAAGGTGCAAAAAGCAAGCACGAGGGAGACATGGGCAGAAGAAAAAGGCTTGGCAGGGGACAACGAAGGGACTTACGGGGGGAGAGAGGGGGAGCAGCAGAGGGGAAGTGAGACGAGGGGCCAAAACGTCAGTCAGAGCTGGACCGCAGGTGCGTGACCTTGCCGATCGCCACTGTCTTGCCTGGGGGCGGGGGGGGAAGAGGGGGAAAAGGGGGGAGGGGAGGGGGAAAAGGGGAGAGGGGAGGGGGAGAAGGGAAGGGTATGGAAAGGTGGAGAAGAGAAGGATGGAGGGCAAACAGTCGGCCAGGGCTGGACCGCAGGTGCGTGTCCTTGCCGATGGCCACTGTCTTGCCTGGGGGTGGGGGAGGATGGAAGGGACGAGATAGGGGAGGACTGTGTGAATGGACAGGTGCCATGTACACCACATGATATACATGCACACACACATGTATATATATATATATATATATAGATGTATATATACATCGTTCAAGTATATTCACTTTTCCCATGGACACCTCCCATGCAGAGCTGGTCTCACCTTCGTCGCGCAGAGTGAAGCGGCCGAGCTGCGGGAAGTCGGAGAACTTCTCCACGCAAATGGGGTCGCTGACCTGGGGGGGGGCGAGGGGAGGAGGGGGAATGGGGAGGGGATGCGGACGGGGGGGTGAGAAGCAACCAGAGAAGCAGCCAGGGTTTAGGCCAACTGAGCTGCGGGAAGCTGGAGAACTTCTCCACGCAGATGGGGTCAGTCACCTGCCAGGGGGTGGTGGTAAGGGATGGGGGGGGAGGGAGGAGGTGATGGGGGAATGGGGAAAGGATGGAGAGGGGGGGTGGGAAACACGTGAGGTCGGGGAGGGGAGGAAGGAAACAGATGGTGGAAATGGGCTCGTTTTGAGGCGCCTCAAACCTAGACTCCTATCCCACAGATGGCGGAAATGGGCTCGTTTTGAGGCGCCTCAAACCTAGACTCCTATCACACAGATGGCGGAAATGGGTTCGTTTTGAGGCGCCTCAAACCTAGATTCCTATCACACAGATGGCGGAAATGGGCTCGTTTTGAGGCGCCTCAAACCTAGACTCCTATCACACAGATGGCGGAAATGGGTTCCGGGTTGCTCGGGAAGACGCCATGCCTGTCTTCCCGAACTGAATGCAATCCCCCACCTACTATCGCCTTTCACTCCTCCTCCCTACCTGAATGCGCCGCACCACCACCGCTCAGCTCTTGACATAGCGCAATTCCTTTTTCACGGGCTTCTTGGTCTTGGGGTCGATCTGCATGCCTCTCTCTGGTGTGTCCCCCTCACTGGTCTGAGCACAACCCATTCACTTCACCCCTTCAGCCTACCTGAATGCGCATGACCACGACAACCCCGTTCTTGACAAATAGCAGCTTCTTCTTCACGGGCTTCTTGCTCTTGACCGCCACACCCCATGTCCCTCCAGCCCAGCCTTACCTGGATGCGCACGACCACCACGGCTCCGCTCTTGACGAAGAGCGGCTTCTTCTTCATGGGCTTCTTGGTCTTGGGGTCGATCTGCTGCAGCAGGCTGATGATCTCACACTCCTCCACCACGCTGTGCACGTGCAGCACCGCCTTGTACCCAGCTGTAAATATGGCCTTGTGGTCCAGCAGCTCCAGGATCTGCAGTGGGCAGGGAGGGAGGGAGGAGAGGGGAGGGGGCAGTGCAGGGTGGAATGACGGAGAGGGGACAAGGAAGTGAAGGAGGGAGAAGTGATCAAGTGCCCACGATTGGAAGGCTTGGGGAGCAGCACCTCCAGGGTTTGGCTTGAGAGGGGAGAGGGGGCCAAGGGAATGCGTGGGTGGGGCTGATAAGGGGAGGGGGAACCAAGGAAACGGCCATGCTTGAAAGGACAAGGATGGCGAAAAGAAAACGACGGGCGAGTGAAGAGAGAAGAGCGAGAGAAGGGAGGAGGGGATTGGGGAGGGGAGGGGGGGGTGGGGGGACCAGGGGGGGGGAGAGGGGGAGGCTCAAATTGGGAAAGGGAGTTACCTGCAGCTGGGCATCGAACTCTGTGCATACCCCAATGGGACGCTCTGCATGGTGCGTGGGAGCAGAACGCGTGGGGGAAACAAGGGAAGCGGGAGGGAAGCGATGAGAGGCGAGGTAGCAATCGGCATTAGGCACACTGCGAACAAAACGGTAACCTGAGCATTGGAGTTAAAGGGCAAGGAGTACCACGGAGGGACAGAGAGAGCAGCGACACTCACTCCTGCAGGAAAGCACGAAGCCTGTCAACACCCCCTCCTCGATTTTAATGAGGCAAAGATGGCACAGAAACTAGGACTACAGGTGTGTGGGCAGGACTAGGAGAGGACGCAGGAAGCGGCGACTCACTCCGGGAGGAGAGCACGAAGCCCGACGACACCTCCTCCTCCGCAATGTCCGTGAAAAAGACCACAAAGGGACTAGGACTCAGGGGAGAGAGGGCGAGGAACGGGGAGGACTAGGAAAGGGGGGAAAGGGGAAGACTCACTGCGGGAAGAGAGCACGAAGCCGGAGGAGACCTCCTCCTCCTCAATGCCGGTGAGGCGCACGCGCAGGTTCTCCCCCGGCATGGCGAAGGTGACCTCGTCGTTGTCGCGGAATATGGTCACCACCTTCACCACCGTCTGGGGGGCGGAGCGAAGGAGGGAGGGAGGGGAGGAGGCAAGATAGAGCAGGGGATAGTTTTGAGGCGCCTCAAAACAAGATAGGATGACGAGGAGAAGGATGGTGACCTCGTCGTTGCCGCGGAATATGGTCACCACCGTCTGGGGGGGGAAGAGGGGAGGGAGAGAGAGGAGGGGAAAGGAGGGGGGAGGGGGAGTTGCAAGGGGAGTGAGAATGAGGCAGGCGACGCTCCCTGGGCATGGCGCCTTACCTTATTGGGCGCGCCTTACCTTATGGGGCGCGCCTTACCTTATTGGGCACCTTACCTTATTGGGCGCGCCTTACCTTATGGGGCGCGCCTTACCTTATTGGGCACCTTACCTTATTGGGCGCGCCTTACCTTATTGGGCGCGCCTTACCTTATGGGGCGCGCCTTACCTTATTGGGCACCTTACCTTATTGGGCGCGCCTTACCTTATGGGGCGCCCCTTACCTTATTGGGCACCTTACCTTATTGGGCGCGCCTTACCTTATTGGGCGCGCGTTACCTTATTGGGCGCGCCTTACCTTATTGGGCATGACGGTGAGAGTGTCGCCGCGCTTGATGCAGCCACTCTCCACCTTGCCCATCACCACCGTGCCCATGTCACGGTACTTGTCTATGATGGGCATTCTGGTGTGTTGGAGAGGAGTGTAAGGGAGGGTGGAGAGAGAGCAAGAGGGGGATGAAACATGCCTACTTCACTCGCCACCTTACCCATCACAAACACCGTGCCCATGGCGCGGTACCTTTCAATGATGGGAATTCTCATGTGTTTGAGAGGGCGAATGAGGCAAAAGGGGGCAGCGGGGAGCGGGGGGGACGGTGTGGAGGAGAGGAGAGGGGAAGAGGAGAAGTGACGATCAACACTCAGCATCACAGCTAGGCCCATGCCCATGTCGCCAGTACTAGTCTATAATTAGCATATTTATGAGCCAGGGGGAGGGGGGGTGGGGGGTGGGGGTTGGAGAGAGAGAAGGGGAGGGGAAGGGGTGGGGGGGGGGGGGGGGAACGCACCTAACGGGGCCCTTGGGGTCGCGGTCGGGCGGGGTGAGGGCGTCGAGCACTTCAAAGAAGCACGGCCCGTCGTACCAGGGGCACACGTCCTTCTTGACGCGATCCTTCATGTTGGCGCCCTGGATGCCCGAGATGGGCAGGTACTGCACGTCTGGGCAGGGGAACCCAGGGAAAGAATTGGGGAAGATGGGGGAGAGGGGGGAGGAGGGGGAGAGAGGAGGGGGAGGGGGGGAGGGGGGGCGGGAGAGGGGAGGGGGGGGGGAGAGGGGTGACTGAGAGGACGTGAGATGCAGGAGGAGGGAGGCAGGAGTGGCGTGAGCAATTTCCATTGCACACGCATGCTCCTTCATCCTCCCCCTCACCTGCACCGGGGGGGTAGTGCTCTCAAGAACCCGGGGAGAAGGGGAGGGGGGATGGTACGAGGACATTAAAACGCTTCGAAATTGACGAAGGGGATAATTCAAGGAGCACACCTTTCTTGGTGTTGTAGCCGCACTGCTTGAGGAACGGAGTGAGCTTGGTCACGATCTCATCATACCTGGGAGTCGGGCAAGGACGGAAGGCAAGGGCACGACAGGGGGGAACAAGATGGGCAACAAGGCTCGGCTCGCTCTAATGCAATGAGTTCTCGCTCTCCTGCCATCCCCATCCCCATACAGACACCACCCCCACCCACCTCACTTTCCCCCCTCCCCTATCTCACCTCTCCTCTTCCCTCTCACCCTCCTGGTTCCACTGCACGGAGGGGTCGTCCATCTTGTTCACCACCACCACCGTCTTGGACACGCCCAGCGTCTTCCACTCACCCCCCCCTCCCTCCACTAGTCCCATATCTCCCTAGAGCCCCTCCCCTCCCCCCCCCTCCCTTCATGCACCATGCCTCACCGCTCCTGGCTCCACTGCACAGAGGGGTCGTCCATCTTGTTCACCACCACCACTATCTTGGACACGCCCAGCGTCTTCCACTCACCCCCCCCTCCCTCCACTAGTCCCATATCTCCCTAGAGCCCCTCCCCTCCCCCTCCCTCCCTTCATGCACCATGCCTCACCGCTCCTGGTTCCACTGCACAGAGGGGTCGTCCATCTTGTTCACCACCACCACCATCTTGGAAACGCCCAGCGTCTTCGCCAGCTGCGCGTGCTCCCGCGTCTGCCCGCCGCGCTCGAACCCCGTCTCAAACTCGCCCTTGCGCGCCGCGATCACCAGCACACCCACGTCGGCCTGGGAGGCTCCGCTGATCATGTTGGGCACGTAGTTCTTGTGGCCCTGGGAGGTTGTAACGGGAGAGGGATGATCGTGGGGCACAAGAGAACTGCTTAAAAGCACATTCCTTACGTCGGCCTGGGACGCCCGCTGATCATGTTGGTCACGTGGTTCTTGTGACCCTGGGAGGTTGCAAGGAGGGCGGAGTGTGGAAAGGAGAGAGCGATTCAAGTCAGACTGCGCTTCCTTTCCTGGGGAATTCCTTTCCTGGGGAATTCCTTTCCTGGGGAATTCCTTTCCTGGGGAATTCACCATTCAAGAATCGGAGTATGGATTCTTCTCTTTGCCCAATGTCTCAGACTCAAAGGCCGTAGGCCCGTAGCCTTACAAGGAGTCCTGAAAACGCTGTCACGTGCAGGGGCATGTGGAATCCTACTCACAGGGGCATCGAGGATGGTGTATCGCTTCTTCTCCGTCTCAAAGTGCGCCCGCCCAACTTCCACCGTCTTGCCCTGTGATCCATCGACCAGGAGCAGAGAGGGAGGAAGGCGAGCAGAGCGAGTGAGCGGAGCAGGCAAGCAAGTCTCCCGATGGAGAAACCAACCAAGGCAAACAGCGTCAAAAGACACTGACTCAAGGAAGCACCCACCTTTCAAAGATGAGCCCAAATACCCAAGCACCCAAGCACCCGAGCACCCACCTTGGCCCTCTCTTCCTCATTGGTGTCCATGATGTACGCCATGTACCTGCACAGAACAGCAGCACATAGAACGAAGCAGGAGTGCAGGAAAACAGTAAGCCATCGTGACAAGAACGGGAAAGAACCTTACGGTCGAGCCACCCCTCCAATGGCCGAGCTACCAGCCCACTTCTATTTTCTTCACCAGCTCTCTCGGTTCTTGTCCTCCATATAAGCCTCACCAGCTCTCTCGGTTCTTGTCCCCCATACAAGCATCACCAGCTCTCTCGGTTCTTGTCCTCCATATAAGCCTAACCAGCTCTTTCGGTTCTTGTCCTCCATATAAGCCTCACCAGCTCTCTCGGTTCTTGTCCCCCATACAAGCATCACCAGCTCTCTCGGTTCTTGTCCTCCATACAAGCCTCACCAGCTCTCTCGGTTCTTGTCCTCCATATAAGCCTCACCAGCTCTCTCGGTTCTTGTCCTCCATATAAGCCTCACCAGCTCTCTCGGTTCTTGTCCTCCATATAAGCCTCACCAGCTCTCTCGGTTCTTGTCCTCCATATAAGCCTCACCAGCTCTCTCGGTTCTTGTCCTCCATATAAGCCTCACCAGCTCTCTCGGTTCTTGTCCCCCATACAAGCATCACCAGCTCTCTCGGTTCTTGTCCTCCATACAAGCCTCACCAGCTCTCTCGGTTCTTGTCCTCCATATAAGCCTCACCAGCTCTCTCGGTTCTTGTCCTCCATATAAGCCTCACCAGCTCTCTCGGTTCTTGTCCTCCATATAAGCCTCACCAGCTCTCTCGGTTCTTGTCCTCCATATAAGCCTCACCAGCTCTCTCGGTTCTTGTCCTCCATATAAGCCTCACCAGCTCTCTCGGTTCTTGTCCTCCATATAAGCCTCACCAGCTCTCTCGGTTCTTGTCCTCCATATAAGCCTCACCAGCTCTCTCGGTTCTTGTCCCCCATACAAGCCTCACCAGCTCTCTCGGTTCTTGTCCTTGGCCTCGCGCTCGTATTTCTGGATGGTGCGTTCGTCCACCATGTTCGCCAGGTACAGGATCTGCCCGCCGATCGTCGACTTGCCCGCGTCTGCCCACGGAAAAGGCAGAAGGGGGGAGGGGGGGAAGGAGGAGGGGGGGGAGGAGGGGGGAAAGGGGGGGGACGGGGGAGAAAGGGGGGGGGAAAGGGGAGAAAGGGGGGGAAAGGGAGGCCAATAGGTACAAGATCTGGCCGACGGTCGTCAACTTTCGACATGGTGTTTACAATATGGCAGCACGAGGGCGCAGTGGCGTGGCACATAGCAGCTGACCACGCACCGACGTGGCCGATGAAGACGAGGTTGAGGTGCTGCTGCTTGCCCTCCGACTCGGGGATCTCGAACGACATGACCTTTGAGTCGACTGAGAAGTTACCGCATAGCACTCAACCAAGAGCACTCACCAACGTGGCCGATGAAGACGAGGTTGAGGTGCTGCCGCTTGTCCTCCGACTCGGGGATCTCGAACTCCTCCTCCGCCACCTCCTCCTCCTCCACCACCGCCGCTGCTGCTGCTGCCGCCGCTGCTGCTTCGGGCTTGACGTCTGCCGCTGCTCCGTCTGTGGAGAGGCAGAGCAGGCAGACAGCACGCAGAGACGGCGCTGATAGAAGCAGGAAGACGGGCTACGGTGGGTTCGCGAGAAGCACGGTTTGACACAAACGTCTGAAAACAGAGAATGCACGGGAGCACCGAGAGGGCAGGGAATAGAGCCAGTGGGCGCGAGAATACCTGCTGCTGTTGAAGGGGCCGCGTCGTCCTTGGCGTCCGCCTTGATGTCCAGCGCTGCCACGCCTGCCGCTGCTGCATCCGCTGCACAAGGGAGGCGAGAAAAAGCGGGCGAGAGGGGATGGAAGGAATGAGGGACTGGAACGGAAAGAATCTTCACTCAACGCCCTCCCTCAGTAAACGCCTCGCTCAGTAAACGCCTCGCTCAGTAAACGCCTCGCTCAGTAAACGCCTCGCTCAGTAAACGCCTCGCTCAGTAAACGCCTCGCTCAGTAAACGCCTCGCTCAGTCAGCGCCTTGCTCACAATCACCTGCTCCATCGCTTTCCGCTGGGATCTCCGCCTTTCCCTCCACTTTCACTTCCGCTTCCGCCTCCGCGGGCTTCTCCTCCTCCGCCGCGGGCGGAGCAGCGGCTGCGGCGGGAGGGACGGAAACCGCCGCTGCTGGCGCGGGGGCAGCCGCGGGTGCAGTTGCGCCGAGAACCTGGCGGAGACGCGCGGGAAGGGGAGAGCAAAGCCAACGGAAGGAGGAAAGCGGAGAGTCAACTGTGCAAGCAGAACCGATACGCGAAACGGGAAACCAGATACGATACACGAAACGGGGCGACAGTAACAGCCAATCACGAACAACTGCGAGCCACAACGCTCATCGCGACAGCCTCGCGAAGGGATCCTCGCGAAATTCTGGCGAGGTGGTTACCAGTACCTTCTGCACGGAGGGTCCGCCAAGGGACTTGGAGACCGCAGGGCCCCCGAGGGTTTTCGAGACTGCAGGACCGGACGACGCGGGACCGCCTAGGGTTTTAGTAACAGCAGGCCCCGATGACTGCTGCTGCTGCGGCTGCGGCTGCTGCGCATACTGCTGCTGCTGGGGCTGCTGCCCCTGCGCGCCCGCAACGCCTCCGCCTGCTCCCCGTCCCCCGCTGTATCCTCCGCCTCCCCGCCCTCCGCCACCCCCTCGCCCTCCCCTTCCCCCGTACTGCTGCTGCTGCTGCTGGTACCCTCCCCCGCCGTACTGCTGCTGCTGATACCCACCTCCGCCGTACTGCTGTCCCTGGTTGTAACCGTACCCGCCCTGGTTGTAACCGTACCCGCCTTGGTTGTAACCGTACGCCGCCTGCGGGTTGTAAGCGTACCCGCCTTGGTTGTAACCGTACGCGCCAGGAGCACCACCAGGAGCGGGTTGGCCGGGGTAGTTGGGCATGAAAGTGTTGGCCGTCGGGTTAAACGCGAACGCCGCCGCGTTAACGTTGAGCGCTCCGCCTGCTGCGCCGGGAGGCGCGTTGTAATATCCGCCCGGTGCCGGCGGCTGCTGCTGGCCCGCGATATCCTCCCATGAATCGGGTTCGCCCATGGAATCCGCGGGCGACTAGGCGACAGTGGTTTCAACAACGAAACGAAACGAAACGAACCGAACCGACGAATGTCGCCTGCGAGATGCTACTGTAAGCGATAGATCTCGACGGATCGGATCTTGACCGCACAAGTCAGCTGACAGCGCGCGGATTCCGTAAGCCGCCGCAAGGCGCGGAGATTCTCGGCAAAGGCGGAGCAAGACGAGGGTGGGAGGGAGAAGAAATGGGAAGTGGTGAGTGGAGGGGGGAAGGTGTATGCGGAAGCGGGAAACGAGGTGGCGGAAAGCCTGCTCCTGCTGCTGGCAAGCGGAACGATCAGAGGGCTGAGGCGGGATGGTTTGGGGGGGGGGATGGAATCATGGGAGATGCCAGCCAGCGCGGTGGGCCTGACAGAATCGAGGGTCATGGGAGGTGCCGCTGTGGGGATCTAGACCAGGCCTCTGGATAAAAGAGTAATTACCCTTAATGTTGCTAAATTAAGAGCTGTTCCCGACCTGATTCCGTCTTTCACATAGTAATGTTTTCTTGAAACGGATTACTTTTCGTGTGATTCCTTGATATTACGGGTTAATTCTCTTCGATTCCGTACGAAGTACACTTGTAGTAGATCTGTTACGAAGTACCCCTTCCTAACCTCCCTTACACTTCCCCCAACTTCCCCCGCTAAGCAAAGAGAGGGGTTAGTTAGCGGGAAGTTTTTGTCCTCTTCCAAACCGCTCGAGACATGTATGTGCGAGAAAGAGTTCCTGGGGGCTCTAGCGCTTTTCCTTGGCTGTGGTGAAGGCCATTTGTCTTCGACGAATCCGTATGCTAACGGGTTAATTTTCGGCGATTCCGTCCCCTAACGGGTAATTTTGGGACCAATTCCGTGACCTAAAGGAATACCCTAGGCTTAGCGAGAGCCGTGATCTGGACTGTTGGATGATTGGGCTACGACTCGCGATTGCCGTTGGATGACCTGCCTCGAATCCGACGGCTACCAAAATAGTCTAATAACTGCGGCGATTGCTGGTAGAGAAAAAGGATACGCATACACAATTGGTTCAGCGCTATACCGGTAAAAGAGGCATAACCTATCAGGGATATTGTCAAGCTCTTCTAGAAGCTGAGGCTAAATTTCCTTGAAGATTTCCTCGATATTCATGCCTGAGCTTGAATCAGCAGCTCCCGCTCCTACCTCCCGCTATGGCTTCCTCCGCAACGCAACGCGCTACACCTTACAGCGCAACCGGTGTCTCCGACGGCAACCGGCAGTCGCAGGCCATAGAAATCGACGCTCAGCAGTCGCAGAAGGCCTCTGCGACGTCGCACGAGCAGCAGTCGCAGGCACAGCAGCGGCGGCGCTTCAAGGGGCGGAAGCGGTCGTGGCAGGAGAACGCGATCTACCTGCTGCTGGGCGGCGTGGTTCTTTACCTGGGCGACGGCTCCGTGCATTTCCTAGACGTCCTCTTTCGCGATCCACGCATCCGATGGTCAGTCATGTATCTAGCGGTTATTCGCGCATCTGTCGGTCAACAGCACATCGTACGGTCTATTCCGCATAAGACGATCGGTCGCAGGTCACATGATCTGTCATCATCCCATGGTAAATCACTGCCGTGCATGCTGCTATGACTTCACCTTTTCGTGGCTTCACCTTTTCGTGGCTTCACCTTTTCGTGGCTTCACCTTTTCGTGGCGTCACTTCCTCTTCCTCTTATGTCACTTCTCCCTTGTGAGGATTTCCTCCCGCCTGCCACCTCATCTACACCTGGACACTTCTTTCGTGTGTTGCACAATCACATCCCCCCACTCCACGGCAGACAGGCGGCCGCTACAGGCGGCAGCGGCGTGTGTGGCTGTGAACGTCGCCATCTACCTCTACGCCGCTGTCTTCCTGCGCCTCCTCCGAAAGGACACGCGCTCCTACCACCAGTCCGCGCCCGCCGCGCTGGCTGTCGCCACGGCTGTTGGCCTCGCGGCTTATGTTCTGTAAGTGACTCGTGACCTTTTTTTTTTAATTCTGAGATACCTTTTTCCATTGTCATGGTTATTGAAGTGATGCCTGGTGGTGACGTCCGGCAGATTATGGCAGCAGATTATAATCCAATAGCCGGTGTTTTCCCACCTTTTCCTTCCTGCCCGCCATCGCGCCTTGCCACAGGTGCTCCATCGCCTTCTGGCCCGTTTGGGGCATTCTCACTCTGCCCATTCTTGTAAGCCCTGTGTCACTGCCCAGCTCTTGTAGGGCCCCTTGTCTTCCATTCCAGGCTTGTTTGTGCAACTGATTGTTCATTTTGCTCTGCATCCCTTTTTCCCTGCCGGTATGTAAACTCATGATTCTTCCTTGTTTCTCTGCCCGTCTCCATGTACTAATTATCTGCTATGACTTCTTCCGTTATCGATGGTGCTTGTCTCCAGTGGGTACTGTTCATGGTTTTTGCCATTATCACATCGTACCTGCCACCTTTCAAAGTGCGCCAAGACTAACAGACGGGAATCGACGGCTATGGTATCTGCAACAATAGTGGAAAATGTTTTCAATCAGACTTGCATTTATGTGATGCAACGCTTGTAAAGTCATGTACATGAGTCGTCAATAGAGTTGCTCAATTAGAGTATGGGCAACTTAATGAATGACGAATGTTTCTACAGTCAATAGATTACCTGCTGTAGGTACACTGAGGTATCGTGCGGTGCAGCTCGGCGTGTCAGGATTCAGGAGGTTTAGCGCCAATGATTAGAAGTGTTCCGTCCGGTTGTTGTCAGAACCTGTGTCCTGTCCCGACCAATCAGTTCCCGAGGTTGATCTTGCCCTCCCCTCCTCTCCAATCTCCTTTCAGCGACCCTCTCTCTGCTCTGCTGGGACAGAGTGCTCGCTGCTCTCTGATCTGGCAGCGAGCAACACATCTCTCTTCGCTCATTCTTCGCTCATTATTCTGTCCTGTCATAAGATCCAGCGGAACTATCTCCGACCCCGAGAGATTAGCTTCTGCGACGAAATGTTCCTAGTCCGTGCTGCTTAGTCCACGAGTTAGTGCAGTCTAGAATCGAGTAAATAGAGTGTAGGACTCCTCTGGTAGTCCGTTTCTGTCGCCATGCTGACTGGTGCTAGCTCCTGCGTCGATCAACACCCGCTTCGTCCTGCGTTCCCGACGGTTTCTACACGTGCTTTATCGACATCGAACATTCTCGATCTAGAACGTCGTGCTTTATCGACGTCGATGTAGGCACCCGCCGACATCCAGCTCCTCCTCGCTTCTCGTCAGTGGATACTCTCGACGATTATTTTCGAGAAAGGTCGCACCACAATCTCGCATTAGCAGAGTCGTTATTCGTACGGATCCGAAAAGAGCCTAACCGCTGCCCGCTGCCCGCTGTCCGCTGCCCGCTTCCCGCTTCCCGTTGCCCGCTGCCCGATGCCCGCTTCCCGCTGCCCGCTTCCCGCTGCCCGCTTCCCGCTGCCCGCTGCCCGCTGCCCGCTTCCCGCTGCCCGCTGCCTGCTGCCCGCTTCCTGCTGCCCTCTCCCCGCTGCCCGCTGCCCGCTTCCCGCTGCCCGCTGCCCGCTGCCCGCTTTCCGCTTCCCGCTGTCCGCTTCCCGCTGCCCGCTGTCCTCTGCCCGCTTCCCGCTGCCCGCTGCCCGCTTCCCGCTGCCCGCTGCCCGCTGCCTGCTGCCCGCTGCCCGCTGCCCGCTGCCCGCTGCCCGCTCCCCGCTTCCCGCTGCCCGCTTCCCGCTGCCCGCTGCCCGCTGCCCGCTGCCGGCTGCCCGCTTCCCGCTGCCCTCTCCCCACTGCCCGCTTCCCGCTGCCCGCTTCCCGCTGCCCGCTTCCCGCTTCCCGCTTCCCGCTGCCCGCTGCCCGCTTCCCGCTGCCCGCTGCCCGCTGCCCGCTGCCCGCTGCCCGCTGCCCGCTTCCCGCTGCCCGCTGCCCGCTTCCCGCTTCCCGCTGCCCGCAACCCGCTTCCCGCCAGCGCGCTTCGGCTGAGAACGGCAAAGCACCGCCCGATGGTGAAGTTGTGCTATTGCGGTGAGAGATGGTGAGGTGGGGAAGGGCACTTGTTCAATGCTTGCTCTGTCACCTGCGTCACTTTTGCCCTTGTCTCGCACTTCAGACTTACCGCCAGAGGGCGGCTCTGACCGCCTGAGGGGGGTCGCCATACCTGCATTCCTGCATACCTGCGTACCTACATACGTCCATATCTCCATACCTACATACCTCTTTATATACAAAGTTGTATATGTACAAAGTTACATCAAGGACAGTTGATCAAGCAAGATAAGAGTATTCGAGGTTCGCATGACGTACAGGCTACAAAGTTGAGACCTCTCAAGGGTCTCAATGGTCTGATCCAAGGTAGACAAAGTCAGCTGCCGACGGTGGGGTGAGATCCTGTTGGGAAGATGTGTTGGTAGCGTTGTAGCGGACTTGTGTACGTCGACAAACTGTCCTTGCCTGCTCACGCTGGTGGACCAGAGAAATCCTCTTGTAGTAGGAGGATTCAAAAAGTTGTGGAAGAAGATCTGACATACCGCTCATGTCCCGAAGTCTGGCAGTTCCACGGCGACTGCACTCGTTGACAAAGCTCTGAAACGTTTTGCCGAAGCAGCCAAAGGTTTCGACAGCGAGGGGCAGAAGCTTCACGTCAGGGCGGTCGCGAAGGGCAGAGGCATAGAGCGAGTGTTTCTCAGATTCACGGGTAGCTGCTGCAGTGCCAATCACGGTTGGTGCATTGGAATGTGGAAAGCCTTGTTGTGGATCAGCGACGGAGACATCCAATGCCCAAGATGTCCCTGAGGAAATGTCACGGCAACTGACGTCTGGACGTTTCCCTGGGAGGAGGGAAGAGTCTTCGAGCTGAGCCACGTAGCCGAGTTCGGAGGCGATGCGATGGACCTCGTGCTTGATGGCGTCGTGAACTCGGGTTGGCTCGTTCGTGCTTGGGCAGCGGAGGACGTGGGAAGGGATAGATGGGTTGGTGAATGGAGCACCACAAGTGCAGGTGCGGGTTGATGTGAGGTGTGGGATCGGGAGTCCAAGGCGGATGGCAGTTGCAATACTCCACTCGGTTGGCGAGAGTTGCATGTGTTGAGAGGATGGAGCCACAGTAAGCCAGTCACCAGCATGGGGCCCTTGAAGGGAGGTTAAACGGGCCAGATGCAGGGGAGAGGAAGCTGTAGCTCGCACTCGCTCGAGCATGTTGGCTTCGAGGTGGTGAGAGAGGTATGTGAAAAGCTTAAGAGGATATCCAGAATGGAGTGTGGACCATGGGGGAAAGTGTTGGCGTATGTCCGCATGGAGGAGGGACATGGCGGTAGGGATGAAGCGATCCAGGCGGTCGATGGCATCAGCAGTGATGAAGGGGCGAAAGATGGGAGAGCCGTCGATGATGAAGTGGGAGGATAAGAGAGAGACTGTCTGTGCCCAGCTGCAAAGGTAGCTGAGCTTGGCAAACGAAGCAGACGATCGGAGGCCAAAACCTCCAAGACGAATGGGAAGGAACGGTTGATGATGGGCTGTGTCAAGGTGGTCGAACGAGGAGGGCCAGAAATCTGCTCCAACAAGGCGCTTGAAATGGTCTAGAAGGTCATTGTCCCAGTCAGTGTAAAGCTCTACAACTTCTGGAAACGGGGCGACTGTGCGGAGAAGGAAGGATGGGCGGGCAGAAATGCAGAGGGTGAGGATGCGGGAGGCAATCTGAGGGTCGTGGAGATCATGTAGAAGGTGGAGGGAGGTTGCAAAAGCCTGGAGCTTGTCTCGGACCGTTGAAATGATGTAGTGGTCTGAACCAATCGGGACTCCAGCCACAGTAAGGCCGTTGGGCGCAGTGGTGATGTGTGATGGGGGCGAGGAAGCTGGTGGAAGGTCTGTTGGTGCCCAAAGAGAGCATTTGGTTGGCTGAACAGTCAGGCTGAGGTCACTTAGGCGGGTAGTCAAGGCCGTGTAGGCTGCAAAGACTTCGTTTGCAGGTCCGACGAGGTAGGTATCATCTGCATATGATGTAACGAGGATTGAGGGTGACTGCTGTTGAGTGGGTCGAATGGCGAGCAGCTGGGTGAGGGCGTATAGGAAGGGTCCGCACGGATCCCCTTGGCGGACCCCCGACGCCGACTGGAGGGTCTCAATGGCTGGGCCGTTGCGGTAGTAGAGTGGGGAGGGAGAGGCGTAGAAGAGGCGAAAGAAGGGAATCAAGCCGGAGAATGGCGAGTGGCGAAGGGCGTCAAACATCGCAGCTCGACTGACAGAGTTGAAGGCATTGGCGACGTCAAGCTGAAGCACCACCCACTCCGGGTGCAGCGAGAGCGCTGACTGGACAGCATGGGCCATGACTTCAATTCCAGCAGGGACCGCGACGCCGAACTGGAGGCAAGGGAGGAAGAAGTCCCGAATCTGCTGCTTGTAGTGTAGGGTGACACAGCGTGAAAGAAGATGAGGGAGGACCTCACCGATGGCAATGGGCCGAACACCACCTTGTGGTTTTTGGAGGGCCACAAGCGTGGATGCAGTAAAGTAGGGCCTGACCTCCAGTGGGAGATCACCTTGTAACCAGTTCTGGAATAGTTGGAGCAGATGCGGGAGATGCGTCTGGCAAGAGAGGAAAGTGTCTCGGAGGTGTTCAATGAGCCACCCCGAAGGGCCAGCTGCAGTCCCTCGTGGGGCCGAGCGAAGAGCCGAGTGAAGAAGTGGAACGGTCAACTGAGGGACATCCGTGGCTGTGAAGTCAGGCACCCATTCAGGGATGGGAGCCATTGCAGGAGGATGCTTGGCCTGAAGTGCAGTAATGGTATCCGGGGTGGACGGGGCCAGCTCACCCGCTTCCAGGGCTCCGAGAGATCTGGACCAGTCAGCACAGTGAGCGAAGCGCTTGGCCCGGTTCAGACGAGCTGTCATGGCTGTTGAGCGCGCAGAGGACAGCGTGGCTGGGCGAGAAGCTGGAGTAGAAGCAGCCGTGGCGTCGGTAAAGAGAGCCAGCCACTCCCCCCGAAGAAAGCGGTGTACCGCGGCGGTGCATGTGGCGGTGGCAGATTGGGTGGTGGAGGCAATGGGGAGGCGCAGGACGAGTTTGGGGAATGCAAGGAGGATCAGATGAGCTGACCGGTCCTTGCGATGGACAGCGAGACGGCGAAGCGGGATGAGAAGGCCATCCAACACCAGAGGACGGATACGAGGGGGGATACGGCGCAGTAGTGGGCCCGGGGTCACAGCGGGGCTGAAAATTGCCGGCCAATCCCACGATAGTACAGCATCCCGAGTCTGCTGGGTAATAGAGGGTTGTGGGGGTGGGGCCGATGCCGGTGGACGAGGAGGGGTCGGCCGCGCGGTCTGCTGGCGGGATGATGTGTTACGGCCACAAGCAGGAAGGTGACGAGTGAGTGCCCCAGAATTGGCAAAACTTCGCAGACAGGTGGTGCAGGTGAATGATGGGGCTGGGACTGTTGTTGGAGGAGGAGGCGCAGGAGCCGCTGAGGCAGGTGCTGCTGGTGGATAGGTTGGCGGACGTGAAGGGGAGGAGGAGGAAGGGGTAGGCTGTGTTTCAGCTACAAGGTGGTGTAGAGCTTGCCTCTGCTGCTCAGATATAATCCGAGGGCGTGCTGGTGACTGGGAGATCTGGGGAGGGGCTGCTGGGGCCTGGGAGGAAGATGGCTGCGATGGCGGGACGTCAGTGGTTGGTTGAGTTGGAGTTTCCGAAGGGGAGCCGACAGTAGGAGCTGTTACCGGTGCTGGGAAGTGTATCGGAAGGGTTGCAAAGGGTGGGGACGAACGGGTGCGGCTTGCTGGTCGGGTGCCTGTGGATTCTGCTGTTGCTGCTGTACGGTCCCATTTCCGCGATGCCATGAGGGTTTATTTCGGGTTTGGAAGCAAAGAGCTGTAGGTTGAAAGCAGCAGTGTAGTTGTCTGTTCCGGGCGCCGAAGAAGCTTGTTGGGGGATGGGGTTTTTGCCGCGCGCGGGTTCGGCAGTTTCGTGGCGTGCTGGTGCGGGGATGCTGTCTCCACGCCCTGTCAGCAGTTTCCTGCTCGCAACCTTACGTCTTCCGCACGTTCCGCCTGTTCGCGCTTCACACCTTCACGAGCAGATGAGCGGATGTGAGAGGTACTGTAGCGTTGAAAACTGCCGCTGGAACAGGTTCAGTGGGTCGGTCGAAAGGCGGGCAATTTATCGGAGGAAAACGGGTTGGCACGGAAACTAGGTCTAGACGGCGGCTAGTCACGAAATCACGGCTCCGCGAGCGTTCCAGTGGCGTTTCGTCGCGTTCGATAGTGAAGCTTGCGTGCACGAGCTGCTGCTTAGGACTACTGGAGCTGGGTAAAGAGGCCGGCCATAGCGGTAGGGTCGGGTGGCGGGAATCGTGTCGACGCGACGCGTGCTGTTGACAGGCGCAAGGGTGCAGCTGGCGGAAGAAGGTGCAGGCAGTATAGATCGAGGTGGTCGTCCGCGGTTTTGCCCTCCTAGACAGAGGTACTGAGTCTGCTGCTACAATCGAGCGAGCAGCGAGACGAAGTGACTACTCTGAGCGTACTAGCGGCTTTATACCGGCTGAAACGAAGGTGAAGTGAGCCGGAGGCAAAGTGACTACTCTGAGCGTACTAGCGGCTTTATACCGGCTGAAACGAAGGTGAAGTGAGCCGGAGGCAAAGTGACTACTCTGAGCGTACTAGCGGCTTTATACCGGCTGAAACGAAGGTGAAGTGAGCCGGAGGCAAAGTGACTACTCTGAGCGTACTAGCGGCTTTATACCGGCTGAAACGAAGGTGAAGTGAGCCGGAGGCAAAGTGACTACTCTGAGCGTACTAGCGGCTTTATACCGGCTGAAACGAAGGTGAAGTGAGCCGGAGGCAAAGTGACTACTCTGAGCGTACTAGCGGCTTTATACCGGCTGAAACGAAGGTGAAGTGAGCCGGAGGCAAAGTGACTACTCTGAGCGTACTAGCGGCTTTATACCGGCTGAAACGAAGGTGAAGTGAGCCGGAGGCAAAGTGACTACTCTGAGCGTACTAGCGGCTTTATACCGGCTGAAACGAAGGTGAAGTGAGCCGGAGGCAAAGTGACTACTCTGAGCGTACTAGCGGCTTTATACCGGCTGAAACGAAGGTGAAGTGAGCCGGAGGCAAAGTGACTACTCTGAGCGTACTAGCGGCTTTATACCGGCTGAAACGAAGGTGAAGTGAGCCGGAGGCAAAGTGACTACTCTGAGCGTACTAGCGGCTTTATACCGGCTGAAACGAAGGTGAAGTGAGCCGGAGGCAAAGTGACTACTCTGAGCGTACTAGCGGCTTTATACCGGCTGAAACGAAGGTGAAGTGAGCCGGAGGCAAAGTGACTACTCTGAGCGTACTAGCGGCTTTATACCGGCTGAAACGAAGGTGAAGTGAGCCGGAGGCAAAGTGACTACTCTGAGCGTACTAGCGGCTTTATACCGGCTGAAACGAAGGTGAAGTGAGCCGGAGGCAAAGTGACTACTCTGAGCGTACTAGCGGCTTTATACCGGCTGAAACGAAGGTGAAGTGAGCCGGAGGCAAAGTGACTACTCTGAGCGTACTAGCGGCTTTATACCGGCTGAAACGAAGGTGAAGTGAGCCGGAGGCAAAGTGACTACTCTGAGCGTACTAGCGGCTTTATACCGGCTGAAACGAAGGTGAAGTGAGCCGGAGGCAAAGTGACTACTCTGAGCGTACTAGCGGCTTTATACCGGCTGAAACGAAGGTGAAGTGAGCCGGAGGCAAAGTGACTACTCTGAGCGTACTAGCGGCTTTATACCGGCTGAAACGAAGGTGAAGTGAGCCGGAGGCAAAGTGACTACTCTGAGCGTACTAGCGGCTTTATACCGGCTGAAACGAAGGTGAAGTGAGCCGGAGGCAAAGTGACTACTCTGAGCGTACTAGCGGCTTTATACCGGCTGAAACGAAGGTGAAGTGAGCCGGAGGCAAAGTGACTACTCTGAGCGTACTAGCGGCTTTATACCGGCTGAAACGAAGGTGAAGTGAGCCGGAGGCAAAGTGACTACTCTGAGCGTACTAGCGGCTTTATACCGGCTGAAACGAAGGTGAAGTGAGCCGGAGGCAAAGTGACTACTCTGAGCGTACTAGCGGCTTTATACCGGCTGAAACGAAGGTGAAGTGAGCCGGAGGCAAAGTGACTACTCTGAGCGTACTAGCGGCTTTATACCGGCTGAAACGAAGGTGAAGTGAGCCGGAGGCAAAGTGACTACTCTGAGCGTACTAGCGGCTTTATACCGGCTGAAACGAAGGTGAAGTGAGCCGGAGGCAAAGTGACTACTCTGAGCGTACTAGCGGCTTTATACCGGCTGAAACGAAGGTGAAGTGAGCCGGAGGCAAAGTGACTACTCTGAGCGTACTAGCGGCTTTATACCGGCTGAAACGAAGGTGAAGTGAGCCGGAGGCAAAGTGACTACTCTGAGCGTACTAGCGGCTTTATACCGGCTGAAACGAAGGTGAAGTGAGCCGGAGGCAAAGTGACTACTCTGAGCGTACTAGCGGCTTTATACCGGCTGAAACGAAGGTGAAGTGAGCCGGAGGCAAAGTGACTACTCTGAGCGTACTAGCGGCTTTATACCGGCTGAAACGAAGGTGAAGTGAGCCGGAGGCAAAGTGACTACTCTGAGCGTACTAGCGGCTTTATACCGGCTGAAACGAAGGTGAAGTGAGCCGGAGGCAAAGTGACTACTCTGAGCGTACTAGCGGCTTTATACCGGCTGAAACGAAGGTGAAGTGAGCCGGAGGCAAAGTGACTACTCTGAGCGTACTAGCGGCTTTATACCGGCTGAAACGAAGGTGAAGTGAGCCGGAGGCAAAGTGACTACTCTGAGCGTACTAGCGGCTTTATACCGGCTGAAACGAAGGTGAAGTGAGCCGGAGGCAAAGTGACTACTCTGAGCGTACTAGCGGCTTTATACCGGCTGAAACGAAGGTGAAGTGAGCCGGAGGCAAAGTGACTACTCTGAGCGTACTAGCGGCTTTATACCGGCTGAAACGAAGGTGAAGTGAGCCGGAGGCAAAGTGACTACTCTGAGCGTACTAGCGGCTTTATACCGGCTGAAACGAAGGTGAAGTGAGCCGGAGGCAAAGTGACTACTCTGAGCGTACTAGCGGCTTTATACCGGCTGAAACGAAGGTGAAGTGAGCCGGAGGCAAAGTGACTACTCTGAGCGTACTAGCGGCTTTATACCGGCTGAAACGAAGGTGAAGTGAGCCGGAGGCAAAGTGACTACTCTGAGCGTACTAGCGGCTTTATACCGGCTGAAACGAAGGTGAAGTGAGCCGGAGGCAAAGTGACTACTCTGAGCGTACTAGCGGCTTTATACCGGCTGAAACGAAGGTGAAGTGAGCCGGAGGCAAAGTGACTACTCTGAGCGTACTAGCGGCTTTATACCGGCTGAAACGAAGGTGAAGTGAGCCGGAGGCAAAGTGACTACTCTGAGCGTACTAGCGGCTTTATACCGGCTGAAACGAAGGTGAAGTGAGCCGGAGGCAAAGTGACTACTCTGAGCGTACTAGCGGCTTTATACCGGCTGAAACGAAGGTGAAGTGAGCCGGAGGCAAAGTGACTACTCTGAGCGTACTAGCGGCTTTATACCGGCTGAAACGAAGGTGAAGTGAGCCGGAGGCAAAGTGACTACTCTGAGCGTACTAGCGGCTTTATACCGGCTGAAACGAAGGTGAAGTGAGCCGGAGGCAAAGTGACTACTCTGAGCGTACTAGCGGCTTTATACCGGCTGAAACGAAGGTGAAGTGAGCCGGAGGCAAAGTGACTACTCTGAGCGTACTAGCGGCTTTATACCGGCTGAAACGAAGGTGAAGTGAGCCGGAGGCAAAGTGACTACTCTGAGCGTACTAGCGGCTTTATACCGGCTGAAACGAAGGTGAAGTGAGCCGGAGGCAAAGTGACTACTCTGAGCGTACTAGCGGCTTTATACCGGCTGAAACGAAGGTGAAGTGAGCCGGAGGCAAAGTGACTACTCTGAGCGTACTAGCGGCTTTATACCGGCTGAAACGAAGGTGAAGTGAGCCGGAGGCAAAGTGACTACTCTGAGCGTACTAGCGGCTTTATACCGGCTGAAACGAAGGTGAAGTGAGCCGGAGGCAAAGTGACTACTCTGAGCGTACTAGCGGCTTTATACCGGCTGAAACGAAGGTGAAGTGAGCCGGAGGCAAAGTGACTACTCTGAGCGTACTAGCGGCTTTATACCGGCTGAAACGAAGGTGAAGTGAGCCGGAGGCAAAGTGACTACTCTGAGCGTACTAGCGGCTTTATACCGGCTGAAACGAAGGTGAAGTGAGCCGGAGGCAAAGTGACTACTCTGAGCGTACTAGCGGCTTTATACCGGCTGAAACGAAGGTGAAGTGAGCCGGAGGCAAAGTGACTACTCTGAGCGTACTAGCGGCTTTATACCGGCTGAAACGAAGGTGAAGTGAGCCGGAGGCAAAGTGACTACTCTGAGCGTACTAGCGGCTTTATACCGGCTGAAACGAAGGTGAAGTGAGCCGGAGGCAAAGTGACTACTCTGAGCGTACTAGCGGCTTTATACCGGCTGAAACGAAGGTGAAGTGAGCCGGAGGCAAAGTGACTACTCTGAGCGTACTAGCGGCTTTATACCGGCTGAAACGAAGGTGAAGTGAGCCGGAGGCAAAGTGACTACTCTGAGCGTACTAGCGGCTTTATACCGGCTGAAACGAAGGTGAAGTGAGCCGGAGGCAAAGTGACTACTCTGAGCGTACTAGCGGCTTTATACCGGCTGAAACGAAGGTGAAGTGAGCCGGAGGCAAAGTGACTACTCTGAGCGTACTAGCGGCTTTATACCGGCTGAAACGAAGGTGAAGTGAGCCGGAGGCAAAGTGACTACTCTGAGCGTACTAGCGGCTTTATACCGGCTGAAACGAAGGTGAAGTGAGCCGGAGGCAAAGTGACTACTCTGAGCGTACTAGCGGCTTTATACCGGCTGAAACGAAGGTGAAGTGAGCCGGAGGCAAAGTGACTACTCTGAGCGTACTAGCGGCTTTATACCGGCTGAAACGAAGGTGAAGTGAGCCGGAGGCAAAGTGACTACTCTGAGCGTACTAGCGGCTTTATACCGGCTGAAACGAAGGTGAAGTGAGCCGGAGGCAAAGTGACTACTCTGAGCGTACTAGCGGCTTTATACCGGCTGAAACGAAGGTGAAGTGAGCCGGAGGCAAAGTGACTACTCTGAGCGTACTAGCGGCTTTATACCGGCTGAAACGAAGGTGAAGTGAGCCGGAGGCA